GCAGCAGAAGCTCTCGCTGTCGGCTTCCATGACGCTGGAGGCCGCGATCTCCTCGCTGGAGGGCAGCGCCGGGGACACGGCGGGGCACTCTTCCGTCCAGGCGCGCATGCCGCCGAGGTCCTGGCACGGGACAGGGCTTGGGCTGGGGGTGGGGATGGTGCTGTTCTGTTGCTTTTGCTGGGCTGGGCTGTTGGACTGGTGCGCTGTCGGGCTTTTCGGCTGCTGTTGGGGTGTTGGGCTGTTGGGCTGTTGTGCTGTTGGTGGGGGGGGGGGTTCCCCTTTTTTGGGGCAAATTGAGGGCTGCTGTCTTCAGCCGATGCTTCCGTAGCCGGCGGGAATAGCCCAAGGCTTCTCCTGGTGTTGGATGAGGGGACATGAACCATCTGGGTATTTCTCCAGCTGAAGTTCTGGGGCCTCAATAGGCTCCTGGTTTGGGGCAGTTCAGGGAGGGTTCCAAGGGGTTCCGGGGCTGTTTGGGATGCCTGGGCATATTTTGTTGGAGTTGGGAAGAGCAACTGGTTTGAACATGGAGTTAATTAATCCTATGGCAAGGGCTCAAAGCACTGTTCTATGGGTGTCCTCAGACTCTTGGAGCTTGGAACACACAGGGGTGCTCCCCAAAGCACAGCTCCTCGCGGAATGATCCCATTGCCACTCGTTTTGGGCAAGTGTGAAACACTTCGAGTGCAAATCCCACACTTGTTTTTGTGGGGGGGGGGGGACCAAAATTATACATTAACAACTAAGGTTCCCCACACCTGGCACTAATATGACTTTCAGCATGGCCGATAGTTGCCCCCCCGATGGGGGTCCGTTCCCATTGCTTTGAAGCACGTCGACTTCAAACTTCTTGCCGGCGCTCCTTGTGGATGAGCCTGAAGATGCTGAAGAAGATGGCCCGAACCAGCTTCAAGCTGTTCACCACAACGTCGATCAAGAACATCACCAGCTTCTCGATGATGGTTATGAGGGACGAGAAGATTTGCCCGATGACCTTCCTGAAACGACATCCCCATCGAAAGGAACGGTAAAATGGCCCACCTTGTTGCTGCTTTGTATCAGGGACGAGACATTTTGGCCAATGACCTTCCTTGCCACTGCCCTCAAGACCATGAACACACAAGGCTAAACTATCGTATAACGCCTGAGGTCTTGAAACACAAAAACCTTCTCACCAATGGGGGTTGCGCTGTGCGGATGGCGGGTCCCTGAATAAACGTTCAAAATACAGGGTCCGCTAAAGTGACATCCTCAAGTTCATCAAGATATCTAATCGTCCCAACCCTTGGTAGCAAACAACTTTGTTTCTCGCAGCCCCCTGCAACATGCCAACAACAGTGAAGACATGCTATATTGTTTTCTGGTCCGACCTTGGACCCTGACAGCTCAGCAAACCCGTGTTTGGAGCTTCGTTTGGTGAAACCACTTCTGCCAGAGGGTTTGCAGCAATCAAACGAATAATTTCAAAACCAAACCGCAGTATCGCATTCGAAGCCGGTGGACCTTTTCCAATGGCTTTGCCGCTTTGCCGTTTCAGCAGGAAGTTCGACGCACCATCCGTGCGTTACAAAAGATCGAATGTGCCAACTCAATACGGGGGCCAACTTGCGGCGTGAGGCTCAGTTGCTGGCTTTGACAAATATCACACGAGACACCAAACATGTCTCGAAAATCTACGTGCAGCAGCCAAAACAGCTGTTTTACATTGTTGTCCAGACTTATAGAATCTTACAATGTGAAATGTGGAAAAAGCAACAACATCAAATCATACCCCGTGATCATTCTGCACTTATTGTGGATTTATACGTAGCTCATGGCGCTCACAATCCAAACTTGCAACCAATTTAGTATTCCCGAAACCGTGCAAGGAATCTCCAAAGGCGGCCACCTGCAAATCTATGCCAGATCTGTCACGAATACGAATGAACCTTTAGCTACACCCAGCTTTTGATTGTGGCGTTGATTCCCTGGCTCGGACCCAACCACTAAACCTCAAACAACTAAAAACCTAAGGAACCGGATGGCTGGGAACCACCAAGCCACCTATAGAGAACCCTCTTGCCTCACATCCAGTTGGCCTCAAGGAGCCAAAACCGGAACCGGATGCCTGGGCTCCAAAGGCATTGGATCTATCGCGGGGATTCACGAAAATCTGCTGGGCGGCCCTGGCTGGGGAGCGGTCGCGAAAATCGGAGTTAAAACCCCATGGGCCGCTGTCAAGAGGACGGCAATGGAGGGAAACCAATTCTGCCATTTGCTTAAGCCCCCTGGAAAAGAATAATATGTCCAGTAGTTACAGATTCCCTTCAAAACCAACAGGGGAAACCAAACAAAATAGTCTTAAGCAAATGGAAGAATTGCAGAGCTCTGAGTCTTGAAGGTGTCCCGAACATTGCGGAGGAAACTCGCTTGGAATCTGAACAGAAAAAAACATGGCAAAGAGAACACGGGAAACCTGAGACACCACAGAAAACATGACCAACAGAGACTCAGGCACAATACCCACGTGAGAAGAAAACACCCGAAAGAGGTCGAAGAAATAAACACGCAAAAGCCAAGAACTCCTGGCCAAACCAGCACAAACTTGGCTGTCTGTTTTCCGATCCCCTGCTAAAAGTTTAAGTTGTGGGTTAAACGGAAACCCAACCGCAAAACCAACTGAAATCAAAAACACCAACAATTCCATCTCCTGAGCACCCCGTGGTTTCGTGTGTGTTTTTCTTCCGAGGCGCGTCACGGCGCAGAAGGCGCCTCCAACCTTGGCCACCACACCTGCAGTCCCCTAGGATCCCTAAGACCTTGTATATGGAGGTTTTCGACAAAAGACCTGCCCCAGGGGGGGGTCCCATCAAGAACCTATATATTAGGGTCTTAGGATTGGGGGGGGAGGTCGGTCCAAAAATCAGAAAAACCTGTATATAAAGGCTTTTGGGACAAGGGCTCTGTGTTGGCTTGGTTTGAGTACTAGCTGCGTGCTTGCCCTCAGGCTCAGCATGGTTGGCAGCATGTTGGGGGCAATTATTGCAAAAAGGAAGCAAGTTGCCGGGACTTTTCGTGCCTTTTGTTGAGCCCGGCTGGAACAACATCTAGATTATATGATCTAGACATCCCTTTTTCTCACACAGCTAGCTGTACATGTGCACGGCGTGCAATGAAACGCGCCTTAGCGGCTGGTGCTCGATGGCACGCTGATCGAAAGCGACAACATGTACGAGATGCAGGCTGGAAACCACTTTTTTTTTGGGCAGTGCAAATTTGATCTTGATCAGAATCAGCGTGCGCAGCAAGCATGAGACGTGCGCTGACGCTAGCCATTTTCCATCACACAGGCCGTAGCAACCTCGGGGTTTCTCGGCAGTGGCCATGTGCAGTGCAGGGCCTTCTGGCAAATCCGATTCTTGTCAACGACGATATTTCTTGCGTGCTGCAACCCTGCTCGTTCTTTGTTTGCAAGTGCGCCCTTTAGCCTCGCGCTGAACAATCTAGTGTGTTCAGCGCGAGCGTTACGGGGTACCCAGCCAAGCTTAAGGATGTGGAAGAAATGACGGAGTTCCTCGAGATTACCTTTGGCACTGTCCTGCAAACAGATTGGGCAGCTGTTCGTTCCGACAAGGTGCTGTGTACTGCGGGGGGGGGGGTGGATCTTAATTTACTCATTTGCCACACAAATTGAGGCGGGCATGCACTTGTGAAGAAGGGCTCAACATATCCCGGGGTGGAGGGTGGGGGCGTGCTTCAAAACGGGCTCTTCTGTCACCGCCATCCAGGAGAAGAACAACAAATCCCTCGTCCCCCTCGCCGATGAGAGCTTGGCCGGTGGCCATGTGTACCAAAAAGATGTGGCCTGTGCAGCACTACAAGTGAGTCAAAGTCAATATGGTATTGCCTGCATCTCACGAACTCAAGGCCTGTTTAGGCTTGCTGTTGCTGAGGTGGAAAGAAATTTCCTTTTGATCCTGAACACCTTGACCAAATTTGGCATGAACATCCCGCATGCTCGGACTTTTACCGCCTCTTGTAATTATAAGAAACCACATTGGCTTGGTGTGCAGGGCGTTGCGTTGCGCTAATAAGGAAGGGTTCAAGCGCCTGGATCAAGTGCACGGGATTTGGGGAGAGATGGCCAAGCTCAAGGGACGGAAGCGGAAGATCAATGAATCTTATCAAACATTACTCAGAATTCGATTGCGAACTATCTTTGTAGCATCCGGAAGTTGAGGACTGGGCCGCTATGCAAGGTGGCAGGCTCCGAGCCCTTGTCACCTACTGCATTCGAATGACAAGAAGATCACAAGGGGCGAAGTCTGAAAAAGTTCAGGCAATGAAACACTTGATTCTTGAATTGATGGGATCAGGGGAAGCGCCTCAGCTAGCAGGCAAGCTGCAAAATTGTTTGTCATCGTTCTGGAATTAATTTTTGGGTCGGCTGTCGCCTCCGCAAGGTGCCTATCGATGATGAGCAAACTCCCGTGCCCGCGGCTGATGAGGAGTCAGAGGGGGAGACCGTGGATGTGAACACGATGTCCAATTCATCTAGCCTTCGCGATTTGGGGGAACCACGGATGCAAACACAAATGCTTTTGGCGCCCCCTCCACATGGGTGGCTTTGATTTTCACATGCCTGGAAACCCCTTCCGGCACCATTCGCTAGGAAAAAAATGCCGAAGCCCTTTTACACGGCGTTTTCACAAGCGCCGGCAAATAGTAGCCGGATTCAAAACAGCCAGTTTTTGGCCAAGCGGGGGGTTATTGATTTATCCATCGATCCTGACCCTCAGCATGTCCTTCGCCGTTTGGGCACCCGGCAAAGGAAGTGGATGAAGCCCATCCTGGAGCTCCTGCGGAATCAACCGACGATCATACGCATGATCATCATCATGAGGACATGTACATGTATATGACGTTGAAGCTAGTTACACCTATACAAACTGTTTGCTCGATCAATCGCTAGCGCTATTGCGGAATCACGTTTGCAGGATGTATCCGCGGCCGTGGCAGCCATCGGCCTGAAGGTCAGTGATCCAAATCTAGCTGAAGAGGAGGACTGCGCAACCCGAAAAAAGGGATTGTCGCACTGTAACAAGGTTATTCTATACTTGCGGTTTGTTTGCGCAAGGATTCGGCCGCCGATGAAAATGATGGTGAGATTGGAACCTTTCAGGACTGCGTGGGGTTGCAAGAGTTGCCAACCAAATGCTAGACCGCCCTTCCAGTTTGAGGCGCCCTTTTTGTCTGTGTTTGGACCCAAAATCGTTAAACAAAGGGCGCCGGATTTGGACTTCCCGTGGGATTATGCGCTAGCGTATAACCACAAATCTGTACGCGCAGAACCGGTTCACATATGCCAGGACGAGCGCTCCCTGATCCCCCTCGGCAGCATCAAGCCACCGAGCAAGGACGAGGAGACACCGGCTCAGCGCAACCTTTCTGCCGCGTTTGAGGAGGTGAAGGAGGATTTGTTTGGGGAGCAAGCCAACATTAGGGCGCTTGAGAGGGCCAAGTTGAAGGAGAAGTGCAAGGGGCGCGGCCGGGGACGGGGCAGAGGTCGCGGGAAACAACACCAGCAGGAAGCACCAACGGCGGCGCAGCCAGAACAGCCCTGCGAAGCTATGCCAGAAATCGCAAAAAAGAAGAAACAGCGGCCAAGCAAGGCCCAAGCAGCAGCAGAAGCAGCGCAGGCACACCAGGGCAACGAAGCTGAAGCAGCGCAGCCAAGCCAGGGCAACGGCGCTGTGACAAAGAAGGCAAAGCGCGCGAGGCTTGAAGCATCGCCAGCAGAACCACCTGCGCGCGCAGTGAAGAAGCCTAGGGCCGCGCGTGCAAAGGCAAAGGCGGAAGCAACCAATTCCCACAATGACGCGCTGCTCGCCACCCCACCGCCCAAGCCCAGTGTGAGCGCTGGAGTGGACACACCGACGCCTGTGACGCATCCAGATGCAAAGGCCTGGGTACAACACTCAATATCGCTTTGTGTGCAGCGCGTAAGTATATAGGAACCCGAACTGGACAACTCGGACTCGGAGAAGAACAAAGCGGCTGCTGCTGCGCGTGTGGCTGCCGCGCGTGCTGCGCAGGTGCGGGCGTCTAATAAAATTAATTTGTTGTGATGCGTATGGTGAACGGCACGCACGCAGACGCGCGAGTATGCAGTCAACTTTGCTTAGGACGATCTTCGTCAGGCGGCCGGAGAGCTTACCGGGGCGATACTTCTCGGATTGCACATGCCAGTGCCTGCAAATAACACCTTGAAGCAGTGGCTTGCCTGCAATTAGCTATAGCTAAGAGATCGCTATACACGATGATACACTTGTGGCGTTTCAGCGGAACTAGCATGCAAACTACCGCTTGCTGAGCATGATTACACACGCGAGTCCGCATTGTCATGATCATCATGTTCTTGATGAGGTCATACACAGTTCGACCAGACCAGGGACTGGATGCAAATAATTGCAGCATTGGCATCATCCTGAAGACTCGCTCTTTCTACGTGTACAAGACCCAAGAAAACGATTTCACGAACCTAGTGATGCAATACTTTGACATCGGTGTGTTTTGGCATGATTGGTTGCACTGTGATCCATGACTAGCACGAACTCAGGAACCTTACAAGCATTTATATCGCGTGCTATTGCCTGCGTTCAGGTGAACAAGAAGGGCGGCTCCAGTGTCAATTGGCGTCACAGAGGCTCTGCGCAGGCGCAACTTGGCAAGCAGGCGAACGCTGTGTGCGTGGTTTGAGTGATGGAAATGCGGCATTTGCCAGTAAGGTTTCAGATTTCGCGGTATCTTGCTAATTGGGTTCAGCCTGCAAATGCACCGACGAATTTGGATGAGTTTAGGAAGCACGCTCGAAGCCTGTTCCCACCGCCGCGAGTTTAGGCATATATAGGTTCAGCGCAAAGTGCTTCAATCCGGATTTGATCGAGCCGCAACAACTTGTTGCGTGTGGCTCGCGTTTTGTAGCAGCTCGGCATGGCGCATGGCCTTTTAAACAGTCCTGTTGTTTCACAATCGCATCAAATGACCTTTTTGTTTTTGAATATTTAATAGCAGCGCCGGTGAATTTTGGTTCAGCCTTGCAGCCAGTCGAGTTGTTTATTATCTCACACTGACTCAGTGTATTCTATGGGGTCTGCAGCCAGTTGCCGCACAACTGGAAGGGGGCAAACACGCATCTACGAGTTTTCCTCGCAATTGCCACACACCTTGCGCTCGCCTTGCAATTTCAATCGCAGCTTTCTGCACGGCAGCGCGAGCCACTGGATCGTGAAGTTCGATTTGAGTCACACATTACGAGCCACGAGCCATGCCGATGAGACGTGTGGTCGGCCCGCTGCAGCTTAGCCATACGGCTTTGCAATTGCTACTGCTGATGAAGGTGCCTATCGTTGTGTTTCTTAGCTGATTAGTGAGTTGCACGCACGCTTGTCCGGACCCTAAAGACTATTGACCAGGTTGCAGGCTTGTCACTATGTGGCTTCCTTGGCGCCCAACTCCAAGCGGGACTGACTTTCAGATCATGTTGTGCGAAGAAGCAAAGCGCTGACGTTTAAATTTGAGCACGTGCGTTATGTGTCTGGGTTCTTCGAAGCATGTGACGGACTTGGTTCCGTGCTCTATGTTCTGAATCTGGTTGGTGCTCTGCACGCCAGGATCTGGAAAATCTTGAGGTGTTTGCGGGAATTGGATCGATCTGTGGAATGTTCAGCACCCTGACGCACTTGTGCTGCGATTCAAATATCTTCCTGGCAAGACTTGAAGCTTGCTCAAAGATTTGTTCTCGATACTGGTTTGGGTCTGAAAATTGGCTAGGCGACAATGGATATGCCTCGTGTCTTGTCCAGCAACTAGAAAAGTATCACGCGCGTTCATATAGTTGAAATGCATACTAACCGCGACTTGCGTGCGTGTGTCTGAGGTCGAGATATGACCTGACTGACAATTCAACCTGCTGGAGATCAGCGGTTTTCTCGCTCTGCTCAAAAAGCTCCTCAGGTTACGGCCAGGGGGGTTAATGTGGGGAGGGAATCCTTGCTGCAACCAAATCTGGATGTCGAGCTCCGTGCACAAAAGAAGCCAATGGCAACCTTGGGGAGACACCACGCAGAAAAGCAGCTTGCTTGAAAATTAGGACACGCGCGTTTTGCAGTACTTTATTTGCAAGTTACATTGACGCTTCGAGTTCTGTGCTGGTGCTGTTAGGCGTTCAGCAAGCGAACATCATAAACACCCGCTTCACACTGGCTTTGCTGATTGGTTTGACCCGCAATGTCTTTACGGATATCGAACAACCTGGCAGCTCGCAGTTGAAACACCTGCCGTACCTACGGTACACTGCCCGTGTGTTAGCAGCTGCATCCAACGTTCGATGGATGCATCAGACCTTGAAGCTTGTCTTGCAAGTTGGGCTTCGATTCAAACAAGTCCAGGCGTATATGGTGGCATAATAAGTTTGCAGCGTTGTTGCATGTGTGTTTCTTTGCATCTAAGTTGGATGGGCCTTTGGGGCCACGCCAATCCAAAGGCTAGCTATGTGATGGGGTTTTCGCACCTTGGCTACTGCACCAGTTTCGACACTGTGCACATGTGTATACCGTTTTAACTGCAATCAACTAAGTCCCTGGGTGCCATCGCTGAGAACCACAATGACGAAAGCCAAACGTGCTTCATTCAAGAAGACATCCAAAGTCTTGGTGCGCAAACAGTTGAAGCGTGATGGTTCCGGACAACATGTGCCCGGGGCTGATTTGTACCAGATATATGATGAAATCAGGTAGACCTTGAATTCAACACTTGAGCAGTTGATCTTGCATTTCATTAAGGACTGGAACGAAGCTACTCCAGCAAAGCCAAGCGTACCCCAAGAACTTTGCCCGGGAAATCTTTCAATTGCATCAATCGAGAGAGGCCGCGTTCTTGAATTGTTTGTGTAGTCGCATACGTACTTTCTTGCTATAAGGGAAGGGACTGGGTGACCTTTAGATTTGTTTTATAACCCCTAGCTCGGGAAGGAAAGGTCAGCCTCAGAAAACCATGTTTTCAAGGCCCATCAAAGTTGAAGCTCGTTTCATCAGGACCTCCTTCAAAGCGACCCCTGACTCAGCAGGTTCGTGAGCCACAGCTGAACTACAACGAGCTTAAGAACACCAAGCTTGAGCCTTGGCCCATACAGTTAAACCCAAGTGCCCAATCAAGGCTGGGCCTCCTTCATCGCCGGTTTCTCACATAGTTTCAACCCGCTGGGGGACCGCAAATGTCCTCAAAGAAAGTATGCAAACAAACTGTACGCTTTCCGGATCACACAGCAATGTGTTTTGCGTCGTCGTGCAAGGACTGAGAAGTTGATAGGTCCCCAAACAAGTATAACGTGTATTTTACCCAAATCTTGCCCGTCAACCCTGGTTGAAAAGCAGGGTCTTGAAAAAATTACGGTCCATCCACTCCATTCGGGCCCGCCTTCAACATTTCCGGCGCTCTGCCACCGCAAAGCGCCAAGGGCGCCTGGAGACACGGGGGTTTCCAAAAACAACATTCGGTATTGGGTAGTTGGAGGCTACGCGCAATAAGATTGAACTTTGTAGCGGGTGATGGGGAATGGGAATTCAAAAGCCGTCATTTTGAGAATCGGCTCAGGCAGTCCCCGGTACCTGGAGTGAGGGCGACTTCAAAGGTTTGACGGGCTTCCTGAAACAAGAAGCTGCACTGGGTGTGTTCACGCCCCTTGAGCTGGGCCGATGGTGAACAGGCTGAATTGGTCGGGGGGAGGCGTTTTTTTTCATATCGCTGATGCAATTGAAACATTATTGAAAGGTGAATCTCACGATTGAATGCCAACCCCAACTTGCAAGCGTTTGCCCTAGGCTTATACGTACAGTGTGGTGGCGCGCAGCGCCAGGCTTGCCAATTCATGGGATCACGCAACCCTGGATGCGGGTTCCGTTTTGTCCGCAAATCTAGCTTCCTGCATTTTAGGGTCCGCATGCTCCTGAGGTGTCGCGTGATTTCACGTGACTCTGCGTGACATTGCGTGAAAAAAACGCCCAAAAGACTTCATATTCGGTCCTTACGTGAAATTCGTGATTCTCCGTGAAACCGCGTGATTTCGGATATCTCATGACCCTCGCTATAGAGCAACATTTTAGATCCAGCTAGTTGGCACTCGTGATTTGTTCACCCTGGCTGTTCTCACGCCGGCAATGGGGAAAAGGGCAGCCGCTACCCGGCCTGCTTCGAACATACCCCCGGAGTTGCAGAAGCAAATTGATCTTGCAAAGCAACTTCACAAGCCAGTGGCAACACCTTCGCGCGGGGCGCCCTCGCCCTCGGAGAGCTTCAGCAAGTCTGACAAGTCTGCAGTGCTTTTGAAATCCCCGGAAAAGAAGAAAGCCAAGCTTGCCGACGACGCGCAGCTGGACAACAAGCCGACTTTGCGCTGGGGGCAATCGGGCACCGATGTGGAGTCGCAGGTTCCGGACGACGAGCAGCAACTCAACTGCGATTTCTGCGGCTTGCATGGCTATGACATGGGCGGCGCTACACCGTGGATCCGCAAGGCAAGGCAAACATGTTCTCGATATGTTGTTTTTCTTATGAACGCACGCGATTGCGAAAGACGGTGTCTCCCTGCAGGGCTGCGAGATCTTCTGCAGCAACACGTGCTACGAGCAGGTGGTTGCCGACGAACGGGCGAAGGCTGAGCAGAGGTTGAAGACCATGATCAAGGAGAAGCGCAAGGCCTCAGCGCAGAAGGCTAAAAAGGATGAGCAAGCGCCGGTCATCGAGATCAAGGACACGCCAAGCATGGAGGAGATCGGCAAGGCGCTGGCGGAGACGCCTACACAGCCTGACGAAGTTGCAGACGAAATGCAAATCGAGCAGGGTAAGGACGAGACCATGAACGCGGAGACGGGCACGACCGTCGAGCAGAAGGGTGGCACCCTGACCGAGCAGCGCAAGGACAAGAACGCGGAGACGGGCACGGTTGAGAGCAACGCGGCGGCGCATGTCGAGCAGAAGGGTTGCACGCTGACCGAGCAGGGCAAGGACAAGAACACGGAGACGGGCACGATTGAGAGCAACGTGGCGGCGCATGTGGAGCAGAAGGGTGGCACGCTGACCGGGCAGGGCAAGGACGAGACCATGAACGCGGAGACGGGCACGATTGAGAGCAACGCGGCGGCGCATGTCGAGCAGAAGGGTGGCACGCTGACCGAGCAGGCCAAGAACACGGAGACGGGCACGATCGAGAGCAACGCGGCGGCGCATGTCGAGCAGAAGGGTGGCACGCTGACCGAGCAGGCCAAGGACAAGAACGCGGAGACGGGCACGGTCGAGAGCAAGGCGGCGTCGCATGTCGAGCAGAAGGGTGGCACGCTGACCGAGCAGGGCAAGGACGAGACCATGAACGCGGAGGCCGACACAATCGACGGCAAGGCGGTGGTGGAGACGCCTACGGAGCACAAGGGCGCCGCGCCGGCAGTCCCTTTGGAGCGCAAGGGCAGCCTCAAGCTACTACGGGACCGCCTTCACGAAGTACACGAGAGCAGGAGCTCATTCTTGCAGCTGATGATTGCGGAAGCCATCAAGATGGCAGCAGACGCCCCGCAGTTCGAGGAGCATCTCTCCAGACTGCAAGAGACGCAGAAGCTACTAAATTTGCAGGAAGAGGACCTGTGCGTGGAGTTCGAGAAGCTATCGTTGGAGCAGCCGCCGGTTGATGTGGAAGCTGTGCGCAACTCGCTTGAGCGGGCCTCAACACGCGAGATTAACGGCACGGATGACTCTTCAAAGAAGCAAGCCGCGGCAGACACAGAGGCAGCGAATTTTTACATGTGTTTATATTTAGCGCCGTTTCTGGCAACAAACCCATGCAGGCAGAGGAAAAAGCCAAGGAAGCAAGGAGGGCCTACATGAGGTTTTACAGATCAATCCGCCAACCGGTTTTCAAATTAACACGTTTTAACTGTGTGATCGCAACTATTTCCTTTTCCCTAGCTAGCTGGTGTGTTTGTGGAAGCGCCGTATTTTTCTTTTAAGGTCATCCAGATGTACCTGCAGAAGTGGCCAAGCAAGCCTTTAGCTATGATGAGCAGGGCAACGCGAAGCCGCGCAAGGGGGCGCCTATGAGGCAACTATACGAAGCGTTCTTGAGCTCCCACGAGAACTGGCAGGAGTCCCACATAGTGCTCAACGCCAAATCGTCGAGTACTTCGCGGCGTTTTGGCAGCTACAGGTGGCGCAAATTCAGCGAGATTGCTGCGGAGTTCGGGGAGGGCGTGGCCCTTGAGATGCAGGAGTTTACCCCACGTGTGCGTAGAAACACATAAACAGTTCTCGGTCGCTGTCAAATGCTTGAAGCCCGGTCAGGAGTACAAGAAGTCCCAGGGGGCAAAGTGGTACAGAGTGCACCCGGATAGGCCCACGGACCCCAATTGGAGCCTTCTCAAAATCTTTGATTCTGCCCATGAAGAACAAGCCAGCGAAGATGAGATGAACTACAACTTCACCAGCGGGGGGAATCTCGATGCCGAAGGGACCAACAACATGACGCGCCTTAGCTATATACACATGCATATGTTTCGTGAGTATCACGCGGATGCGGTCCCAGCCCTCGTGTTGCCCAGGCGGCGCCTCATCGAAGATCAAGACGCCCGCCAAGACGGGAACGCTGGCGGCCTTGCCGGCGACAAAGTGGCCGGCGCCGGCGGGGAGCCGACTGGGGTCCCCGGGGTGGGGGGCAACAAGATCGATAAGCCTGCAAGAAAAGCCAAAGAAAAGACTGTGAAGCAACAGGCGCAAGGTTTGCTGAAAACAACGGCAACCAAGATCACGGAATCAAAATGCTGGCGGAGCAAAATGCAGGAAGCAGCGGTGCTGCTCGGCTAAGAGCAAACTGTTGTTTACCGGTCTGAATGTTTGCGTTATAAACCGGCTCAAATCTCGACGGCAAAACCGATCCCAGGCCAGCGAACACGATTGAGGCCCTATTGAAGGACATTGATGGCCCTGCCTCGGACATGCAGACATCCTACGTCAATTTGGAAACGAAGGTGCCATGGTTTTTTCAGCATGTTTGTTGAAGTATCACACGCAGCATGAACTAGGCCGTACTGCTTGCCAAAAAAACACTTGTTGAATGCATATCTGATGAAGGTCTCCGAGGTGAGGACGGACGAAGATATCACGACTGCTTGTGAACTGGTGACAGCTGCGTGCTCGCTATCAGAACGCAGTTGTTTGTTGCCGGAAATTCATCGCAAAGCCAAAGAGTGCTGCCAAGAAGGCTGCTGCAAAGCCAAAGGCATAGTGTCGCGTACTATGCGATAGCATTTCAAGTTTCCTGCAACCCCAGTTGTGCTTTCATGTTGATGGGGACCCAGGCATTTGCTTTCGATTGCTGCAACTTTGCAACTGTGCACCCTAGCATATTTGACATGTAAAACTGTGAGACTAGTCTTATCATGTGGCCTGGTGCCGACCTGAAAGCAGGGGCAAGCTTGCTTAGACTCAGGGCCTAGGGTGTGCCCTGGACGGCAAGGCTTCAGTATTTTCGTAGCAGGGTTGAAACTTGGCTCATTGCAGCGCCGTGGTCTAAAAAAGATAGCCAACCGCTTGTGTGCGAGCAAGCCTGGCCTCTGGCTTGAAGTTGCTGTGCATCGCTGGCGCCACTCCTGGCCGAACGAGTTTGCATTCAAGCCCGGCCGATACGCAGGTGGCGATGCGCTCCCGAACAAGATTGGCCTAATTCAGAAGCGACTGCTTGCCGGGGCTGGAGCTGGAGTAACTCGAAAGCACACGAGTGCTGTTTTCAATCCCCACCAGTGCTGTTTGCACGTTTGACGACCGTTCACACGCAGTCACAAACATTTACAAAACCAAGGAGTGGAGCTACGTTGCTGCTCAAGACATTGCAGAGTGCATTTCCTTGGATCTTTAGCCTGCATAGTAGAGTGTGTGCAAGTGCCAGTTTGTCATACACACTTCCGCCATGTGCTTTCTGCAATGAGGAACTTGGTGAACAACTCGTCCCTGAAAGCGTTGAATCTCTGGCCCGTTGTGGAGCCCGGGGGGCGCAATCTGGTCACATGCCGCGGGATGTGGGCAGATTGATGGAAAAGAACAGCGACCTAGACAAGGAGCCGCTTGAGACCAAACCCCAGCACCGATTTTACAAGTTGTGGAGTTTGCATTGATGACCATCACACACTCTCGAAAAGGTAATTCTTACGAGTTGTGGGAGTACAAATCGGGGCCAGGTTGCTATTGATTATAGATTCAGGGACGAGACCGAAGCTTGCAGGTGCCTATGCACACGGTCGCCTTGGCGATCAAAGATATAGAAAACCCTGAACAGCATGCCAACGTGCGCACGCCGCTGGTCTCAGCTATCACTTGTGGTTTAATTTGTTAGTTATAAACAAGCTTTGACCATTTCCCACGTTTCTCCCAAGCCGGCGCCTGCATGTTGAGGACCCTGCCAATCATCGCCCCGCATGAGCTGACACCTTGGCTTATTCGCAACAAGCTCATCCGGCTGGACAAAGGCGGGGGGAGTTGGCCAGACTTAAAGAACCCGTAGTTTGCCAATTTGTTGTTTGTTGCTTAGGCGAAGCGATCGATTTTTGGACCCATATGAAAAAGCACAATGTCGAGTGGGCGCAAGATGTTGTACCTGGACAAACAGCTTTCTATCCAATATCTGTCTATGGAGATGACGCCCGGTACACCGACACCGGAGAAAAGATCCTGACTATTCTGGTTAGAGCCTGAACCGAACATATTTGCCTTACTCTTTGTAGTATAGCTATACGTGTAGATGCTATATGGTACAATTTCATCAACCGTATTGTCTTAAAAGTTTGCTGCGCTGAGGTTACCCTTTATGGGATACTCACAAGAAATCAATTTGGAAGTCACGATTTCCGGTGTTCTGCCTCCACATGCAGAAATCATTGGGAAAAGAAACGTTGGCGCCGGTGTGGCGCTTCCTGCAGTGGTCGATCAACTGCCTTTACAAGAACGAGCATCCATGCAGGGATGTAGATGGCAAAGCCTGGGACCCACAATTGGCAGGTACCCCTTTGTTCCCTGGCGAAGACCACCGTTTCAGGCTCACAGAAATTCGTGGAGATTGGAAGTGGCTCCAGGAGACTTGGAACATCAGAAGTCACTGGCGGTCAGACCGGGTGTGTCACCGATGTCGGGCGACCAAATGCACTACATGTCCGCTGTACAACTTTGATGAGAACCCTGCTTGGGCCGCAACCGCATTGAATTTTGAAATGTTTATGGACGAAGAGATTAAAATGGCCGATCCCCACTTGAATTCCCTGCTTTGGTGCCACGGATTTCACTTCCTTATGCTGCGTCCGTGCAGTATGCACGCGATCCATTTGGGGGTCGGTTTAGACTTGAATGGGTCAACGCTGCGGACACTGCTTGATCACGGTGTTTATGGGCCCCCTCCTTTGCGCCAGCAACTTGCAACAGCGTGGGCGAGATTCCGGGAATGGCGCTACGTGCATGGGATTGCTTGCAGTCAGCCGCAGTTCCGCCCCTACATGCTTGTTTCGAGCCCGGATGACATGTGCCTCCTACGAACAAAGGTTTCTTGTTTGCAACATCCCTGAAGTGAACGCATGAGAATTGCTAGATCTCTTGCGCTTGCCACGAGGCTTACAACTCGAGAGTAATCACAAGCTTTCTGGCACACGACGCCTGCGCGCTGGTAAAAGACATGAACAAGCTCAAAGACATCGCGCCAGAGGATGTTGACATGATCCGCGAGACGGCCCTCTGTGTGTACAGATTTCATGAGCTCTACTGCCGCACTGAGGCGGGCGACCGCTTGCTCACTCAATCAGAGCCCTGGCTCAATTTGTGTGGGTTTGAGGGCTCAAGCGTCCACTGAAAAATATACAGCACAAACAGTTTGAATGACTTGACATTGACTCACTGGGCACCCCGGCAATTCAATTCAGCGATGATGAGGCAAAAGGCAGCTCATCGCAGCTTGAAATTGTGGCTGGTTTCTCACAAGACCGTGTTTTTTGGAACGGGGGGCCTATTTCAGAATAGACCTTTAATTTGGCTCTGCCAGCACGATGAACACCGTATCTGCTTTTGGGAAATGTGGATGGGCCCTGCCGGGTAAACCCCCAAAGAAGCACCAATTCTGATACACTCTTTCAGGGCACATGCAACATTGGTGCCTTGGTACTTGAGGCAGCAAATGGCATCTACGAGGCTGGCATGGCAGGGCTGCAAAGCTATTTGAAACTGGCGCGCGCGGCTGCCTCTCGCAAGATGAGGCTTGGCGAAGACAAACTAGAGCGCGATCATGAAACCAACTTTGCAGGTATAACGTTGGTGCAATGATTTTCTAAACAACCAAAATCAAGAGTGCTGAAGGTTGGGATCCCCTGGAAATCAACATGCAAAAAGACTCCCCCTAGCGGAAGTTCTTTTATGGGGCTTGGGCCTCGGGGTCAATGTTAAATTGCAGCCGTCCCCCCCAAACAACAAAAAGACAACAATGGTCGATGTTTAAAAGAAGTTATAACGTTGTAAAAAAAAAACAACAACAACAACCGATATCTAAGGATGCGATGGCAGATACGCCCAAAGCACCATCTAATGCACCACATGCTGCGAGATGTCAGGGATGCGTGTTGCCTGTCAGCATGCAAGGCGCATCAAAACCGTTCACATGTCCGAACGGCTTGATCAGGCTACAATTTCAAACGGTACCACTGCTATAGAGACGAAAGCACTATGCAATTCATCAAGCGAGCCCTGGCGCGGTTAAACGCAGTCTGCAGCATCAACACGAGCAGTGCGACAATCAAAGGCCATGACCAATCTCAGGCATTGCAGCTTCTAGCCAGAGATCCACGATGGAGAGAACAATTATGCAAAAATGGTGGACAAGGTGTGGGGGCGGGGGGTACACCAAACTTCAAGCGCCTACCCGCCCAGGTTGGGCTGCAACTACAAGGAGATCAAAAACCGCTTGCAGCTGGCGCCCTTGGAAGCCTGATGTGTGCCTGCACGCATGAGACGGTCAATTAGTTAATTTGCGCACGCTATCGCGCGCTTGTCTTGGCGCCCTATTGCCCCATAAACCCTTTAAAAGCAAGGTTGCATCAACATTGTACTTGCATTTGGGGACCAGAGGCGCAATTCAGACTTTGCAACCTACGTTAGTCTGCATGCAAGAGCTTCAAAAACAGGCTGAGCGTACCATGGCGAGGGGTGAGGCTGTGTGCGGGCGTGCCCGCATCATTCATCTACCAGCTAAGACCCTTATATGTAGGAACATTTTTTGGTTCCCTCAAATCCAGGGTCTTTTCTAAGACCTTCATATTTGAGGTCTTGGGCTCCCAGGGGTCTGACATTCACTCACTCACTCCGCACTCCTCTCGGCTTATCGGATCAGGTGCACAGGTGCAACCCGCAACCGCAAGCTGAAAACATGGCACCACGAGGCTAGCCTCTTTGACTATCAACCTAATATCGACGCCATCTGAATCAAACCCAATTAGTCAGGGGGTGGGGGGCCCTTCCAAAAAGTGGTCTGATTCCGGACTAGGGACCACCCCACTATTGATACACTGGGGTTGATTCATATGGGGCCAACATTCATCTTGGTTGACGTTGGAAGGTTTAAATTTTAGCAGTTAACTAGTGATTTCAACCGCTAAACCACAATAATCAAACATGGGAAAAATGTGTCCCCATGCAATGGGCATGGAAGCTCAAGCTCTGTACGAGACCCGCTCGAGAAGCTCAGCCGGAACTCGTTTAAACCCTCACTCGATGGCAGCCAGCGCCCAGCTGGCGGCCCGAACCGAATCCAAGATCCCTCCCAAAAAAGTCAACGGTGAGCTGGTTTTGCTCAGTTGCAAAAAGTGCAGACCCCCTTTCAACCAACCACATCACCTCGCTTCCTCAGTGGCCATGGGAATAAAGGGGGCATCCTTTTTTGGTTGGTTGACTTTACAGGGGAACCCTTCCCCACCCCAAAACAAACCAAAACCAAAAAGGGTACCACTGGGCAACTGGGCTTCACACCAGGTGCAAACGGTCCAGCTTGCTTCTCGTCATTGCTGGACGCCCTGCACTTATGATTTCCGAGGGAGAGTGATCACTTTACGTTCCAAGGGAAAGTGATCAGATCACTTGGTTGCTTGATTGTTTGGTTGGTTGGTTGTTCGCCTGTTTGTTTGTTTTTGGTTTGTCTGTGTGTTTGTTTGTGTGGTTTTATTTTTGTCTGGGCAATTGTTTCCAAGGGCATTGCCTGCTCGGTTCCAGTCAAACCACCAGCTCAAGGAAAGTCCACGTTTCCAGACACACCTGGGCGAATCGCCTTCATCTCGCCATCTTGCCCTCAACTCTACCAAATGGGGGGGGGCGCTTCTTCTAGGTCCTCCAGTAGAGAGGTTAGAAGAAGGGTACCCGTTTTTCTGTTCTTTATTTTAGTATATGAACCCTCCCCGAAAAAAAAGGGTAAAAGGGCACTGGGGGACCTTGTTTACCAAATGGCGGGTCGCTTTTTTGCTGAAACATCCCCCCAAACGGCACGCGAATGGCGCCACCCAGTTCGTCGCCACTCGAAACCGCCACCCCGTCGGGTCTGGCCGCGCCTGTGTTGTTGAAGCACTTCCGCACAGAGTTGGGCAAGCCCTCGGTCCACTCCTGGATCCAAACCACTGCTGCACTGGCTGACAAAACCGTATGGGTTGCCAAGTGCCGGGCTTCTCTAAACCATGACACCAATGATTGAAACCCAAAGGGAAATGGACGAAGGGCCTTTAGGTCCTCCAGTGGAGAGGATAGAACAAGTTGGTACCGGATTGTTTTTTTATTGTATTTTTTCTGTAGAACATATTTTAGTAGGGGAACCCACCCAACCAAAAAAGGGGTGAGAAAGGGCACTGGGGGAGCTAGTGCTGGCTGAAAACCAAATCGCCTGCCGCGAAGACAAGTTCTTCGCAGGGGGCCAAGAGTTTCCAAAGGTTATCACAGCAGTGGGGTAGACCAACCAGTCTCATTCAACAGCAGCCCCAATGCGTCGTTTGTCAGGTTACCCCGCTTTGGGCTTGGCTGAAAGGAAGAACACAAAGAACCAAACCCATTCAATCCCCAAAATGGGGATTGCAAACCCCCACCCTGTTTTGCATATTGTAGCAAAATAGCAGGCCACCAGGTCGTTTCAATAGGATGCTGTCTCGACAGGAACGAAACCTATGTGAATCAAACACAGCCCTGAGCATGTCTCTTTTCAGTCAACCACCAGTAGCAAGAACCTTCCTGGACCTTCTCACTTCCAGAGTGGTCAGAGCAATTGTCCAGACTTGTCTTAACACCACGATGATCTTAAGATGTCAAAGTCCGGAAACTGGGGAAGAGAGACCCTCCGCTGCAGATGAACATGGAACCCGAAAAGACGGTCGGTCCCAACCAAGTTTGCTCGAACAAACTCATGTTGTTGTTGGTTCCACGTGAATGCGCAGCGCTTTCTTGTTCTCACATTCTGTTCAGGGATCATTTCCTTCCGAACAAAATGCAAGCTTTCGGGGAAATGGGTGGTTTCTAAAGAGACCCAAAGGGTCCACGTCCCAGTTGAGGAAATACTTAGAGCCCTTTTTACCTGCCGAAAGCAATCCTTGGAAGTACTTGGACCCTCCGGGAGAAGGACAACTGGATAACAATCCTTGGGAAAACAATGGTTTTATGAACCCAACCGTTGTTTCAATGGTGGCAACTGACCTCCAGGGATAAACCATCCAACTGGTTTAAGGGGACCAAAGCCGGGGTTCATTCTCACATTCCCAACCTATCGCACCAGCAAGGGGACATAAAGGAATACCAAGCGACCTCGCAAAGCTGACCCCTGATGAAAACCCCTGCCCAGTTATTAATCAGAGGGTTTCCCCGGAAAAAAAGAGGGATTCCCCGCTAAATCAAGGACACGCTTTATAACAAGTGGGGTTTATGCATTAGGGGTTGACATTTAAAAAATATGAGATTGGTACAATCTAGGGGACGCTTCCGCATTCTTTCCAGGGATCCTTCTTCCCAGAAAACCATCAGAACCCCAGGGGAAACAGCTGGTTTTTGAAAAGAGCGATGGTCAAAAATAATGGAAAATATTGGAAAAGGAATCAACCCCTAGAACAACCCCCGGTTCTTCCTGTTCCTGCTTCTCTTAGACAAACAAAAACTTCCTTTGCGCTCCTCTCCCCCCAAAAAAAAGCAAACGGCTTCCTGTGTGCTCCTCTGGGCTTCCCTTGAAAAACTATGGGGAGGTTTCCTCCTTACTGGACAACCTGCCCGACTCGACTCGACTCCTGCAGGAAGGAGAGCTTCTTGGGTGCTTGCACCTGCGGCACCAGGTTCTCCTTCAGCTCCTCCCAGTCCTTCCGCCAGAACCCGAGCGGGTTTTTCCGGTCAGGGGTTGAAAAAACCGCATGGTTTTAGGGGAAGCCAAGAGGAACACAAAGAAAGCCGATGGACATTTTGGGGGTCCCTGGAGTCCCTAGTTTGCTTCCTCCTGTACGACAAACCCGCAAGAATATTAAAAAAAACAACGCCAACAAGGCCCCGGACCATGGGAAAAAAGAGTGGAGGAGGAAAAAATACCGACCTGCCGGCCGAATGAACCCACAAAAAAACGCGTTGAGCCCGGGAACAGAGCAAACTGGTATGACCCAGCTGGTACCCTTGCAATTTGTTTGGGACACTCCCTGGGAATCCACACGAAGAAACAGCAAACAGCTGCTTTGATTGACGGCGCCTTTGGAGAGCATGAACTGGTTTGACTGTTCAACTCGTAGAATGGAATGCCATAGCCCAACAAAGAGGCCCTGCCAAAGAGGTCCACAAGGTGATGTTTACACCCAAAAACGGAAGAAGTTGAGGCCCAGAAACCGGCCCTTGACGGGAACAGGTGCCATTCAGCGCCTGGTATCAGAGTCGATTGCATCTTTCCAAGGCCCGGTTAAACCTTTCCAGGTGGGCTGCTTGGTTTGGGGCAGAAGCTGAGCCCTGCAACAAGTCAACTGAAAGGGGATGTCCCTTGAGGAAGTTGACCATCGTCCTACCTTCCCACAAGTGTCTTCCGTCAGGGAAAAGTGTGATACAAGGGCCGAAAAAAAGGAATGAGGTTGTACAAGGCACCTTAAACCCAACTTAAGTCACATGGGAGACCTAGGTGCGTATTCATTTAGACCCCTATAAACCTTGCTGGTGCTCAATTGGGAATGTGGGAATGAACCCAGGGGGCCCCTATTAAAGGAACCATAGGGGGTGGTGAATAAATCAGGTATTCCCCTTTTTTCCGCTACCAACTTTTTTCTGTAGAACATATTTGAGTAGGGCAACCCTCCCAACCGAAAAAGTTGGTGAGACCAGGGCAGCTAGCTGGGGGACCTCATAATCATCGCTGTAGTAACTTGCCATTTTTTTGGCCAGGTAAACTCCATCTGAATTGCCCAGTGCGCCAAAAAAGTTGGGAGAGAAGGGCGCCTGGCTGGGGGACCTAGCGCCTCCCAATCGCCCCGTTTGGCGCCCCTCCCCCCCTCCCCGCCTCCACCCCTCCCCGCCTCCCCCCACCCCCCCTCCCCCTCCCCGCCTGCCCCCCTCCCCCTCCCCGCCTGCCCCCCTCCCCCTCCCCGCCTGCCCCCCTCCCCCACCCCCCCCCCCCTCACCCCGTTGATCGCGCCTGGTGCTGCTCCATGAAGGCCTTGTGGTCAAAGGCGCTCAGGCCGTCGCTGGCGTTCCAGGGGCCCGCCTGGAAAACGACGCGCCGTACCACGTTTTTGTTGTTTTTTCCTGGGGAGGAGATGACTCCGGTGCCCAGTGGATTTCCATGGGAAAAAATGATCATCCGATGTCCAAAAAAAAAAACGGAAACAAGGGGCGGAATCCACTGGGCCACTGGGTTTGACCCGATTTCTTTCAGCCGAGCCAAACATGACCCCGATATCTCACTTCCGCCTCTGAACAATTTGTGGCCGCTGGCACCGAACCTGAGTCAAACGTTTCCAAGCCGGGGCGAAGAGGGCCTCGAGCCTCAAAGATCCACTCGCGGGAAAGACCGCGCTGAAAGTTTGCCTTTCTCAAGCCCAAGACCCAACGCAAATCTGACAAGTGTTGAACCCCACCTTCAGAACGGAGGTTGGTTGCGGTCTGGGCCTTCCTGACTCCCGGAAAAGTTCTGGATTTTAAGCTCTTGCCTGGAGAAACATCGAAGGATCAAGTCTACAAAACGGTTTCGATGTGCTTTTTGTGGATTTCACCCATTCTTGTCCCTGTAGTTTTTGTTTGATCTTTTTGGTACTCTTTCATCCCTTTCCTTTCCTAGATCAAGGGGAAGGATCAATTTAAAAGCTTCCCAACGAGTCCTTTGCACAGCTTTCGCCTTGCAGTTGTAGATGCCCACATGGCGCCCGTAGAGCCTTCCGCCCTCTGCATGCCAGCCCATCTGCGGAGAGGAAGCGCACGACTCGGTGGGTCTTTCTTGGAGGGAACTCTTCTAGAGGTTGTAACAGACAGCCAAAGGGAACTGACTTTTAGAGACAGAACCATATTTAGGCATGCATGGGTAAAAACTGGGAAAGCGCGGTCCTCAACCATGTCCAAAGTGGATTTAGCCCTCCCACATGGCATGTTATTTGGGGTCCGAACTGTTGTGGCACTTTAAGTGTGGAAGACATATATATATATATATATAGTATTCACCGAATCTATCCTGTAACTTAGAGACTTAGTTGTTGCCTGGAACCATTTGTGCATGGCCCATATTTCTGTCCTTCTTGAGGCTCGGCCCCTTTGCACTTTGGCTTGAAAGGTCAACCAAACGGCTAGCCTCAAAAACTCCCCTGAAAAAGGCTCTCAAGATGTGAATTTGGACCAACCAACAGGCGGTCCACTATTTTCAGAATATGTCCCGATTGAACATCACCCTACGAGGACAACTCCCTTTGAATCAGCCCATCACAATGCGTCTAAACGAGGCACAAGGGGGTGGACGTGCATAAAGCCGAAGACTTGCACAATGCACTGTCAACATAGCAAGGACCTGCCCGAAGTGAATCAGAATCCCCCTGCCAGTTGCGACCTACTCGATTTTTAGAGCGTGCCCGCAATGAACTCTTGGCAACGCCGCTGGATCCTTTTCCAATTTTGGGAAACACCCTCCTCATTTGTCACTGGACTAAAGTCAGCTGGCTTCCATGAGGTAATCTATGCCAAGAGCCTTCATCAAACTTGAAATAAATCAAGCACGGGGCTCTCACAATACCGTCCGGAAAACCAAGACAGAATTTGCAATGAAAGAACACCCACATTGAAATGGGTATAAGTTTCAATTAGGGACCCTTTGGTGGACATCATTTAAGGTGGGTATTCATATGTCCACCAACCACTTTTCAGGGGATTCCCGGCTAAAATTCATAGCCACATTTGCCTCCGCTAACTGTCAGAAGGTCGCGATTCGATCTGGGCAACCCCATCGGTTCCCAGCCTCGGCAGTGCTCAGTTCAGTCTCATTGCACTGCTGCAGGGAACAGCCGATGGTCCCCGGGGCACACTTCTTCTTGGGCGGGGGGACAAAGTGGTAGGGGTTCAGCATCTCCTGCGGTCGAAAGAAAAGCAAACACCCCTTGGATACCTTCTAGGTCCTCCTGTAGAAAAGTTAGAATAAGGGTGCCCTTTTTTTGTAGTCCCTCCCCCAAAAGAGAAATGGTAAAAGGGCACTACTGGAAAACCTAGCCTTGGATACCCTGGAGGGGAGACCTCTTGGCACCAGCAGCAGCAGCAGTTTCGCTCAAGGCTCCTCCTCCTCCCCTTGGGGGTGGTGCAAGGCACAAACGTTGTTATGGATCAGGGAGCTCGAGGAACACTCCAGTGGTATGCAGCCGCACTTGTTCAGGCCCCCGACGATGGAGGCGAAGATGAAGGCCAGAAGCACATCCGACCTGAGAGCGCTCCGAGCACCCGGAAAAATGGAGAAAAAAAAACGGCGGAAAGCTGGGCCTTGGAAAAGGGAAATAGGACCCAAAACCCATTCTCTACCCGTATAAGGTCAGCTTGGGAGAAACCTGGTCACAGCCAAAGTGAAGCAAAGTCGTGGCTGACCAGGAAGAAGAGTTCCCTGTGAAACAAACGCCCTCGAACAGGAGTTGATCAATTGAGCCCCTCCAAAACAGTTAAGCACACAGGGGCCACAGGCAGTGCCAGTGGAAACAAACATCTACATGCTTTTTGGAGGTGGAGCAGAACAGTTGGGGCAGACCTCCAAACATTTTTTGCACTGCGTCTCTCCCTCCCACAGTGATTGCCCGGTCAAACTCATGGGTTTGCCTCTCAGATGTTCAGTGGCCATGGGAAAACAAGAAGAAACAAAAAGGCACCCTTTTTTAGTTGGTTGACTTTAAAGGGACACCCTTCCCACCCCTGAAACAAGGCGGCACATGTCACATGGCGTCCCTCTTTCGGCTTCTTCTACCGCTTCTACCTAGGTCCTCCAGTAAAGAGGATAGAATAAGGGTACCAACTTTTGTCTGTAAGCCTTTTTAGTAGGGGAACCCTCCCAAAAAAAAGGTGAAAGGGCACTACTGGGGGACCTAGGAACAGAAAGCCATCACCAAACTCGAAGATGGATCCAACTCGGAGCACCTTTCTCCAATGTCCCATTGGAGGCTTTTTTTAGTTTTCTCCTTCCCTTTTGTCTCAAGCCATCCAAAATTCTCAGATGGCCATGGGGCATAATCTATGGCTCCATTTTGGGGTGGATGAACATCCATTTGCCACCTATTTTGATGTTCACCAGGGGCACAGGGTTTTGACCCAACACTCAGATCGCCATGTCCGGGTCGCCCGAAGGGCGACAGCATCAGGAAGAAGAGCGGCGCCAGGATGGGGCACAAAGGCACCAGGCCCAAAGACAAGCCCCCCTCGGCCAAGAAAAAACGATTCGCTGCGTCCTTTTGGTTTCTGTTTGCACTCGAGGTCCTCCAGATTTGAGAGCTTAGAATAAGTTTTTCTGTAGAACATATTTTAGTAGGGAAACCCTTCGAACCAAAAAAGGGGAGAGAAGGGCACCTGGCTGGGGACCTAGCACCCAAAGGCTTGCGACAACCCGAACAAAATATGTGCCTCAAAGCTTTGGGGGAACTCTCATGCCAAAATCGGAAACCACACCCCGAGAACCCGCGTCCGTTGAGGTCACGGGGATCCGAGTCTCGGCTGTCTCCGAGGCGCGGTAAAGGCGGCGCCCCCCAGCGCGATGGTTTCGCAAGTCGCCACGAAGGCGGGGCCGAGGATCATAGTGTTCTGCACCGTCTGGCGCTGGGGGGCGTGGGGCGTGGGGTGGGGGTGGGGAGGGGGTGGGGGAGCAGAGCGTGGGCTGGGGGTGGGGGGTGGGGTGGTGGGCCAGGGTGGGGTGGGGTGGTGCGGTGGGGGGGGTGGGAAGAGGCGAGTTCCTGTCCGCAATCGGGGTTAAGAGGAAGAAGAAGAGAATTGCGACTGTCTGTTTGTGTTTTGGAACTGGTGGGGTTCAGCATCTTGCTTTTTGGTGATCCGAGTTTGGGTTTTCAGGAATTGGGCACTCATACTTGAGGTTACAACCAAGGTCACAAGTGGGGCTGGGGTTCGTGCCCCATGGTTAAAAAACACTGCTAACTTGAACGCCCAACGTATTTGAATGGACAAAATCGATTCTGGTGATCTCAGGATTCCAATCAGGATTCCTCCATCCCAACTGATCTGGTAGATGTTTTCTCCAGAACCTCAAAAAGTGGCTCAAGTCCAGGAACCCAGGAACTTTTGTACCTGAAACTTCAGCATTCCCTTCAGAATGGGGTTCTAGCCCCAAATCATGAGGTGAAATTCATCATGTGTCAGGGAATTTGTTGAGGGTCTTGGTAGCCCTTTTGGCCGCTGGTTTGTTTGAAACTCAACTTGGTTGCTGTTGACCCCCTGCAAAAAGTTGACAACTTGTTGGGGGTTTAGTGGAAAATGCCTTGATTTCAACCAAAAAGGTAAAGTCTAAAGATCCGTTGCCCAATAGCAGTCAAGATAGATGCCAGGAAGTGAGGTTTCAGCGTCGCCTCAGTGAGCATAGAGGCGCCCAAGGCTGCGGTAAAAAGCATTTGGTTCGAGGAGGCGTCGCATCCGCAGCCATAACCCACTGGGCAGGGGTTGTCCTCGTTCTCCTTGCAGTCGCCTCGGAAATCAGAGAACGGCTTGGTGGTTTCGTTGTTGCTGGTCTTTAAATTGTTGTGGTTTGTTGTGTTGCTTGCTTTGTTTGGATGTTGGTTGTTGTCATTTGTTTATTGATTTTTGTTTGCTTGCTTGCTGGTCTGTTTGTTTCTATGTTTAGTTTGTGCTTTTGTCTTTTGAATTTGTTTGCATTTTCGAGGTTGTTTCTGTTCTGCTCTTTCTCCGGCTGGCTCGGTTGGTTGAATGCTTGGATGATTAAACCAACAAATGTACAGGCCAGGCATAGACTCGCAGCAATACGTGCTTGTTTGCTGGCTAAAAGGGAACACAAGGACCCCCCCCCCACGCACCCCCCCAAACCAGAAAAACAAACATAAGTAAGCTAGTCATGGAAACACGATGCGCTCGTATGTTCGGCTCAGCTTGGTTGGTCAGTGGAATGGTTCAATGATGGTTGGTCGAAGACTCCAACGCACCTTAAAGCAGGCCACCAACAATGACACTCTGCTAACCAGGGTGCTTTTGTTGTTTCAAGTTTGATGGGGGGAGCAAGTGTTTTCCTTTCTTCTGCGCATTTGGTAATTGAGTTGAGCTAGCGCAAAGAACTGTGTGGCCAAACTAAAAACAAACAAGCACAACACGGGGAACCATGCACGACACACAAGGAACCAGCTTCTTTTGAGTGACCTATTTATTTTTTTATGGATTTGATGTCCTTTTCGGCAAAAATGGTCATGTAACCGAATTTCAAGACGTCATTTATTTGTTCACTTAAGCGATATCATCGTGACCCAAGAGTACCTCGATTCACCTCCGGGCAACAGTCAAATGACACGCAAACACTCACATTTTAAGTATCAACAGGCAATCACGCTGCCTCCACGTCAGTTGGCCATGCTTCTCTCAACAAGCTCGCTTGAGAACGAAGCCTTGCACCCTCCGGGCAAAAGAGACCACTTTGAAGCGCGAAAAAGAAGCCACCTAGATTCCCGACGCTCAGTTAAGTGGCCTCATGTCACTTTTTGCCCCAGTGGCCACGATTTGGGACACTCAACGGGGATTGCTGACACATCCCAGCAATTGATGTGGGTCGCTAGTTTGGAGGCCCAGATCTGGGGCTTCAAGTCTGCCCCAATCCGAGGCACCGATTGCCCTGCCACCAATTTACATCAAACCCGGCAGGTGGCTTTTGGAACACCATCTTCCGTTTAAAGGGACCCCCTGTCGGGTTCCACGGCCCATTGGCGAGAGGGTAGCGGACACATCAAACAAATCAAAAGCTGATTTGTTTTTTTCGCCGAGTGTCTTGGTCCCATGCAAGTGTTGCCTGTGCAGTCGGCCTCGCTGTAGCAGCTGCTCTTGATCTTTGCGGAAACCTGGCGGTTTCAATCAGTCAGGGTCAAACAACATGGGTCAACAAAGAACCAAAGGGCATCAAGCGTTCCCACGCTGTGGCGTTTGCCGAAGCATCTGTATTACTTCTTGCACAAGCAAAGAGCCACAATCTGATGCTTTGTATTGCAAAGTCCAGTAGATGGCATAACCTCCCCATCAAGTTTGATCTCCTTGAACTGCAGAGCTCAAGGAATTTGCGCCATCTTCTTTCGCCTCTGCGCATCTGCAAAGACATTTCTACACCTAAACAATCCGTCTTCTGCCAAAGGCTTCCTCAGCAACCTGATTCACACGACTCACGGACCTTCACGGGTCGTTTGCTTACGTGAGTCGTAGTTGATTCCTGATCAAGTAAAGGACACCATACATCCAGCATGAGTAAAATCCAAATTCATCTATCTTTACTATCCATCCGTAAGTATGTGGCCATCCATATCCATAATCAGACTATTGGGTAAGTGTCAAATTTCAGCATGGATCCTGCACTTTTGGGCGAACGCCTTCTTACTTCTCCGCCAGGTTGAGTAATCTAGGTTCGAGTCGGCATTAGTATTGCTCACATGATTCATGGTCAAAATAACATGCGGTTTGTCCTATAGGTTGTCCCCCTCTCGATCTGCGCCTGCATGTTCCTTGGCCGATCTCTGGAGAAGAAGTCGATCAGCTCCTGCAGGCATCAAGAGTGTTGATCCGGGTTCCAGAAAGAAAGAGTTGGTGGCGCCGTCTCCGTTCCGGCCGAAAATAGGGTACAATCCTCCACTAACAAATCGCTTTCGGGGAACCTTTCGCGACCACACGTTTCACTTTCGCAGGCATGTGTTTTGTAATGATCACTTTCGTAGAGCTTGGCGTGCAACACAGAAACTGCAAACATGCACTTTCGAGATTCTTTCCCGGCGGGCTCTTCTTGAACCACTTTCGCCGCAAGCTTTCGCGCGCTGCGTTTTAGCTAGAGGCCCTCAATAATATCCTTTCATAAGGCTTTTTGGCGCCGTGAGTCCCTCACCCCAGTCTTTCCTTGCGATGTAAGAAATGACCCAGTGTCCAGGATTTCAGGAACACATTTCTGCAACTGGGCCCCAGGTATGGTCACAAAACTCTCTGCCGAGCATGTACGTTTCACGATTTTCACGGAACACCTTTATTCCCTTGCTTTCGTTCAAGGCGTTTCCCAATCCTTTAAAAAGCCACCCAAAATTTCCATAAAATCCCTTCTCTCCCTTTCAAGGTTGCTTCCCATCCCTTTTTCAGCAAACCCTTCAACTTCCACAGCGCTTGCGAGCCCTTGGCCACCCGGGCTTGTTACGTTCTTCCAGTCGCAGACCCTGTGACTGAGCGACCTTCGTAAGACTCGCCTTCGGGGCGTTTGCGGGGTGTTGCGCCCTTTTCTACTCCAATGCATATCCCTTGTATACCGACCTGTTTAGTGGTATGTGTTTTCCTCACATGTGCTCCAAAGAGCAAGGTCGAAACTCCGAGATTGCCACCTCGAAATGTTCAGAGACATTCGCCACAGCGAGATGTTCAGACACCCCAAAGATGCATGCAGAGTGTCTGGAGACTGCTTGAAAGGGCCCAACCAAGCTGGAGGTTGCTTCAACATGCTCAAATCCCAGGGGCGGTGTTTAAGCATGTTTCAACACATGGGTATGAGCCCTTGTGTTTCTTTTGGGTTTGTCTTTGAACCATGGTCAAAAAGGTACAGAGAGAGCCTCCACAACAAGGCTTCGCGATAAATTGGAACTCATTCTTTCTGCAATACCCGGTATACAACTACCTGCTACTCCAAAATCCTACCGAAACAAGCGGGTTCCGCAACATAACCTGGTTTTCAAAGGAGAAGCCTGGGTTTCAAAACGCATACTGACAATACGCGCTCGGATTCTCACAGAAACTGGCCGCCGAAACTCTCCACAACTATCAGGGCTCCAACGATATTTCCTCTCAAAACATCACCCCTACCAAGCGGAACTCCATGTTGAACTGTAGGAGTCACAACCATCAGGGCTCCAAATATGTTTCCTCTGAAAAACATCACCCCTACCAAAAAGAACTCCATGTCAATCGGTATAGGAGTAAACCCTGGCTCGCTTGCTCCTCCATGATGTCCGCCCGGGCAACCTTTGAGCTTGCTGGCACCGCCGAGCGCTGTTCATCCGACCAGCTGTTGGTACCTCGCATTTGGAACACCCATCTGGTGACTGGGTGGTCCGAAAATCGAGGCTTCGTCTTCCTTCAGAACGGTCGGGACCTTTTTTCGTTGGGCTGTTGGGCCGAAAATCGGGCGAATCCGGACACAGGGGGTTCCCAGCGCGGAGCGCCCCTTCTCTTCAAAGTAAACACCTATATAAATGGAGTTGAGAAAGCACCCTTGCAGGGTTGCAATCGGGACCGGCAGCCCTTGGAGGGTGATGAAATGAGCTTGGTCTTCCTGTTGGTTGCCGTTTAGCCCAATGCCGAGAAAGGGTACCCTCAAAAACATACATCTCCACAACTCAGTAGGGTTACATTGCTTGATGAGGCTGTATGGGTGAATCAATAAACGCAGAATCCAAGCCGTATGCCTTCACTGGACAAGTTCACGCTTCCATGCTCTCTTCTTCAATCTGCCAAATCGCTGGATCGATATCGCAAGCCTAACATAAGGCTTTCACACACCAAGCGTGGTAAAGCTCACACACCAATCCTGTCGCCTCTCATACGTCCATATTTCCTTGTGGAAAGTGGTAATTCGCTTCCCGCAATTCTCAGGGAAAATATGTTTTTTGATCCTCTGAGGCTTCGAATTGGGTTCAGTGCTGTGAAAACCAAGGGGTTCATATAGCCACCATTATTAAGCTATTTGCCTCAGGAAGTTGTTCATCCAATTTGGGTCCTTGCCAACTTGCCATCATGTACCTAAGGAAAACAAAGTTCATCCACATTCAATGCCCTTAACCTCCCTTCCACTAACATAGCAGCTGGATGGGTACCTGGAAGATCATGTTCCTCTTGTTTGTGAGCCTGTCAGGTGCCAGGCTAGTGGCTTCCATTTGGATAAGACCCCTGGAAAAAATATCAAGAGATCTCCGGTAGTGACAAAAAAACAATCCCCCCCAAAAAACAAGGGACAGTTGAAAAAAATGTTCATTTCGGCAAAGAAGGACAATAAAGGGCCTACCAGCAAACGGAAGGGAGTGAGACTCGGCCCGGAACCCGAGGCACAGAGCGTGATGCTGGCCGTGAGCTCGCCCCCCAGGTCGGAGACCCCGTCGTCGGCCGTGGGCAAAGACATGGCTTCCAACACGAAGCAGTTCAAGAAGTAGGACTCCGTGTAGTCCTCAGATGGGTGTCCTTTTGAAGAAAAATAAGATGGGTGTCAGATGGGTGTGCTTTTGAAGAACAAATGTATGATGATGTCAGATGGGTGTCTCAGGTGTCCTTTTGAAGACATATCGATGGGTGTGCCTGGCAGATGGATATCAAACCCATCTAAAGCAGTGCAGTCTAGCTGAAGGTATCACAGACAGTTGGCCCTACAACCTTGTTTCCCTTCCTCCTTGTCCTTCCTTACAGGGCAACACATGGCTGCGGGTCAGAAATGTGTACCCAAAATGGAACCCTGGTAAATGGAAACATGGACTAAAACCTGCAGTCCCGTAGTGGTTTACTTCTGACCCACACCCACATGGTTGCTCCACAAGGGTAGAAAGTTGGCCACCAGCACAGGCTACAAAGTGGACAAAACCCTAGTGCTGCCCTTGTGGCCCAGCTGATGCTTGTGGTCGTTTGGAAAAACCCCATCACTCAGCAGAATTCGGTCCTCCAGTAGAGAGGTTCGAATAAGGGTGCCCGTTTTTTTCTTCTGTAGAAAATACTTAGGTAGGGGAACCCTCCCCCAGAAAGGGGAGAGAAGGGCACTACTGGGGGACCTCGGCAGAATTAGGGCTCATGCATGGCCAGGCGTCGTAGACCGACCACAGGGCATTTTCGCCCCCATGCCTCAAGGGGTCCGTAGGCAGGGATTGCAGGCCGGACAGCTTCTTGTTGAAGGGGAACACCGAGGTCACCAAGTGAGCCGACATCTGCCTTGGTTGAATCGGCTGAATGGGTCTGCAAAAAAGACCAGACCAACATGGCTTCCTCTGAATTTCACAATATAGGGCTTTTTGAAGTTGCAACATATGATAATAACTCTTGTGCTGTTTGCACGTTGGGAAAATGTAAACAAGTCGAGTTGTCAACACTAACACCCCAAAAAGGACCTAGATCAAATAGGATGTCTACCTCGACTCCGTGTTTTAACATGAGCATCTTTCCGAAAAAGATGTTGACTAAAACGTAGTTAGCGTTTAACTATACTTAAAAAAGGGAATATTTGAACTGGTGTAGTTACTTTATCTTACAGCAATAACTGAAACTGCGTATTCCTTGAGTTTGCATTGGTTTGCTTACGGGGCGGGCAAAGTAGAATCATAGAAGAAACAACAATACGTTTGTTCTTTATCGACACCAATAATATCTAGTCAAACTTCGTGCAAAACCACAGTTAGCAATCAAATCCCTTTGGACAGAATCTCCTGTCCAAATGCAAACTTAAGATGTGAACAATTCTTGATTACTTCCCTTTTTATTCAACCCCATTCAATTCTGATTGGATGTTAATCAATCACATATTTGAAAAACAGCTCCCATTGAAACTCTAATGTAAGGAGAAATCACGTTATTTCCTTGGATCCCAAAGCCCAACCTCTCTAAAACAAAGCCAAAACAAGCTGCTTGCCCCCCCCGGAAAGGAGCCGCATCCCAACGAGTTTCAAGATCGGAGAACGGCCCGGTCGGTTTTCAACCTTCAAGCCATAGCCGAGGCTCAGATTCCGCGGGGGCTGAGACTCCTCCCAAACCCCAAGCAATGGCCGACTTTTTTTCGACCGCCGAAAAAGAACACCTCCTGAACAGAATTCCACATATGGTTTTTGCACACACCCAAGAATCCGCCATCCACCAAACCCATATTCACTCCCCACCCCCCCACCCAAGCCTTTGCCCCATTCACACACCGCCATGCCGTTCCAGCGGCGGGCTCTCGGTCTGCTTGGTGCTGATGCGGACCACCGGATCCGGCGCCCAGCCTTAGACTTTGGCCACGTGCTGCTGTCACCCACACGCGCGGCTCCTCGCTTAGGAGAACCCCACCCCACAACAAACGTCGTTTTTAGGGGACCCCCCCCCAGAAAAAGAAGGATATTTTTCTAAAAAATAAAAACAAAAAAAAAGTTTTTTGGGGACCCCCCCCCCTAGAAAAAAAAAAAAAAAAAAAACGTCGTTTTTAGGGGACGCCCCTCCCCCCACAAAAAAGTGGGCTTCCTCTTGGCTTCCTTTAACAAAAACACCAAACAAAGGAGGTGCTTCCTCTTGGCTTCCCTTTTGAAACATCAAACAAGGGGAGGGGGGGTGCCAATGCATCCTAATCCCTTCCCCCTATTAATAAATACGCCCCCCCTATTTTAAGTAAATCCACCCAAAAATATATTCATTTTTAAACAATTGGGGTTTTTGGGGTTGTTGTTTTTTGCTTTTCCAACAATGTGAGGGTTCACATAGGATTTGGAGGAAATGGATTGAATTGTAAGGTCCGCGAGTAAGCGGTTTAATAAGGAAATTTGATGTATCATTATATTTGATTTTCAGTTTACTGGTTGTTTGTTTGCAGCCAGGCAGGTTAATTAGCCAGCATGTACGGGAGAGAGACAGTCGCAGCTAGACAGCTTTTGGGGACATGGTTTCTTTTGAGGGACACCCCAATAATTAAATGATCCAATTACAAAAAAACACATTTGGGGTGCAGCCAGGCAGGTCAGGTAGCCAGCTTGTGATTAACTGCTAGACAGTCCAGTGCTCGAGAAGGCAGTGTGGGTTTCAAGACAGCCAGATGCATTCAGTGATAGGAAGGCAGCCAGCAGTCAGCCAGCAGGGCACAGCTAGGCAGAAAACTCAGACCAGACAGCATTTTGCTGATCTGGGCGGCAGCAATAAAGTGGGGCTGGAAGCTTGTTAAAAGTGCCCCCTAATAAGGATTCCAAGACTTTAGTATTGGTTTAGTATTGGCGCAATGGAAAATCAATTGTGCGGAGTGGAAATCTGGTCCCGGGCCCGGGATTTGCATTTTTTATAAATCGGGGTCATTCATTAATAGGGGGAGCGGATTAGATGGGGTGTCTCAAAATAGGGGTCCCCTTTTTGGGATAGTGTTGTATGAGGAGCAACCAAAAGGAAGCCAACCAACTGAATGCGGTCCCTGGTCTTGAGAAGCACACATACATTTAAATCTGCACACAATCACCACATCAAGCGCAAAAGCACCGCCATCAGAATGAGGTGGGATGCTTGTCTTTCTTTGACCCAAACCGAGCCATGATCTGATATAGCAATTTAGGCCAGGCCCGCATATTTGACAGGACAGGTTGTTTCGCTAAGCTTCTCGCTATCTACAGAGCTGCCGCGGCCTCTACATTGCACAGGGGTTCCTACTTGGGACTGCCTCTAAATCAGGAGACCCCTTTTTTGGATGAGGGGCCAACAGGTGGGTGACATTTGCGCAGTGGTCCCGTATGGCACCCATTATTATGGCAAGAGGTTCCCAGAAGTGAGTAGTGATATTTTTCATGTGTTTCGCAAGTGGAGTTGGGGAATGGGAAGTGGGGTCCAAGGCCCGTGCTGCCGTGGAAACAAATCGCGGACTCTGATGGCTCTGCTGCTTGACTTCATCTTTGATGTGGGAGTGTGTGTATTTTAAGGGTACCCTTTCACCTTGGTTTAAAGGAACACCAACGAGAACGTTACCATTTTAGGAGTCCTCCATTTCAATACCGGCGCAACACAACACCGGGCTTTGGGAAAGCACCATCCCGTTGACTCGCCTCCCACTGAGCCAACCTCCATCAGCCAGTGTCCCTGGTACAATACGTGTCGTATGTCTTTTAAAGCAGTGGGTACCGGCTCAATCCCGGAATCCCAAAGCCTCAAGATCAGCCTCATACCCTGTCAGGCGGCTAGTCCTGCCCTTTTTTTCTTGCCGGTGCTCAATCAATGACCGAGACAGGGGTTGGGAATGAACCGTCGGGGACTCCCTTCAAGGGAACCCACTCCTTGAGACATTCCCTCATTCTCCTTCCAGCACGTCCTTCCCCTTCAATTTCAGGGAACCCAGCAGTACGCATTTTCTCCATTTTTCACCTTCCCTCATTTCCTCCTTCCTCCTTCCCGTGCCAGGCGGCCCAGTCGCCGCAGCGCCAAGAACACGGGCAGCGCATCTTGGGCCGAGTGCAGGCCTCTGGGGTCCAAGGCCGCCTTGTCCTCGCCGCTGGACCCAAAAATATATCTCAAGGAGCGGATCCCTGGAAGCGTCTTGCCGGACTTAAGTCAGAAACACGCCAAACCTTGAAAAAAAACACACACAAACAAGAAACCATCTCCAGGTTCCTTGAAGCTTGCTGGACTTCAGTCAGAAACACGCCAAAACCTTGGAAAAAGGAGCACGAAGCTCAGAAACCAGCTCCAGGAAGCTCGCCTAGAGACGGTTAGGACCAGGTCTAGGCCGAGCTTTGATACAAAAGGGATATAGCAACTTTTCAGGTGGTTCCCCACTGAAACACACTTTCTTTTTTTTTACGACCAATAAACATCACTCCAAAAGAAGGGCCCGGTGAAATTGGCCTGGCAAGTGACATTCAAATCACCACCATTTCAGGCTCAATGGGACGGGAAAAAAACCCACACCAAACTCATAGGTCCCCTGCGGTTGTTTCGAGAGAGAGAGCGTTTCTACGGATCCGTTCAAAAGGCATTTTCATTGCTTTCAAGTTCTATTCGTTCGACATGCACACGATATATAAGGTGTGTCTCAAAATAGGTCCTCCAGTAGAGACTGGGGGACCTAGCAGAGTAGGGGCATCCCCCAAGAATGGTGGTTTCCCTTCTTGGTTTCCCTTCAAACCAACCCTGCCAAGGCTCCTCTCCCCAAAACTACACTCCCGTTTCACCAAACCTTCCAAAAACCCCCAACCCCTCCCAAGAAGCGGCACATTTGGACCCTCGCACCATGTTTCCAAACATAGGTGTCCCTTTAGGGCAAATACATGGCCTTGGTAGATGATTCAACCGCCAGGGAAACCCGGAATCGAAACCCCTCGATCTTTTGCGACCAAAACCACCCAAACAGGACACCCACAATTTCACACCTCCGGCGCTTCGGGTCTTTTTCTTTCGGCGCCTTGTAGTGGTTCAGGCTGCGCCCATCAGAGAAGGAGCCTCGGCCCAGGCCAAGGGGCCGGGGGGCCTGAAAAAAACCACCCGAAAAGGACTCCCCCACCCAGCAAAGGGCAGAGAAGAAAACAAACCTAGTTGGAAAAACCAAAGAAAAAGCGCCGCTACTTCTGCCAGAAGTCCAAAATGAAATTGGGTATCTCCAAGCAAAGGATGCTCGTTTAACCCCCGGATTGGTGGAACCGCTCGCCATAAATTAGACGCAGACGCATCCAAGGAGCGGAATGACTCTTATAACATCCAACTGGTAGTCTCCGTATTCGGGCATCAGGTTCACTCCCACATTCCCTACCTATCGCACCAGCACGAACCAAAAACCCAGGAATCCAATTAATAAGAAGACTCAAGCTGTAGGAAACCTCCAGAAAGCTAGCCAAACGACACCCACTCCACCCAACAAAATGGAGAAACGCACCCAAGGAGCTGAACCAATTACCCTTATAAACCATCCCTTGTGGTCTCCTTCAACGGCACCCCCCGGTTCATTCCCACATTCCCTACCTCTCGCACGCGAAAAAAAAATGAAAAATCACGCGTCCAAGGAGCTGAGGGAAGTTTCGAGGTCAACAGCAAGATTCCCTCCAGAAGACGCAAAATCCAGAAACAGCCTCCCAAACGACCCCCCCACCCCAAAAAAGGAAAAGGAGAAGCTAAACCATCCATCTGGTGGTTTCCTTTTGTTCGGGCACCAGGTCAAGCGACCCACCCCCCCAACAAAGGAAAACGCCTTGCCAAGGAGCTAAGCCAGGAGGGCAGTTTCGAGGCATTCACGTCCCAGAGCTTCCGCATGCCCCGGACCCAGTCGGGCAGTGGGAACTTGCCCTCCGCATCCGTCCAAAGCAACGAGTGGTTGTCACCTCACTCGTCAAAGAGATTCAAAAGGCAAAAGCTGGTTTCTGTTTGTTAGCAAAGTCTGGCGATGAACAACTGACTCCTTGCAAAAAACAAAAATGCGGAAAAACACGTCTGGCGATGAATAACTAACTTATTTGGTCCGAATGGCTGGCTTCCTATATTTCATACGGAGATAACTCATGGTGAATTGAGGCAGGGCTTTGTAGTATGGGTTTGCAAACGTAAACATTCAGCCCTTGGCTTGCTAGACTTTCGCCTCAACTCGACACCCAAATCATTAAATCACTCATGAATGCACCGGCTGCTGTTCCAATTCCCCAACAATATGTGTATGGTACGCACTAACTAAGCAGAAATGACCAGCCGGAATAAACAAGTCTCTCCATAAGAAGCCTTCATCATAGATAGGCTCATCTCTCAAGGGTTGAGGACCCCAAGACTTCTGCATATGTCTGGAAGACAATGGGTTGCGTAGCTGGGTCCGTACAAAAACATCCTCTAAATAACTTATCTGAGGGTGGTTAAAAAAACAAAACTCAGAACACAAATACATGTAAAATATGAGTTGTTTTATGAGAGACTCTCATAACCAGCACCCCCCAACCGCTGCTGTTTGGACTTGGGATTTTGGACATGGGAAAAGCATGCATGTTGGGGAGTGCTGGATGCAATTTGGATCTCCCAGTGCTGCTGCGTGCGAAGCCACCAGCGTAGAGCCACTTCGGGAACTTCACCTGGGTCATAATCAAAACCTGGTACAAAATGGACCCAAAAGCATGGTAAAGAGTTACCAAGGCGGATATCCCGCAGCCATTTATGGTTGGGAGTGTCCCTTGCTAACCTTCATCTACCCGGGCTTTGAGGCTGTTTTTCTGGCCAGTTGTTTGCGTCTCTTTGTACATCAAGCATCCACAGCACATGTCCATCCCCGAACAAAAGACCTTCAGCTGTCTTCTTGGTTGATGTTTTAGGACATTCCAATAGCCTCCCAAACAAAGGCATGGTTGAAAGGGCTGGCCACTTTCGGCAAAACGGAAAACTGTCCACATATATCAACACCAACCAACCCACCAAACAAACATTCAAACAACAATTGCTCCTTGGTTGAAAGGGATATCCCACCAAACACCCCAGGGTTCCTTGCCCCCATCAAAAGAATGGCCTTGAGACCCAATTCGGATGATGACAATCGTGAACGGCAAACAACGGTGGTTATATTATAAACTCCCAAACATATATGGGTATGAATCTTAATAAGGAACCCTTTAAAAAGGACATTATTCAGGTGGGGAGTCATGAACAAGCCAACCACTTTGGAGCTGGTTCCCAGTGAAAAAATGTCAAGGTCATATCTAAACCAATGCCATGGTGATTCGTCGCCTTGAAGCCGGCGTTCTCAAAGTTGATGCCCTCTGCCTCAGGATCGGAGGATCGGACTCCGAGACTCCGTCCACAAAGTTGTGCCACATGGCAAACCAAGCAAGACCAACCTTAAGGGCTGTTGGTTTCTGTTCTTTTTCGCTTTTCGGGATATAGCATTGAATAGTTGTACTTTGGGTTGGTTTCTGTATTATTTTCCTTTTTCGGGATATAGTATTGAACAGTTGTTCCTTTTTTTTCCGGGATATAGCATTGAATAGTTGTTCTTTGGGTTGGTTTCTGTATTATTTTCCTTTTTTGGGATATAGTATTGAACAGTTGTTCTTTGGGTTGTTTTTTCTCCTTGTATTTCCGGGATATAGCATGGAATAGTTGTTCTTTGGGAAGGCTTCTGTTCTTTTCTCTTTCGGGATGTAGTATTGAATAGTTGTTCTTTGGGTTGGGTTCTGATTTGTTCCATTTTCTTCCGGGATATGGTATTGAATAGTTGTTCTTTGGGTTAGATGAGTTTTCCCTGTTATCAGGGATATTGCGTTGAATAGATGTTCTTTGGGTTGGTGTCAGTTTTGTTCTTTTTCGGGATATTGAATAGTTGTTCTTTGGGTTGATTTCTGTCTTGTTTTCTCGGGATATAGCATTGAATAGTTGTTCTTTGGGTTGGTTTCTGTTTGTTCCCCTCTCCGTTTTCGGAATATAGCATTGAATAGTTGTTCTTTGGGTTGTTTTTGTTTTGGTTTTTTGCTTTTCGGGATATAGTATTAAATAGTTGATTTCTGTTTTGTTCTCTTTTTTCGGGATATAGCATTGAATAGTTGTTCTTTGGTAACTACCTACTTTCGTAGTGAGTGCCTTAGGGTTCAACCCCCAATGGCAAGGACGATGCTAACCACTCCCTAGGGATCAGTTGCCCTAAAATAATGGTTGGGTTCATATTACCATGATAGAATTCATTGTCATATTCTTTTCATGGGGGTTGAACCCTAGGGCACTGCCCACAAAAGGAGGTAGTTGCCAAAGGCAGAGTATTCAATGCTATATCCCCCCCCCAAAAAAAAGAAGCTGTTATTTGGAGTATGCGGCAAGGTACCTACACCAATCTAGCTCCAACTTGCAAAACGTCGATCAACGGCCCTTGAAGGTACAGTACCCCGTTTAAATATTGCAAACAAGGGTGCAAGGAAACCCTCTACATCACCACCTTACCGTAACTTACTCAGAATGGAAGGGCAAAACGGGGAAGTGCCTCGTTGGAAAGGTACCAAAAGACCCTCCTTTCGTTCATTTCCTTAAGCCCCCTGGAAACTAAAAGATTCCCTTTAAAGTCAACAGGGGGACATCGACGACCTTCTTGAGCAACTAGAAGTTTCCGGAGGCAAATGCTAGGTCCTCCAGTAGAGAGATTAGAATAAGGGCACCAACTTTTTTCTGTAGTCCATTTTAGTATGAACCCTCCCCCGATTCTTTTTTGTAAAAGGGCACCTTGCTGGGGGACCTAGAACGGGATAGCCTCCGCCCAAGCCGAGCCGCGAAGAAGAGGCTGCTCCTGGGCTCGTAGCCTCGCTCCCTGGCCTTTTGCATCCACCGGCAGGGCCGCTCGATCTCCTGACAAAAGGTTGCGCAACCCGTCATCTGGGGGGTTCAGCCCTTAGCTAAGGCCCGATTTGGGGCTTACTACTCCTGCCCCCATGAAAAGGATGGCCCAGGGCCCCAATTTGGATGATGACAACTAGGTCAATCATGGTGGTTCTATGAACCCAACCATTGGTGGTGGTTCAACCCCATGAAAAGGATGGCCCAGGGCCCCAATTTGGATGATGACAACTAGGTCAATCATGGTGGTTCTATGAACCCAACCATTGGTGGTGGTTCAACCCCATTAAAAGAATGGCCTTGGGACCCAATTTGGATGATGACAACTAGGTCAATCATGGTGGTTCTATGAACCCAACCATTGGTGGTGGTTCAACCCCATTAAAAGAATGGCCTTGGGACCCAATTTGGATGATGACAACTAGGTCAATCATGGTGGTTCTATGAACCCAACCATTGGTGGTGGTTCAACCCCATTAAAAGAATGGCCTTGGGACCCAATTTGGATATGACAACTAGGTCAATCATGGTGGTTCTACGAACCCAACCATTGGTGGTGGTTCAACCCCATTAAAAGAATGGCCTTGGGACCCAAGTTTGATGATGACAACTAGGTCAATCATGGTGGTTCTATGAACCCAACCATTGGTGGTGGTTCAACCCCATTAAAAGAATGGCCTTGGGACCCAATTTGGATGATGACAACTAGGTCAATCATGGTGGTTCTATGAACCCAACCATTGGTGGTGGTTCAACCCCATGAAAAGGATGGCCCAGGGCCCCAATTTGGATGATGACAACTAGGTCAATCATGGTGGTTCTATGAACCCAACCATTGGTGGTGGTTCAACCCCATTAAAAGAATGGCCTTGGGACCCAATTTGGATGATGACAACTAGGTCAATCATGGTGGTTCTATGAACCCAACCATTGGTGGTGGTTCAACCCCATTAAAAGAATGGCCTTGGGACCCAATTTGGATGATGACAACTAGGTCAATCATGGTGGTTCTATGAACCCAACCATTGGTGGTGGTTCAACCCCATTAAAAGAATGGCCTTGGGACCCAATTTGGATATGACAACTAGGTCAATCATGGTGGTTCTACGAACCCAACCATTGGTGGTGGTTCAACCCCATTAAAAGAATGGCCTTGGGACCCAATTTTGATGATGACAACTAGGTCAATCATGGTGGTTCTATGAACCCAACCATTGGTGGTGGTTCAACCCCATTAAAAGAATGGCCTTGGGACCCAATTTGGATGATGACAACTAGGTCAATCATGGTGGTTCTATGAACCCAACCATTGGTGGTGGTTCAACCCCATTAAAAGAATGGCCTTGGGACCCAATTTTGATGATGACAACTAGGTCAATCATGGTGGTTCTATGAACCCAACCATTGGTGGTGGTTCAACCCCATTAAAAGAATGGCCTTGGGACCCAATTTGGATGATGACAACTAGGTCAATCATGGTGATTCTACGAACCCAACCATTGGTGGTGATTCAACCCCATTAAAAGAATGGCCTTGGGACCCAATTTGGATGATGACAACTAGGTCAATCATGGTGGTTCTATGAACCCAACCATTGGTGGTGGTTCAACCCCATTAAAAGAATGGCCTTGGGACCCAATTTTGATGATGACAACTAGGTCAATCATGGTGGTTCTACGAACCCAACCATTGGTGGTGGTTCAACCCCATTCACAGAATGGCCTTGGGACCCAATTTGGATTAAGTCCATCATGGTTCTATGAAAGCCCAATGTCAAAGGTGGTACCTGCCTGAACCCCAGGCAGAAGCGTCTCGTTTCGCATGGTTTCACTTTCTCCTGGGGGTCCCCGTACAAGTCGTAGCCGAAGTGGGCGGTCGGCCCTTGGCCCTGGGCGTTGCGCGAGAAGATCTGGATGGCAGCACGGCTGAAGAGCACCATCCTTTCGACGCCCCGAAAAGACTGCAATGGCCATGGCTCAAAATCCAAATCGGTTAGCCCCCAGTGAACATCCGATTCAATCCAACCACTAAAATGGGAAGCCTAAAATGGGTGGTGAATTCACCTACCAACCAAACTGGGATCCCATTGGTTTTGACCCACAGCCAAATGCTTCTCACTTCCCGAATGGATGGTTCAACAAAAAATCCGAACTGGTTTACCACGAAAATGCTCTTCCCAAACATTGTAAACGTCCATGAACTCAGGTCAGGCTTGTCCTCTGGTTTCTTTGATACCTTGAAACACAAACACATCACATCCACATCTGACTGGTTCGTGTGTGTGTTTTTTCACACCAAAAAGGGTACCCTAAAAAACAAACATGCATTCACATCCACATTTGAGTGATTCAAATGGATGTTAGGCCATGTTTTGTATTGAAAGAGAAACCAAGGGACCCCTCCCACTATGTGCCATGATCTTGACCCCCTTTGAGCTATGTGCCACGATCTTGACACCCTTTGAGCCATGGTCAAAACCCCACAAACAAGAGCTGGGCAACGGCATTTGAAAGGGTGAACTGACGCCGCCCAACTTGCCTGACGTACCAGCACCCGCCCAACCACTGCTACTTGAGAATTTGGACACAGCAGGCACGTTGGGGGGTGCTGGTAAGTTGCGGCTTAAAAAACAGAAAGCCGCCGCCCGTTTTGTCGGATGCTTCGACATGGCACCCCACCAAATGGGTGCTTGTCTTGGGTGCATCTCTCGACATGGGCACCAGCTTTTTTGGGCGTCCCTCTCAAACAACATCAAACACAAAAAAGGGCGCATAGTGTGGATGGACGAAATCCTGCACCACCTCAGAGACCCTGGAGGGATGATTTCCCTGCAAATACCGACAAGGTGGTGCAGGATCTCGTCCATCCACAGTAGTGTGATGCAATGTCTGAAAGCGCACACGCTGTGTGCAATGAGGGTTTCGCTGTTTCCCTGGTGCATCCAAGCGCCAACGCAGCAGCTATCAAATGGGTGTGTCTCAAAATGTCTGGACCCTTTCTATGGCGCGTTTTTTGCTTTCCCTTTTATCCCAACGAGGGTCCCTTGAAACGTTCGCGTCCAAGCATCTTCCAGGGCAAGCGCTCCGAGAGTTGGAAGCCATTCCTAGGAGCGACGAGCGAGGGATGTCTTTGGATTCCGGAATCCAGATAGGCGTGAACCACAGGGCCACGAATTTGTTTCTTAGACTCTTGTGAACAGGGCTCGGTTCTTCAGTTTTTGTTGCCCGCAAGTTGAAAAATACATTTGGCCCAAACCCCCAGCGCCCATAGGAAACAAGGGAACTCTTCTTCATGGTGCTTGGTTTTGAAGGGGACACCCTCAAAAACATGGAGGGAAACACAAGGAAGAACAAAGAACAAGCAATAAAACTAAATGAACAAAGAAAAACACTTAAAAAAAGAGCAAACAACAAAACAACAACACAACAACACAACAAAACCACCGGGTGCATGCAAGGTGCCACCTCTTCTTGAGGCCCAGGTTGAAGACGCCCACCTTCTCCACTTGGCACTGACTGGCTCGCGCGCGCAGCGTCTCCAACAGCACAACCCATGGGGAGGAGATGTCCGCAGTGCCTGGGGATGCGCCGATTCCTGTTGGTGAGAAGACATTTTTCTAGGGGTTGATTTTCCAACCATTCTTCTCAACCATCGTTCTTTCCAAAAACCGGCCGATTTCCCTGGGTTTCCGGAGGTTTTCCAGAAAAAAGGATCCCTGGGTTCAGAATGGAAATGGAAGGTACCCCTAGAATTTTCGCGAGACATTCTCAAGATGAATCTCTAAATGGGGCTTTAGAGGGGAAAAGAAGAAGGAAAAAAACGCGGGGAAGCAACCAGACTAGGACATTGGAAGATGGGAAACAACCATCTCTCAGCTGAAAGGATCCACAAATCAAAGGTTAGCCCTTTGGCACCTGTACCAAAAAATGACCAAAATTGGAAAACCAAAAGGTCACAAGGTCAGCTTTGGGCATTGAGAGCCAATGTGCCGTGATTGCCCGCCTTTTTTGGGGTGTTCAAAGTCGGAACCCCTCCCATTTACCGTGATTTGCCACGTTTCTCGTTTGGCTGGTTCACTTACAAAGCGGTAGGGCATCCACGCCAAGTCGGCCAACGAATTCAATTCGCCCCCCTCAAGACACCCAGCCGTGAATCTTGCGAAAATCAACCAGCACCCCAAAACAGAATCCCAAACCACCACCTAAGCTGCATGCCTTCTTGCACCCTACCGTCAAGATGCACCCGAGTGTCAATATATCGCACGTCAAAAACCCCACAAACTGCGTCCCACAGCACCATCAGCACCAGCACCCCAAATTGCATTCCCCCCTGGTCAAACCGTCAAGATGCAAAAATGCGCGCGCACCGTCACCCCCCAAAACAGCACCTGCACAGGCGCCCCAAACTGCATGCCCCATAGCACCCTACCGTCAATCTTGAAAAGTTGCGCCCGCACTGCCATCAGCACCTCAAACAGCACCCCAATCAGCACCTACACCAGCACCCCAAACTGCACGCCCCGTAGCACCAGGCCATACATCTCGCAAATCACTTTCTCTTTATTAGAAGTTAGAACCCCTATAGCTTTCAGCTATCTGGGGAATGATGATTAGGACAATGATGAGCTATGTGCTATAGAACTCTCAACTGCTTGAGGTAGAAACCCACGTGGCATCAAGCAGATCATGGTCAAATCGACAACTATGACTTATGGGAAACCCAAAGCCCCTTTTTAACTGCAATGTCCAAAATGAAGGATCCCGAATCCGTGGTGCGACAAGGGAAACGCGAATATGAGGATGTTGCCAATAGCCACGGGCATGTTGCGTAGGGAAACCCAATGTGACGTTCAACTCTGGGCTTTCCCTAGGCTAAGCTGTTTTTAGGGCAACCATTGTGAAAACAAACGCAGAAATCTCAATATGTTCTGACATCTGACTCTTTGTACTCTGCAACACACGGAACCAAGGAAATCCCGGAAAGTATTGTTATTTTCTGGATGGCTTCCGTTCATGCAGGTCAAAATGGGCAAAGATTCTGCCTTGTACATTCATTCATTGTTGCAATAACTCCAACTGAAAGTGCGAGACCTCATGTTGACCCCATATTCATCAACCATAGTTTATGAATCGTGGGGGTGTGTTGAGGTGTTTTTTCTTCTAGCCCCGGCTTTTTACTAGCCCCGGCTCGGCACAAGCTGGGGGTTGGTGGCCGCATCGCCAGCATTACCGGTTTCTTGTCACGGCTGCGTATGGGCATGACTTGATGCTCGGGATAGCTGGCCGCATCGCCAGCATTACTGCCAACCAACCGACCGACCAACCAACCAACCAACCAACCAGTCTCCGAGCCAGGGTTAAGCCCCGAGCCGGGGCTAGTAAAAAAAACACACACACACACACACACACCGGTTCCGGGGGGGTGTTCCCCTCAAAAAGTGAGGATTGCCCACATTTCACCCAGGGACACCCCCTTATTGAACTACAGTGAGCTTGATTCATATGGACCGAACATTACCTGGTGAGATCCTTTTGTGTAATCGATCCGCCGCAAAAAACCCTATAACCCGATCCGCGGGGAGGTGCTGGAGTCGATCTTCTTGCCCAAATACACCGACGACACCTGCTCGCCCTCCTCGGGTACGGCGCTTGTTGAGACGCGAGAGGCCGCGAGCCAAAAAGCCGCGAAACATGGGGCGCAATGTACAAAGAGCACACAAGCTGCTGTGAAGGGACGAAGGGAGAACATGTTGAAACCAATGTTTCCTTTGGTCTTGACACGGGGATCATCATTCCAAGGTTTTTAGGTGGTGCAGGATGCTGTCCATCCGCAGTATTTCAGGACTGGCTGAGTAAGGAATGACCTCAGTCACAACCAACCAATTGAGCACCGCGCTACAACTTCGATCTGCTGAAGCCGACCGGAAAGAAAACAAGTCCAGTAGTGATCGAGTCCCTTTAAAACCAACAAGGGAAATAAACAAGTAGTCTACAGCAAATCTAGGTCCTACACTAGAGAGGTTAGAATACGGGTACCCTTTCTTCTGTAGAAAACATTTTAGTAGGGGAACCCCCCCCCAAAAAAAAAGGTAAAAGGGCACTACTGGGGGGCCTTGAAATGGAACAACCACAACCAAGGACCAGGACCAGGACTTCCGCCAAGCTTCTTCCAGGGTGTTGTGCACCTTCAGCTCGAGTTGCCTATTCCTCGGGTGTCAACCCAGGTGCCTTTTTTTATATCACAAAACAGGGCATACCTACCCCAAATTCAGGGCCCTGTGTTGAAGTTGGGACATCTGAAGGTGATAATTTCCCATTGGCCAATTTGGTTTCCACGCTCTTCATGAAAAATCAGCAGTTTCAACCTCTTCCACGACGGGTTACCAACTTTGCACAGGAATGAGATCCCGCACAAGTGCCTTCTTCACAGCTCCTTCAACGAGAAATGGGGGAGTGGAAAGGCTTCTCCGAGAAGGATCCTTGAAATGGCACTGGAATCTGATCATAACATGTCCATGCCCACTACCGGATCTAATGCCCTATGCATTGCCTTGAACAACAAGCAAAAGGACAACCCATGAAAGGAACTGCATGAATTTGTTGAGACCAATCAATCTATGTGTATGACCACATTGAGCAGCCCGTTGTACTGTGAAAAGCTAGAATCACTGCTGCATTCCAACAAGGTCCGGCCAGGAAACAAACGATTGAACATGTATGACTGACCATGCCAGGTTCATACGTCAGCTTCCCTCTAATTGGTGGTTTGGATTCGTTTGGTGGTGTCCCTGGGGTGGCTTCTGCTTTACCCTCTACAAGAACCAGGGCTTCAAATCCAACTCCAAACCTTCAATCCAAACCACCAATTCGTGGAAAGCCGAACATCTGATCAGCCACCTTGGGTGTGCAACGTATCTTTGCGGTGCATATCGCCCGGAACGGCCGCTGGCCACTGCCCTTGGCGCCCGCGCGAAGAGCTGCCCATCCATCAGATTCTGGCTGTTCGGGTCTTTGGGGACCGGAGAAACTCTAGCTGAAGGGCCCATGGTCATGTTCCCTTAGCACTGGTTGCATGGATGGACCAAAGAAGGGCAAAGAAGAAAGACCCACTTCAAGCGAACCCAGAAAAAAATAGGCCGAAGAAAAGGTGTGGCCCCTTTCAGGTTCGTGCTAACATCTTAACTCACGTCTCCACAAACCGAGCAGGGGCCGCAAAATCGGAACAAATACAACCCTCTCATATATGCTTGCGAAAAGTCGGCCCTTTTTGAGGTCCAGCTTTGAACGTCGATCCTTCCAATGGAGGCTCCTTCTACTCTTCACTTTCTTCCGAGGGACCCCGTCTCCTCCAGCTGCACCTTTCGCTGCTTCGCGCCCAGGTCCAAAGCGGACAAATCCACCATGCCGATGCGGGTGGTGGGGTCGCCCTTCAGCTCCATCAGCCCCTTCCGCGTCAGAAACACCTGCGCTCAATCCCCTTCGCAAAAAAGCCTCCCCAAAAACGCTCGAATGCTTTCGAATGCTTGCGAAAAGGCCGCCGTGTTCGGAATCTACGGGGGGGGGGGCGGTTCCCCCGCTATTTTGTTGGGCAGGTAAAAGCAGACGTGGGTGCTGAGGAAAATCCCGTCTGGTTCGGAAGATGCGAAGAAAGCGCCAGGTTTCCCTGAGATGTCCTCCTTTTTCTGGGGTAAAAGCAGCGGTGGGTCTGGTCCCACCGCACCGGCTTAAAAGATGAACTAGTCTAGGGTCCTAATGTCTTGTGCAAGAACATATCGCGCAAGTCGCAAGTTGTCTCGTGCGAAATTCTGCGCAAGCTGTCTCGTGCAACTCGTTGCGCGGCTTCTCTTGCACAATTCGCTGCGCAAGCTTGGTCGTGCAATTTGCTGTGCGTGCTTTCTTGTGCTACTTGCTGCGCATGTTCTCTCGTACAACTTACTTTGGGCGCGCTCTCGTGCTACTTGCTCTGCACGTGCCCCCATTCTACCTGTTCTGCGAGCCTGTGCTGTGTGCTAATTAGCTGCGCGAGCAGGCTGGGGATTCACCGCAAGAACCCTTTCGTAATGCTTGCGGGAAACAACATGTGGACAACCCTCGTAACCTTTTACGTATCGCTTAATACCAGGTCTGATCTTGTTCTATTTTGTTGACGGCACTCGTAGCCCGTACCCTCCGTGCAGTCATGCAGGTGCTGTGTACAACCAATTGACCCATTTGGAGGGTAAATGTTGGTAGGTCTGCCAATGGAGTGCTTGGGTATACCATTTGTTGGAAGTCAAAAACACGACAGTGCTACTGAGCAATCGGGAGTAGGCATCGGCTAAGGAGCCCGCTTCTCTGACTATTGGTTCGGGGCTGGTAAATTGGTGGCTCAGGCTTCTTGCATGTTTCATGGCTTCGGGGGGGATTTTTCGACCCACGTCTTCTGAGAGCGTTGGCGTCCAAAAAGGGATTGGCTTAAACACGAAATGTCAATCTGGGACAGGGAAATTTCAACCAGGTCGGCGGTCCTTGGACTCTTCTCATGTCGCTACGGGACTAGTAGCTCCAAAAGCCTCTCTCTTAAGCAAAAACGATGGAGGCCCCTAGCTCCTGGCGGGTTGTTTCGTGGATGTAAGTGGTTTTGACGTCTGTCACCTGTCAAGGGATGGAGCGACCAGACGGAGGAAGGGAGTGCAAGGAATAGACAGGAATTCTGTTCAATATTAATCAACCCCTGTTTATTGATATAGGGTGGGGCCCCTTCAAAAAAAAGAACATATATGTCCAACAGCGAAATCGATTTCCTTTAAAGCCGACAAGGGACAATCGCAAAAACAAATATCCATTTCAGCAAAAGAAAATCAAAAACCGGTACCAAAATCAAACCTGGTAAGTGGAAACATGGACCAAAACCTGCGGTCTGCCCCTCCTGTTTAATTTTGAGCCAAACCAATGGGATCCCATTTTGGGCTAGGTGCACCACCCATTTTGGGATCTTCACTGTGGGTACGGGCTTTTGACCCATGGCCATGGGAACCCCGGATCTAAGTAGAAACCCCTGGTGGGTTTTTGAGAGATGGGGGTGGGGGTTACAAAGGGACCCGTGCAGGCCTGCTTCCGAGTCCCGGAAAACCAAGGGTTCAGGCCCCACAAGAAAGGCTGACCGAATTTTGATGAGAATCCCCAGGTAAACAATGGTGGGTATATATGGCTGTGGCTCAAAAAACCGGAATTCCAAAATGGGTTGCCCTGGTAAGTGGAAACATGGACCAAAACCTGCGGTCTGCCATAATTAGCTTTTTCATTTCGAGCCATACCCATATGAAGCTTCCCGTTGTCTTAGTGGTTTGAACCCCATGGGGCCCACCTTCCCCGCCGCACCGCCAAACCGCCTCGCAGGACTCGGGCTGGGACTCGCGGCCGGCCATGGCGTAGGCGAGAAGCGCCCGCCACAAGTGGCACTTGGCGAAGGGAGGGCACACGCCGTGCCTGAAGCGGAAGCTGGGAAGCCATGGGACCCAAGAAAAAACGCAAAAAAAAAGAAACCTCAGACTATACCCTGAAAAAGGGGTGTTCACCCTATAATGTTGGGGCTGTAACCCATGGTTATGAGGGCTTTGTTTGAATTTAATTTGCCATAGGTCTGCTTGGTAAGACCCGTTGGTGACATGGTCAAACGCTTCAATCGAAAGGAGGCCTTTTTGCAATGTTCTCTTGTATGTATGATACTCACGTCATGTGGTTGATCACTGTTCGAGTAACCCCAACAAGCTTGCATTGTTTGTTGCGTCCATCATCGTCTTGGTCTTCCCACCCTTCTGCGGTCGACTGTTCTTGGTACTAAGGAGTTCGTAGCAAATGTGACTTGATGTTGAGGGTGGTGTCCTGGTCTTCTTGTGATGCGATGATGCGACCAAGGAGTTACCCTGAAACGACCCTTAAACATTGGATTTAACCCATAATGTTCCGCATAGCGCCCCAGATTGGACTCGGGGCAACATGTCCCATGCGAGGAATATCATCTGTTTGGTGACCTTCCCATGGTCATCCCATGCAAAAGGACCTTTTGATCGACCCCCAAAGACTACACGTTTCGTGAAAATATGATCGGGACAAATGGACCACCCAAAAGGAAAGCTGGACCCTGCTCCGAATGCCTGCTGTTTCTCAGGGCCTCTCTTCTTTTGGTCAGGGTTGACATCATCTAGGTCCTCCAGTAAAGAGGTTAGAATAAGGGTACCAACTTCTTCTCTTTTGTTTAGTCTATTTTAGTAGGGGAACCCTCCCAACGAAAAAGGGGAGAGAAGGGCACTACTGGGGGACCTAGTCATGCACAACGCCGAGCCACGTGTAACCAGCCAACTTCTTGGACAATCGCCCGATGGGGCCACCTTTCATATCACCTTGGTCGGCACAAGCGGTGCCTCTTTTGCACGTGCCCTGAAACATTCTGGCTTGTGGGGGATGCCAAGGAATTGTTTTCCAAAAAGGGGCGCCGTTTTTCCCAATCCCCAATAATAAGAGCCCATAGCTTCTCCGTACAATCACCATCCGGATGGGTGGCTCCATGTTCCTGTTCACATCCTGACCTTTCAATATCCCGAGTCTCGTAGGCTTGAAGACTCAGATTTGACAAAGTCTACACTCAACTTTGATATGAGTAGCTGACCCTATTGTCGGTAGCCTACTGTTGGGGCGAACAAATGGTTGATCTGGAAGTGCTTCACAATCTCAGATAAACCTTCCCGCTTTTTCATCAACTCCCAGCAAGTCTCAGCGACAGGGGTACCAAATGTTTACACACTTGTTGGTTTGGGCGACCAATGTCGCGGATGGTCCTGCATCGTCGAGAGTGCAGGGGTGCAACAATGCCTAGCTGATTGGAATGACTCAGGGTGAAATCAGATTTGCTGCAGGCACGCACACACTCACACATTGCAGTTCCTATTACAGGGGCCAGGGATGGGCTGACGGGCAAAATAAGTTGACCTGCTCTTGCCAAAATATGCACTAAACTCGCTAAACTGGCCGCACAGTCGGGTCGTTTGCAAGATCGAGTAAGGTCATATTCGAGACTTGCACATGAGGATGTCCTAACATTGTAAGCCTTCCCGTGACTATACTAAATTGCTCCGCATTGGAGGGATCCCTAATCGAAATCCGTCATCCTGCGTGTGCGTGTCTGTGTCTGTGTGTCTGTGTGTCTGCCTCTGTCTCTGTCTCTGTGTCTGTCTCTGTCTTCGTCTCCGTCTCGGTGTGTGTGTGTGTGTGTCCGTCTGTCCGTCCGTCTCTGTCCCCGTCTCTTTGTTGTGTCTGTATGTCTGTATGTCTGTGCGTCTGTGCGTCTGTGTGTCTGTGTGTCTGTGTGTCTGGGACATCACCAGCATGAAGGAAGAAGGATGGATTGTGAACAACCCAGCCCAACACACCAAGGTACCGGTCATCCTCCCACCGGGCATGGGCAAAAACAGTCCTCCTACCAGGCGGGAAAACTCCAATTTTATGCATCTGGCGTTCTGAAAGCGCAAGCTGGACCATTCATGGATTCAACCAGGGAAGTTGCTTCCTTTTGTTTTTCAACTTCCTATTTTGACCCCTTCCATAAAGGTGCAACACGCCCACCCCCCATTTCATTCATATTCTTACTTCTTACCAGCCGGACGTATTGACAACCTCCCCTTCAAAGAAAAAGGAGTTAAAGTAGCACCACACATGGAATGACATGCTTGTTCAAATGAGTTGTACTCTTTTTCCTGGGGCAGTTTGGAGGAAGTTGTGGGTGCGCCCCCCTTCTGGTAGCTTCCATTTGCTGAAGCCGCCTGACAAATAACAACAACATCCAGTAGTGAAATCGATTCCCTTTAAAACCAAACAGGGGGAAACACAAATTTCTTGCAAATGAATCTGGATGCATCACCAAGGAGCTCCGTATGGACTGAACTCCACGCCGAAACTTGTTCCAGCCGGATTCGAACATGCCCTTCTTGGCAGGCGCCTCCGCCAGAACCTCCCCCTCCGAAACCATACAGGAGTACCTCAAGTTGACGAACGCTCCGTTGGCCCTTGCGGGGCAACTCCCTGCAATCTCCGGAAAAACGAAGCGACAAACCAGCGAAAGGGCCTTGCCTGATTATTTTTTTTCCCAGGTCCAAAACCTGTGTCCAACAAGCAGTGGTTGGGAAGCAACAAAATCTCCGCATGGAAGCGCTTGCATGTTGAACGACCATGCAAGTAAAGGTTTCTACCCAGGAGCCAGGGCTAGCCAGGGATATGAAAAAGTACGCCTCATTGTCTCTTGACAAGTGGGTATTTACGTGAAACGGAAAAGGACTGAAAAGTGCGACCCATTTTGAAAGCTAAAGCCACACAGCCAACCATCAGGGGATGTCTGATCCGGGTTGCCGCGGGAGTATCCCTGGCGAGCGGCCATGTTTTTTCCGGCCAAGCTTAGATTCCGCGCAAAGAAATGTGCCCTATGATTCTCCATACCTGAGCGTGTTCCCAAACTCTGGTCTAAGTCGGGTGGAGAATGTTATATTCAACACAAACGTTTCCCTCAAACATCACCCCACCAAACGCACCTCAACAAACTGGCCAACTGGTTTTGGCTAAAATCTTGTCAAAAGGGGAAAATTGAGGGAATCCTTCAACAAAGCGCCCACACCCAGTGGTTTCCAAGATCTACCATTCGATCCCAGCACCCTCCCAACCTCGCCCCCCCCCCTTCCCACCCCCGCCCTCCCAACCTTCCCCAACCACCTCCCCAACCGAGTTCTCCCCACCTCCTCCCGCTCTCCGCCCTCTCCGCTCTCTCCGCTCTCTCCGGGCCGCATCTGCACGGAGCTCTGCAGGACATCAAAGAGCGCAAGTTCCTTCAGCTCGCTGGCCCGCGGTAGGGATCCAGGCGCCTGAGACTTCGACGTGGATTTCGAGAGAAATGCACGTCCTTCCTTTTTTCAGACGGCGGATCTGCTTCCTGGGCTCCCTTTTAATCCAATCCTTAGGATGGAGGAGAGCCTTTTTGGGGTTGGTTTAAAGGAAAACCAAAGGGAACTACAGAATCAATTTGGAAGGTTTCTCTCAAAACAAAATAAGCCCATGTTGAATCTAAGCTTTTGGCTTCCCCTGAACCATCCTTAAAGGTGGCCTCAAACTACGAACCTGTGCGTGTAAAGGCTACCCGCAATTCAACCAGCAGAACAAACCACCCGCTAACATGGCCAATAGGGGGTTCGGGCACCACTCTAAGGGAACCAATGGGAAGAAACGCCAACCGAAAAATGGCGGGTTACCTTCTATACTGTGACCCCGGATAACTAATGCCTGTTTGTTAATAGGGGGGCGGGCTGAAATCGGGGAACCCCAATATTGTTTTGGGTGTTCCTTTTGGTTTCCCCTGACGAACCAGAAGGGGGTTCCAACTAAAAGGTAGGCTTGAGGCGGCCCAACAACATGCACAACTCCCAGCGTTGCCAAGATATTAAGAATAGAAACTTAAATGAACATCTCGAAAGTCTTCAAAACCCAAACTTGGAACAGGTCTAAGACAGATTATAGGAATATGCTCGTGCCTCGTGCGGCGCGGAGCAGGGGGTCCCCCCAAGCAAAGATCTGAGCCCCCCCCCCCCCCCGCGGGTTGCCATGTCCATTCTGCAGCCAACCCGAAAAAAATACATGCGAAGAAACGGTTGTACAATAGACCCGAAGTGTCCACCATACCCCCCCCCCCCCGCCGTCCTGACAAACCTGGCATTCTGGCAGCCCCTGAAAAACGCTAAAGCATAGAGAACTCCCGCTAGCACAGCTTTCCCGGAAACCAAAAGTCACCCCACCCCAAGTCTCTTCACCCCTTGCCTCCGTGGTCAAAGCCACCGGGCTCTCCTCCTCGTGCCCCGCTTCCTCTCGCGTCTTCGGGCCTTCGAACTTCTCCTGTGGAAAACCGAGGCGCGCGGAGAAAGCGAGCGATCGCTGGGATGGGCAGAACGTTGGATGCGCCTGGGAAACATTAAAGGAAACCTCGAGATCTTTAGCAATTTTTCGTCTTTTGACACGACGAATCGATCGATTGGCTGAGGTGCTGCATTTTTGCCTAACCCTGGCACGGCCTGGCGTGCAAGACAAGGTCTACAGCTTAGGGTGGGCTGCGGGTAGGTTCGGGCAGGCCTACGGCAGCTTTAGGGTAGGTTTGTGGTAAGCTTCGCATCGGCTAAGGCTGGGTTAAGGGCGGGCTGAAGGAGAAGGGTCGGTTTAGGGCTGGTTTGGGCTAGGTTTAGGGGTGGGTTTCGGGTGGGTCATGTCAGGTACGTTCAAGGTTCATGGTGGGTGTTGGTGGACAACCAACCCACCACCCACCAACTTACCGAGCCACCCACCAACCCGCCAACCAACCAACCGACCGACCGACCGACCAACCCAGGCTGGCCAGGGCTAGGTTTTGCCCTAAGCTGTGCCAAGGATGTGCTTTTTTTCCTGGCGGCCACATCGACTTCTCTGCAAGCTCTCGTGAAGCCGAGATGAACATATCCGGGGCGCAGGCCCTCTGAGGGCCTGGTGTTTAAGGAAGATGGAGTGAATGACCCAAGTTAACCTTACACCTGTTTGATTTAGGTCTGTGAATACAAACTTGGCCATGGTCCCAAGAGGCCTGCAAGGGTTTTTCCTCGTTTCAGCCCACTTCAAATCGGTAGGCTATCGAGGCTTCTCCGTTCGACCAAATCGCACCGCTATGGGAAAGCAAGATCCCCTGTGGAGTAATTATCAATCCTGTTCCTGTAAAGGAAATCCAAGCAAGACCAGCACCGAAAAACAACAGATGCTTCCTGGCTTTCTAGACTCTACTAAAGACTGGTTACAATTAATGCCTGGCATTCTATAGACAAGTAATTACTAACATCTTCATCTGGGAATTTGTAATTCTTCTTTCCTTAGCCTCTACATCCTACATCCTCAATTGGTAGGTTTCTTAGAGACAGATAATTCCTAAGAAGAATGGTGATGGAGAAAGAATAATGAAGAAAGAAGAAATTCCATCTGGTCATCAGGTCCTATCTCCATCCAATTGACACCGACCAGAGAAGAATCCAGACAATTCTCTTTTTACTTCCTCAACATCATTCACCCCTCATCCTCATCTGTATCTGGGATTCGGAGATAGGTGAGGATGAAGAGTGGGGGATGATGAAGATATAAATCTCAAATTGCATCACTTTCATCTCTTAGTCATATCCTGTCTCTTCCTCAACCTTATGAATCTTGGGAATTCTATTTCCTATGTCATGTCAATGAGAAGCTGTAAATGTTCTTGTTTCAAATGCTTGTGCAATGATAAATCAATGCAATGTTATGGAGATTGTGATGCTTCTGATGTAATAATTAAATGCTGTAATATTGTGCACTGCAATCTCGAATTAATCTGCTGTAAATCTCAAACCTTCAATGCTGTTTCTTCTTGTTTCTGCTGTGCTGCAACTGATTTGTACTTGTGAATGTGGACTTGCTGTGAATAATTACTGGACTTCATTCTGCTGTAAATTGCTGCTACTCTTCTGTGATTCAGCATCGAGAACTGCCTCCGGCCTCCTCAACCATCTTCGCGGACAGCATCTTCAGGCGCCCAGCCTCTGTGTCCAGACCCAGTTTCGTGCACGCCAGCACGGTGTCACCAACAAGCTTGCCTTGGCATTGGCGCAGCTACACGAGGAACAAAAAAAACAAAAAACATAACAAACACACCCGCCCACCCGCCCACCTGCCCGCGGCCAGGCAGGCACAAGCACACACACACACAAATACCCTACCCACGTCCCATCCACGCATGCAAGCGCGCATGCATACACTCATGAACACGCACTCTGGCACACTCACAACCACCCAGTCACACACACAGACATACACACACGCACATGCCCAGGCACGCACGCACCCCCACATTCCCACCAACCCACCGACACACACACACACACACATGGTGCACCTGGGCAGTGCAACACACACATGCCGCACCTGGGCAGTGCACGCCGCACGCGACTGTGCGTTGCTAAGCTGCAAAACTGTATGAGGTTGGTCTTAACCATGGCTACCGAGGTGGCTTTGACCTCTTTCACATCTCTGATGAGAACCCGTTTGGCATCGCCGTAGAGCTGCAGCTTGCACGGGTTGTTTTGGGCCAGGCCTGCAGGGTGAAGGACCATCAAATCCAACGGACTCTGGTTGTTGCCCAAAGCTAGTGGTTCGAGTGTGGAAGTCTGAGTGCTCCAGCTTCAGCTTCACATGCCGGCAGCCAAAAGCAAAGATAAAGATGAAGCCTACCAAGATAGACCTGTTAAAACACACATCTGTAAACCACTCGGAACTTTCCTCGGCATCCCCGGTCGGAACCGTCCCTGAAACACCTGCTCGGAACTGCCGCCCCGAAACCCTCCGAACCGCCCTTGTTGCAAACCGCCCCACGCATCCCGCCGCACATACCCCAGAAACCCTCCTGGTCCCCCTGCAACGCCAACGCGGCGCAACGTCCTGAAAAGGACGATCGCTTTGCGCCTAGCCTGCCTGTTCATAACCCGGTTTTGCTTGGGGCGCCGCTGTAAGTGCGAAGCAGAGCGGGACACGCGGGCTTCCGCTCTAGAACAAAGAGGGCCAAGGATAGGGTGAGAGTTTGGGCGCTGAGCTTCGCAGCAGAGCAGAGGTCGGGGCCAGCGGAAGCATTGGTAGTGCTGCACGCGAGCTTGAGCAATGGCTAGACTCTCACAAGCCGCACTCCACTGCCTCGTGTCCAAGTCACTTCACAGCCTGGCTGCTAGCTTGCGTGTTAGAGGAATGGCCCAGCTCTGCTTCAGAGTCAAAGCGGTGCCCTAAGCAAAACCGATGCGCCAGCAGAAAGGTCGCGGCATGCATCGCCGGAACCATTCCCCGCAACCAGCCCGTGCTCTGTTGCAACTGCGCCTTGCGTCTCGGCCCCGTGCGTCCCCGGCACCCTGCTGTATTCAGAACCCGGACCCGTAGCTTGGGAAAACTAGAGCCGGGGCCCGGCACCAAGCAAAATAGCCCAGAGGCCCAGAAACCAGGCAAAGCAATACCACGAACAACACAAACATAGGTCTACGAGCGTGCTTAGAAAAAGCTATATTGGCTATAATCATGTGCGAACTAGAAGCACCAGGGCTACCAGCACGAGCACGAGCACGAGCACGAGCACGAGCACGAGCACAGAGCACAGAGCACGAGCACAACAACAACAACAACAACAACAACAACAACAACAACAACAACAACAACAACAACAACAACAACAACAACAACAACAACAACAACAACAACAACAACAACAACAACAGCAGCAGCAACAACAGCAACAATAAGAACAACAGCAGCAGCAACAACAACAACAACACCAGCAGCAGCAGCAACAGCAACAGCAACAGCAACAGCAACAGCAACAGCAACAGCAACAGCAACAGCAACAACAACAAACAAACAAAACAAACAAACAAACAAACAACCAAACACACAAACAAACAAACGACAAACGACAAACGATAAACAATAAACGACAGACAACAAACGACAAACGACAAACGACAAACGACAAACAACGAACAACCAACAGCCAACAACCAACGACAAACGACAAACGACAAACAACCAACAACCAACAACAACAACAACACCAACACCAACACCGACACCGACACCGACACCGACACCAACACCGACACCAACACCGACACCAACACCGACACCACCACCACCACCACCAACAACAACCACAACAACAACAACAACAACCACAACAACCACAACAACAACAGCAACAACAACAACAACAACAACAACAACAACAACAACAACAACGACAACAACAACGACAACAACAACAACAACAACAACAACAACAACAACAACCACAACAACCACAACGACTACAACAACAACAGCAACAACGACGACGACGACGACGACGACCACGCCGACGACGACAACGACAACGACAACGACAACGACAACGACAACGACAACAACAACAACAACAACAACAACAACAACAACGACAACGACAACAACAACAACAACAACAACAACAACAACAACAACAACAACAACAACAACAACAACCCCAACCACCCCAACCACCCCAACCACACCAACCACACCAACCACACCGACCACACCGACCACACCGACCACAACAACAACAACAACAACAACAACAACAACAACAACAACAACAACAACAACAGCAGCAACAACAGCAACAATAAGAACAGCAGCAGCAGCAGCAACAACAACAACACCAGCAGCAGCAGCAACAGCAACAGCAACAGCAACAGCAACAGCAACAGCAACAGCAACAGCAACAACAACAAACAAACAAACAAACAAACAAACAAACAAACAAACAACCAAACACACAAACAAACGAACGACAAACGACAAACGATAAACAATAAACGACAGACAACAAACGACAAACGACAAACGACAAACGACAAACAACGAACAACCAACAGCCAACAACCAACGACAAACGACAAACGACAAACAACCAACAACCAACAACCAACAACCAACAACAACAACAACAACAACAACAACAGCATCAGCAGCAGCAACAACAACAACAGCAACAACCACAACCACAACCACAACCACAACAACCACAACACCCACAACCACAACCACAACAACAACAACCACAACAACAAACACAACTACTACAACCACAACAACCACAACAACAACGACAACGACAACAACAACAACAACAACAACAACAACAACAACAACAACAACAACAACAACAACAACGACAACGACAACGACAACGGCAACGACAACGACAACAACAACAACAACAACAACAACAACAACAACAACAACAACAACAACAACAACAACAACCAACAACAACAACAACAACAACAACAACAGCAGCAGCAACAACAACAACAACAACAAGGCCGCCGCCGCCACCACCACCACCACCACCACCACCACCACCACTAGCAGAAACAACAACAACCAACAACCGACAACAACAACAACCAACCAACCAACCGACCATCCAACCATCCAACCAACCAACCAACCCCAACCCCAACCACAACCACAACCACAACAACAACAACAGCAACAACCACAACAAAAACAAGGACAATCATGTAACAAGAATACTGACAATACCCGAAGCTGGCAGCTGCAGGAGCAGCTGCAGAAGCCACAAAAACCACACCACAAACAACGACGACCATGACAACCACAAAAATATCACCAATGACAACAACACCAATGACAACAGCGGTGCTGGCAATGGAAACAGCAACAGCAACATCAACAGCATTAGAAACCCCAACAATAGCAACAAACCATCCAACGCAACAATCACGCAACCACGCAAGCAAACAAACAGAGAAATCAAACAAACAAAGAAAACAACAATTAACAAACAAAAGACACACAAAAGACAAAAAACAAACAAGACACACAAACACAACCAAACAAACCAAGAAACAGCCAAAACAAACAAACCAAACAAAAACAAACTAACAAGCAAGAACACTCAAGGAATCAACGCCGAAACAAGCAAGCAAACAAGCAAGCAAGCAAGCAAACAACCAAACAAGCAAACACACAAGCAAACAAACAAGCAAACAAGCAAACAAGTTAACAAGCAAACAAACAATCAAGCAAGCAGCAAAAACACAAACAAAGGACACACACGCACCACACCATCAACAACGGCGTGTTTTCTAACAACTTCATGCATGAAGCTGTGCTTCTCCAGATGTGCCTTCCATGTCCTCAGAAAACGTAACCTGAGTGGCGGAGTCCAGTTTGTCTCAAGCCAAGCCTGGGATGGCCAGAAAGGGCGATGTGTGCCGAATCTGCGATCCATTGGTCAGTTTGATCACCAGCTTGTCGCTGAAGCCGCGAAAATCAAAGGCCCGCAAGGAGGGCTTGGCCGACTCATTCCCGGCCGACTCATTCCTCACCAACTGGGCTTCGTCGGCAAACCGATATCCGCTCGCCTCAGGTGCCATGGAACAGCAAGGGCAACACTTTGTTGACTTTGCATGGGAGACCTTCCCCTGACAATCAAAATGCTAAGGGCGCTATTGGTGGTTGACTTCAGAGGAAAAAACCTTCCCCCCCCCCAAAGCAAAAAAAGACGAAAACAACGACACCCAAAAGCATGTTGACACTATTGGTTGCACTCTTGCGCCAGGTCACTGCCTGCAAGCAGAGCGAGAACCATAATGTAATTAGCTGCATCTTACAAACGGACGGAGGCGGGGGCGATCGGCAGTTGCGGAGTGCCCCTGAGCCAAAGCGTTGGCAGCGGTGCTGATCCATCGGGACCGCTTCCGCTTAAGCGCAAGCAGGAGAGAACCAGAAACGGTCCCCCCGTTTTTCTGCGTTAACGCCATCAAGGCAACCCCGCTGAGGCCGTGTTTCCAATTCATGGCGATATGCGCGTTGGGTTCCATCGTTGGCGTGTCTTCGCTTTCTCACTTTGCCAACTCCAAAAACGAACGCAGCTAGCTGCAGTCCAATCCAGCCTCGCACAAACATCCTTCCGGCATCGCCACGTTGGTAAAAGTCGACACTTGCCATTCTGGGGCCGCCATCCTTGACTCCTTTTTAGATGATCCTACTGGAAAAACCAAATGAACAACGATTGATATCTCCACAGGGAGTTTCTCCCCAAGTTGCCTCAAATATGGGCCATGGCTTGAAGACCAGGCGAAAGGACCTGGTCACTGTTCAACATGAAACCATCCGAAACCCCTGTCATTGCATTTTCAGAGATGCCTTTTCAGAGCCCAGGCCTCTAAAAGGGGCTGTCGTTTGGCCCGCTCTCAGCTCCGCCTTCAACTTTAGGCCTGGGATGTGCTTCTCCAGCCGTTCTTTCACGATCTTGGCCTCACGACCGAGACCCATCGTCGGCTTGAAGAAATCAACCAGTCGGAATCACTCGACATACTCCCCACGTACAAACATTGGCAAAAAGGGTGTGGGAAAGAACCCAGGGGGTACCAGTTGGATGGTTCAGTTCAACGAAAACGTTTAACAGACCAGACAGTTCTCCCTGCCCGCCCCTAGTGATGATTTGTCTCCTTAACAACGAAATGCAATCTCACACTCCATTTTTGGCGGGACAGTTGTTGTTCCTCAAGGGTTCACACTTGCAAGCTATAGTTCAAACATGGGATGCAAGCTGGGGAACATTGTACCCGAATAAACGTGTGTGCATCTGTTTACATGTATGCCGTTCAAAACAAAAGAGCTATCTTCAAAACAAAGACCAACCCAGTTAGTTGTCCAACAGGTGCAACAATGGATCAACATAACGAACCATCAAGTGACTCACGTTTTTATTGCCTGTCGACTCCACAAGCAGCTACCGTGGTTCCAGGGCCGCACATGGCTGAAGGCTCTCGTTTCGCCCAACATCAAAAGAAGACCCCCACCAGAAATGACAACTCGCCAAAGCGAACCTGGAGGCATGGGTTTCTCCCGGAAATGTCTGATCAACTTGGCCGCAAATCGGCCGCTAGGAAAAACCGTGAGATTTGTATAGAAAGGCCCGCCCTTCAGCCCTTGTGTGTCGACTCCCGCTGCATTGATTGGACCAATGAGTCATACTCAACACCCGGTACAAAAATGGTCTACCCAGAACCATGTGGGATTGTCCCTTACTAACCTTCATCTATATACCTGGGTTTTGATTGTGGCTCGAATGGTTTTAGACGCCGGCAGTCACTGGTGTCCACATGGGTACCCTTCTAGAAATCTTAGGTACCGGGTTAAACAAAAAGTCATATTTGGGGGATTTTTTTGGGCTAGGGTAAAACCAAAAGTCGTTTTTGGGGGTCCCTTGAACAGACGTTTTTTGGGGCCTCTTGGGGAGACGTTTTTGGGCCCCCTTGGGTATTTTTTTGGAGAATGGGGCCCACTGGATAGGGTGCTTTTAGCAGCAATAGGGGTGCTTTTAGGGTCACTCTTAGCTGTTGTGTTCTCAATCCTGCTGGTTCTCAGCAAGGACCGAGTAGGGTTTGGGAGTGAACCCAGGGGTCCCCCTTAAAGGAATCTCAGGGATGGTTCTTAGGCGTTCTTCCCTCATTGCCTGCTGAGAACCAGCAAGATAGGCACAGTATAAACCAGTCAAAAGAAACCCAATTAAATCCCCCATTCCTATGGCGACCAACCCTGAGACCCGATCTCGACCGAAATGTCTCGACAAACTGCTTCTGTCGCCAGCATAGGAATTGCAAAGTGGCCGCCGTGTTTTTTCCAATCAGAGAAATCTCTCATGAAGTCTGTGAATTTCAAGGTAAAACGGTATAGGAACATCAGCAACACTGCACGCCGTGCGGATTCTGGATCGGAATTGCTGCTTCAGCTTGCTTCGTGGTGTCCCTTAGCCTGCGTGGCTCCAGCTGAGTGCCTCTTGCAACAACTGTTCAGGAGACGGCTTTGTGAGAAGAGGACGAATCTACGGCAACAAGGCCGGGATTGCAAGCTTTGTTAACTTTGCTCAGAAGAGTTGCAGCATGTCGGGCTTTTGTGCAGCCCAAATCGCAGCCATGTTCTCCTTCAACGTGAGGACCCTGACCAGAAGCACTAGTCTTGCAAGCTCTTGATATCAAACATACACTGCCCCAGAATCGGATATCAGGCTGAATTTGAAGTGGTTGGGCCCTGGCATGAACTGACCAGATTTATGTCCAACCATTGCGAGGTTGTTCCAGTGTCCAAATCAATATCTGTGTAGCCATGTAGGTGCCGAGTCGGAACTGATCGTCAAGTACAATTTGGGTATGTGTCACATAGGCCAAGCATTGAAGCTTCGAACCACTTCTAACGCATCCGTCCTCGTCCTTGCGAAGCAGCCCGGTGTCAACCATGAAGGGTCGAAAGCGATCTCCTGGGATCACATGACAAAAGAAACCCGCGGGATCTCTTTGCCCCCGAGAAGCTTATGCAGTTCACACACGCAAGGGAGGACACCGTTTCAACCCAGAACTCCGTCTGGTGGGACATTGGGCCAACCACTCCAATGATATCCAACACCTTGTCGGATCTGAGGAGCCATGGCTCGAAACCAGAACCTGTTATCACCCGACCGGGGGGGGAGGGATGCTGGACAGTGACAGGGATTTCAGCTCCTAGCGAATCTGGGGGTGTCTCGTTTTTTCGGGGCCCCCGAAAAATGGCAACGCAACGATTTCCTCTTGGTTTCCCCATTGCACCACCAGAGAAAGGTGCCCTCGGAAAAAAAATAAAATAGGAGAAAAAAACAGACCCATGCGGACCACCTCACTCCCTCCAAATATATATATATATATATATAAAACACCGCGAATGGGCTCCCCAATGCAGGTCGAGCAAAAAGGGTGTCCCATATGATTGTGAATGCTCATGAAGCACCATGGGGATGTCTGTCAGTTCCCACTGGGCATTAACACCGCTCGAGTTGAAAAAACACGGATTCCAGGGTGATCCCAGGGATTTCCCGTATCATCCATTGAAAGGAGAGAGGTTCCCCTAGGGTGGTTGAATGAGCTGGCTTTCTGGACTGGGTGTTGAATAGTCGGGAACAACACACTTCCATTTGGTTGCCAAGGCAAACATTGCTCCCCTACGCAACACGGAGCCTAAGAAGAGGGTTCCAGGCCAATAGGAAATGTTGATTCCAATGATAGCAATGGTATTGGGGTTCCATTCTAATCTGGTGACCCATGCGCCTTTGAACCCACTAGTAAAGGGATCCCTACTAGGTTCTCCAGAAAAGAGAAGTTAGAATATGTTGGTACCAGATCTTTTTTCAGGATGTTTATTTTAGTAGGGGAACCCAGCCAACCAAAAAAAATGGTAGAGAAGGGCACTACTGGGGGACCTAGCCTATACTTACCACTTGAACATGCACCTCACGAGGAAACTCACTCTGTCCGAAAGTGATCTGGCTGAAAAGGGACATACAGTAGATATCCTGCCGCATTGCAAGTAAAAAGGCAGCCCTCTGCTTTCTCGTAACTTCCCACGGTAAAACCGCAATCTAGTTGATCCCACCAAATTTTATGGTTCCAACAACCGCGTAAAGCACAGGGTTTGTCCTTGTGACCAACACTAACAAACTGGACGTTCAACAAGCCGTCACTGGATTCCTCTTGAATGTTTCATCAATTTACTGGTGGTGTCAATTGAAACCATCCAGAAAGAAAGACGCCTCGGACACCCAAATGGGAGGAAACTCACCACTCCAAAAACAAGTTTCAGTAGTTTTTTTGAGTCCCTTTAAACCAACAGGGCTGACTATCATAGCAGTTGACAGGGGGTCCCTCCCAAAGGAAACGATCTTTCAGGCACCTTGCCGAGGGTGTTGCCGAGGGTGGCCTTGTAGCCAGCCATAAGAACCGGCCACTCGTCCCTCCGACGGCCTCGGCCAGACTCTCCGAACCGAAGTTCTGGGGCCACGGCCAATCGCTTTGTGGACCAACGCCTAAGCCGGAGCTGGAAATACTGAGGGCGTGGCCCCCCCGGAAATATGCATATATATATATATGGTACAGCGTTGCCAGGCCCCCCCCCCCCCAATGGTCATGGGTCAGACAAGTACCCCCCCCCCCCCCCGTGGTTGTGGTCCTGTGGTTGGGTTGTGGTGGTTTTTAGGGTCGGTTTAGAATTGGTTTAGGGTATATTTAGGGTGTATTTAGGGTTAGTTTAGGGTTGGTTTAGGGTTGGCTTATGTTGATTTAGGGTTGGTTTAGGGGTTGGTTTAGGTTTAGAGGTGTACGGTTTAGGGTTTGGTTTAGGGTGTATTAGGGTTAGTTTAGGGTTGGTTTAGGGTTGGTTTAGGTTTAGGGTTTATTGTTTAGGGATTGGTTTAGGGTGTGTTTGGGGTAAGTTTAGGGTTGGTTTAGGGTTAGTTTAGGGTTGGTTTATGTTGATTTAGGGTTGGTTTAGGTTTAGAGGTCTACGGTTTAGGGATTGGGTTAGGGTTGCTTGAGGGTTAGTTTAGGCTTGGTTTATGGTTGGTTGCGGGTTGTCGGGGTGCGAGTTCAGGGGGTCGGGGTGGGGGTGGGACTGTAAGTGCCAGGATCTGGGGGCGGGGGGTTCTATGGGGCCCATACCATATTGGGGGGGGGGGGGTAGCAACACGGAACACGGGACACATACACCTAGGTATATATGCAAATATGAATATACTCATACATGTGAGGACACATGCAACATATACAGCCGTACCCCCCTTGTACCGTACCCATGTGGTATATACATGACGTACCCTATGATATCAGAAGTATAGTTTCATACTCCACACTCCAGTTTAAGAGGCATGTTTGCATGTCCATTGCAACGATCAGGAAAGGCGGCGAACAAGCGGAAAATTAAAGAGCTAGGGTTACGCAGGTGTTGGTCCATGTTTCCACTGGCCAGGGTTCCATTTTGGCACCGGTCTTTTGAGCCATCCCAAGTGTTTGGTTGACCTTGGCGCCAAATACCAAACTCTGCTTGGAAATGCCTTTTCAGGGTTCAGTCTCAGGAACGCGAGACCAACAGGTACCTTTATAACGTTCCTGGAGAAGATAGAAACGTCGCGCGCTCCCAAAAATGCATTTGGGAGGGTTGTGCCGCGCAAGGATAGAAACTGTCGCGTGCGCTCCCAGATATCAACGGTAGTATTCGAGGCGCCGCTTGTTGGGAGCGCGCGAAGGTACGAGAGTTTCTATTTTGCTGAAACCCTGCGAAGGGTTCATTTTGCATTCGCAGTTAACATCCGGAAATGATAGAAGCGTATATCCAGGAAAGAATCAAAGTTTCTATCTTGCTGCACACCCTGTGTTGTACAGGGTCTGCAGCAAGATAGAAACTCTTGCAACACCTCATGGCCCAATGGATCATAATAAGTACGGAAGACTAAACCTAGTAGTGACAACACTAAATTCTGCATTTGCAATACAACATGAAATACTGGCAATGCAAACTTAGGACTGGCGACACTACATTTAGTACTGGCAATGCTATATTTACTACTCAATTCAAAATTAAGTAGCGGCAATACTAAATTTAGCACTGGCAATTCAAAGTTTAATGCTTGCAACACTAAGGAGATACACAATTACGTACTCGCAATATGAAACTTAGTATTGGCAATACTAAATTGAGTACTGGCAACGACTGGCAATCCTCAATTAGTACTTGCAAGCAATTAGTTTGATTATCCGGGCCATGACCCGTAGCAAAAGTTTCTATCTTTCCGCAAGGCCCGAAAAACACAGTGTTTGCACACAGATAGAAACTTTTGACCAGAGAGTTTCTATATTTCCGCGGGGCTGCCAAAACCTGCAGAGGGTTGATTCCGTTTTCGCACGGGTACTGCATTCAGTAGCGGCAATACTAAATTTAGTACTGGCAATACGAATACGAAATTTAGTACTTTCAACACTAAGGAGACACACAATTAAGTACTGGCAGTATTAAATTTAGTACTGCCAATACTAAATTTAGAACTTGCAATCCTCAATTTGGCACTTGCAAGCAAATAATTTGATTTTTCCGGGCCATGAGCCGTAGCATGAAAAGTTCTATCTTTCCGCAAGACCTGAAAAACACAGGGTTTGCAGAAAGATAGAAACTTTTTGGATCCTTCCCTGGAACTGCAAACAAAGCTCTGTCCGAAACTATTCTATTCTTGCGCGGGACCCATCTGCAGAGGGGGGATCGTGGACTCGCAGAGCTACCCCCCCCCGCTGCTTCTGGAAGCCCGAAATCATTCCAGAATGCATTGCATTTTTCAGTAAGGAGTTTAAGCAATTCAAATCCTCGCTAAGAATTGAGTACTGGCAATGCTCAATTTAGCCCTGGCAATATTAAATTTAGTACTGGCAATATTAGATGAAGTACTACCAGATGTACTATAGGCAAGCAAATAACACGACTTTCTGGGCCATGAGCCGTAGCAAAATTTCTATCTTTCCGCAGAGAAAAACACAGGGCTTCCACAAAGATAGAAACTTGTGACCGGAGAGCTTCTATCTTTCCGCGGGGCCGCCAAAACCTGCAGAGGCTTGATTTCGTTTTCGCACGGATACTACATTCAGTAGCTGCAATGCTAAATATAGTACTGGCAATCGTTAATTTAGTGCTTGCAAGCAAATAATTTGATTTTTCCGGGCCATGAGGCGTAGCAAAAGTTTCTATCTTTCCGCATGGCCTGAAAACACAGGGTCTTTTGGGATCCTTCCCTGGAACTGCAAACGAAGCTCTGTCCAAAACAAATTTTGCCAACATCAAATTTAGTATTGCCGCTACGGAATGTAGTATTCGTGCGAAAACGGAATCAATCCTCTGCAGGTTTTGGCGGCCCCGCGGAAAGATAGAAGCTCTCCGGTCAAAAGTTTCTATCTTTGTGCAAGCCCTGTGTTTTTCAGGCCTTGCGGAGCTTTTGCTACGGCTCATGGCCGCGAAAAATCATATGAGTTGTTCGCCTGAAGTAAATCTAGTTATTCCAAACCTAATCTAGTATTGCTAGTACTAAACTTGGCATTGCCAGGACTAAACTGAGCATTGCCAGTACTTAATTTTTAGCCAGGATTTGAGTTGTTTAAATTCCTTACTAGAATTTTGGGCGTTCAGAAGGGGGGTAGCTCTGCGAGTGCACAATCCGCCCTCTGCAGATGTCTTGGTCCTGTGCAAGAATAGAGCAGTTTTGGAGGGAGCTTCGTTTGCAGTTCCAGGCAAGGATCCAAAAACTTTCTATCTTTGTGCAAACCCTGTGTTTTCAGGCCTTGCGCAAAGATAGCAACTTTTGGTACGTCTCATGGCCCGGAAAAATCAAATTATTTGCTTGCAAGTACTAAATTGGGGATTGCCAGTACTAAGTTTAAATTCAATATTGCCAGTACTTAATTGTGTGTCCCCTTAGGGTTGCAAGTGCTAAAACAATTTTTGCCAATATCAAATTTAGTATTGACGCTACGGAATTTAGTATTCGTGCGAAAACGGAATCAACCCTCTGCAGGTTTTGGCGGCCCCGCGGAAAGATAGAAGCTCTCCGGTCAAAAGTTTCTATCTTTGTGCAAGCCCTGTGTTTTCAGGCCTTGCGGAAAGATGGAAACTTTTGCTACGGCTCATGGCCCCGAAAATCATGTGATTTGCTTGCCTGAAGTAAATCTAGTTGTTGCAGAACCTAATCTAGTATTGCTAGTACTAAACTTGGCATTGCCAGGATTTGATTTGTTTAAATTCCTTACAAACATTTTTTGGCTTTCAGCGGGGTGGGGGTAGCTCTGCGAGTGCAGTTCCATCGAGGGATCCAACAAGTTTCTATCTTTGTGTGAACCCTGTGTTTTTCAGGTCTTGCGGAAAGATAGAAACTTTTGCTACGGCTCACGTCCCGGAAAAGTTAAATTATTTGCTTGCAAGTAGTAAATTGAGGATTGCCAGTAGTAATTTTAGTCTTGCCAGTACTAAATTTAATATTGCCAGTACTTGATTGTGTGTCTCCTTAGTGTTGCAAGTACATTTTTTAGTATTGCCAGTACTGAATTCAGTATTGCCGCTACTGAAGGCAGTATTCGTGCGTAAACGGAATCAACCCTCTGCAGGTTTCTTGGCTCCTTCACTTGTTTTTGATTGATTTCCTTTGCATCCTTGCAAGCACCACCTGGTAAAAATCCGTAGTTATTTTCACAGAACACTTCATCACCTTTGTTGTTCCATTGTCTCAAGGGAACTTTGCCATCGTTATTGCATTTGCCTTGGGTTTGGTGGCATGGGCCTTTACCAGCAAAAATGATGAACCAAAAAAAACGTAGGGGCTGTTGGCTTCCAATTGGTCCTGGCCAGGGTGGATGGTGTTGGAAATCTAGAATTCAAACAACAAAAGTACCAAACATGTCAGCAACCACGTCCCAGATGAAAAGTCAAAAACAAACTCAGTAAGTGCAACATTCCCCAAACACCTCGAGAAGTCCAAAAAACACAAACAAACACAACCATAAAATGTCAGCAACCATCCAAACAATCCATCACTACATGCACATTGTCCAAAAGCCCAAAAGTTCAAACAAAAAACACATACCACAAACCAAACAATGAACATGTCAGCAACCATATCCCAGATAGACACTCCCAACAAGCCCAAAGTAAGTGCAAAGTTTCAAACAAAACCTCGAGAATTCCCCAGAACCAAAAACACACAACAAACAAAGACATGTTAGCAACCAGGAGGGGCCCTTTGGTGGGTTCCATGTTAGTGGACAGGAAAGTAATGGGAACCGCAGATGAAGTTAAACCCCTGGCTGATTTTGATTGGGAACTGTCCCCCTTTAGTGGGGATTCAAACAATTTTTGAAGGGAACACCGCCGCTATTAATAGAACTTCACTCCCTGATTCCTGGACTTTAAACTTTTTGGGAAAACCATTTTAGCGGTAAAACAATAGTGGTAAATGAAAAGTTTGGATTTTCTGGCCACGTACTGTAGTGTACGGCCAGCTCTGCCGCCGGCCATCCTCGGCCGTTCGGGCAGAACCTGCAGAAGAGGTTGCCATGGCTATCCTAAAGAGCCAGGCACTGCGTTGGGCTCATAATATGTGCCACCACTCTCTGCAATGGACTTTTTGATCCTCTAAATGATGCGCATCGGGATATAATACAAGGGGCTAAACAATTAGAATGGGGTTTGGGGGAGGTTAAAACTATATATATATATTGTCCTAATTATAGACGGGGGGAACACTGCTAGAATTTATTTAGCCCCCTTTGCATATTACTTATAAATTATCCATGCATTTTGTTTGTAAACCATGTCCCAGGCAGGTGCCAAGCGGATTCCAGCAAGTGGGCTTGTGTCAACATAGAGGACCCCAAAATCGTTTCACCTGCTGGTTTCCCTGAACACCAATCGGAAAAGAGTACACTTCCTCCAACTAACATGTCACCTGTAGGGAGGTACCTCAAAGACCATTTTCCTTTTCAATGAATCCCCCGGCAGGTGCAACTCAAGAGAGGCACCACCAAGCCATCAGGCTATGGGTCAAAACCCCGGTACCCCGGTGAACACCCCAGAAAGCCTTCTAAAAAGACAACAGTGGTTTTGACCCACAACCATCTCTTGGCGCCCCATGCGAAACTCAGCGCCCGACTGCTGCAACGCTGGAATCGACACCGCCACTCACGGCGCCCACCACGTACTTGTCCTGCGAGATGGAGGCTCGCCAGAAGGCTTCTCAACTAGGTCCTCCAGTAGAGAGGTTGGAATAAGGGTACCAACTTTTTCTGTAGAAAATATTCTAGTAGGGGAACCCTCCCCCAAAAAAGAAACAGTAAAAGGGCACTACTAAAAAACCTAGTCAATAACGGGCCCTTTCCTTGTGACATTGTGGTTTCCCCTCTGAGGAGTGCCAACAAGGTCACCAATTCTGAGAAGCATCCGGCACAAGCATGAATTACACAATTCGTGCCATTCGTGGCTACCGTAAAGATCCCCAGGCTTTCTATCCGGCTTTTGGAGGACAGATATGCAGTTGCCAAGCGGCAAGCTGCAGATGCCATGCGTGGCACAAGTGGGAGATCAACTCACAAGGCGCTGTTTGCGCCTCTGAATGTTGAGGGTTCCCTGCAATCGGAGCCATCAAAGCCCCTAGTCTTACCCCTCCTGCTTCGTTTCCATGTGGTTGATCAAAAAGGCTCGATGAACATGGGATGACCATAAAAGAAAACCATGCAAAAGATGATGCTTCCCACTGAATGGGGAAAGTTCATCACGGTCCCTTGGGGGCCAGGAATATTTGATCAACCCCCATTTGACAAGCTCAGGTCCATGTTCCGCGCCTGCATCTTGCTCATAATGATGTCCTCAGATCACATTGCGTTGCAGCCGGCATTCATATCTGGCCCTTGCGAATGGGCAATTGGTTTGTCCTTCCTACATCTACCAGATATACCGGAGTCACTGGACTTCTAAGGTTTCAATCTACCGCTGGCTTCCGAGACGATCGCCACTTTGGATTCCAGAAAGGCCTTCGCCTGGCAAAGGAAAATTTGCCCATCGAACTGAGGCGCGGTCAATTTGCCTCTGGCAGAAGTCGTGCATGTTCCACTCGCCTTTGCCTTGAATTTCAGATCTGCGGAGGGATCCGCCAGGCATCTGAGGCTGTGCAACCCTATGGGCTTGCACACATGACCTATTATATATATGTATATGAATATGTATGAATATGTGTATGAATATGTATATGAATGTGTATATGTACATATGTATAACTATAATACATACATATACATATATATATATATATACACATTATGTTGACCTTGTTCTGCTGTCAGAATGACTTGCCTCCAAGATCAATCTCCGGGCACATTGCCGCAGAGGTCATTCTGCTTCCCATCCAGCAATGCAGAAGCTCCTTCTAATGGACATGCTTGGTTGCTGTTGACCCCTCTCGAAAAGCTGAACTTTTTGCGAGTCCAAAAACCACTGTTTCCCAAACCGTTAAAGTCCAAAGATCCGGTACCAACAAGCCATAGAGCATCCATGCTTGGGAACAGCCCCCCCAAGAACCAACAACAACGGCAGGGGAGGAATATATGGCCATGGGTCAAAACCCCGTACCCCCAGTGAACATCCCATCCCCATTAAACTAGACTAAAATGGTGGTGCTACCCCAAAACGGTACCATTGGTTTTGACCCACAGCGATATCTTCAGACCCTCGTGCTCAGGCCAGGGCAGCCCACTACCTTGAGCACAAAGTTCTTGATCATGATGGCCCCAGATGGCGTGTGCGTCACCTGAAAAATTTGGCCACCCGGCCATTTCTGCTGCTCAACTAGGTCCTCCAGATTTAAGAGGTGAGGGTTTAAGGTACCCGATATTATTATTTTTTCTGTAGAGACTATTTTAGTAGGGTTCGGAACCCTCCCCCAAGAAACGGTCAAAGGGCGCCTAGCTGGACCGAGTCAAGGTCCGAAGCCAGGTGGAACCCCAAAAGCTGAAGCTGAAGCCCCGAGGCACGCCCCAAACTTCTCACTTTGGACCTCAAATCGAAATACCCCAAAAGCCCTCAAATGAAATCCAAGATAGTCAACCGGATACTCATATTCAATTAAGACCGCATTTGACACACATCACGTCACTGGAGGCAAGGGCCTTCTGTCGCGTGGTGCTGGAGAACGGTTCCTCTATTTTGGGTATGTACTAACTAGATGGATGAGCATTACTCCAAAATATGATCCCCATTCTCCCATTTAGGGCGACCCCCTGTTCTGAGAGCAACTAGATGGGTTATCTACCCAACCCATGCATCATTTGTTCGCGCACCCCCTCATTTGTTCGGGGACCCCCCAAATTGTCGTTTTAGATTTGCTTTCCCTTGAACAACCACAAAAGCAGAGGAACCCCCGAACAAGACACACCGATGCGTTCGGACCAGCTTCCGGCAGGGACCGTCCCCCAGTTCAAAAGTGCCGGGCAAGATCCGGAGTTTCTCTGAACGGACCCTGTTGGTTGGCGCTGTCCAAGAGGAAACTTTCATGGCACTAAACGGGTGTCTCTTTTTCTTGAGGGTCGTTGGTTTAAGGGCCAAGCAGAGGAGAAGCCACAACCCCAACCTGCCAAACTGGGGGCCCATTGAGGCCCAAGCTCTTGAGAACCCTTCCTCCACACCCCCAATCTGCAACTTTCGATCCTACCTCTGGGTGGAACTGGACGCCGTAGAAGTGCCGGGTCTGCGCGCCGCGACACGGGCCCGGGGCCCGGTGGCCAGAAAACGAAGCTTTTTCTGCAAGGGGGGCTTAGGGCGTAACAGGCTGAAACAGGGCAGAAATCCTGTTTATGTCGCTAAGGAAAGGATATGACCACACCAAAAAGGGGGGGAAACTGTGCCAGCTACTTTCAGCAACGGTAATCAAAGGGCGCTAAGTCCCTTTTCAGGTTCCTTTTAAAGGGCCCTTTGCGCTTGGATTTTTTGTGGTTGCAACAAATGCCAAGCTGTCTGACTGCAGGTTAGAACCCCCAATGGAAATCACAGGTTAGACTCCGCCGCATTCATGAATAGATCACTCCCAGCAGGTGTCCCTTTAGTCAGGGGATCCTTCTCAACATCAAGGAAGCCCCGAAATTGGTTGGTTTCCTTTTGTTCCCTTCAAATCCAAGCAAACAGGAGTTGGGGTGTCTGCTTCACGTGAAAATCCGGCCCAACTGTCAACCCACCTACCGAAGAGGACAGTGGATGTGCTGTTCAGAGAAACCCCGAAGCCTCATGTTTGGTCCGCATTTGGAGAGGTGTCTTCTCCTTTTCAAGGGACACTCACCCGAGAAATACAGTTCTTTGGAAGCTACCTGGCACAACTTTTTGCGTCACTTCCATCCCATACCAGGTCCTTCACGACTTCTTTCTGTAGAAACTATTTTAGTAGGGGAACCCTCCCAACCAAAAAACGGGTGAGAACGGGCACCTAGCTGAGGGAGCATATTTGTCGCTTCGAAACCGCTTTGCCTGGTCTTCCACGGCGGCGAACTCGGTGTTGGAGGTGTAGGCGATGGAGTTGAAGCCAGCTGGGATCTCGGTGACCTGACAAAAAAAACATCGGACCCCGTTTTGGTTCTGCAGAACCCACACAAAAAAAAGGAACACAATGACATCCAGGGGCTGGAGTGGGCATCAAGCAATGGGATGCGCGGATGCTTTTTCCACGTGTCATAGCCTTAGATCCCAACCTGCGGTTGGGCGGCTCTGTCCGACGCCAAGTCGATATCGCATTGCATCGCTCAGTCGCAAGGGCACTATGTGTACAAAATCCCCACGACTTGATCTTTCTCGGAGAGAAAGATTGGTCTGCCAGTTGAGTCTGCATTTTTGGCCTGCGGTGTTGTTTTCTCTCTCGTCCTCACTTGCAGACTTCTAACAATATTGCCAGTCGCTTATGCGAGCTAGATTGTTGGTTTGGTTGTGCCCCCAAGTAACGTGAAAACTTGATAAGCAAACCAGTTTGCTAGAGAACAGTTGGTGAGTGTACCCCATGTCAGCACCTTTGCTACGACAGATGACGGTGAACATGGACCGTGGCTCATGTAAGGAATTTGGATCAATCTACAGACATAACGAAAGGCGGACGGAAAGACAACTTGGCGCTCTGCGCCCATCCTGAAATGTCACTTTGGGTGAACGATCCAACTGTTGCTTGTTTCTCCGGCATTGCGCGCTGAAATTTCCGGCCATTACCCGTTTTCAGTTTGGGGTATCTCCGCAGTGAGTGTACTCAGTGTCCTCTGAGATTGTGGTGCTTTTCCCTGTGGCGCCTTCTTGGAACCCAAAAGGGGGAGCTATCCATTTAACGAACTTGCAGTAGGCAAATCAAGAACCTCCCTGGTTGTTGCATTCTGCTTGACATTTGACTCTCTCAGCTAAGGGTTCCGGGTATACTCGATTCCTTCACTGCTTCGTTATCTTAACTTGGTTGACTCTGCTTGGCCGTGATTTGAGGATAGATAAGGAAATATCTTTTCTTGGACTGTTAGGAAAGCTAACATCATAGGTGATTTGTGTCATGTTGCTTTTGCGCAAAGGAACGCCAACACCAGCTGCGGGCGTATCCCTCAAGGTGTCTAGTGCCGGCGCCTTGTCACCGTGGCTCATCCAAACGGGCACCTTCTCAGCGCTGATGCCCTGGAAAGAAAGGGCGGCCACGGATCACACGGAGGGGGGGGTTGTCTTTGGGGTCCCTTCAAGCCAAACACAAAAAGGCTACCCTCAGAGGAAAAGACGCACCCGTTTCAAGGGTTGCAACCAATCGGCCGATTTTCTCAACCGATGTTGAGAGGCCTGCGATCGAGCGTGTGAGGTCTGAGAAATCTTCGGATTCGGAGAGCTTGGCTTCTCGAGTAACCTCTCAAGAACCCCCCAACCCAAGTCTCCACGAACCAATGGCTTCCCTCAATTCGAACGGAAAAGAGGAGCTTAGGGTCACGAACGTCCAGAGCCCAATCAAAACAAAACTTGCCCGCCCCAATCTCAGAGCAACCACAGGTTTCCTGTCTCCCCTTTAAAGGTCACTTCACAGGAGGCTCATTTTCTGGCAACCAAAGGCTGGTTTGTTTGTCCGCTTCAACATCACCCAAGGAAACTCAATTTGTTTCAGGCCCGAAAGGCCACTCGCAGAGTGGACCCCAAGAAACTCACGCAAGGACCCCAGTTCAGTAGCCCGAGGAAAAGGGAGCCTTCTTGGGGCGGGAAGCCAAAAGGGAAAAGTGGCCGCCTGACAAAACGCAATGCGTAAAGGCCAATGCGTCGCGTGAGTCAAGCCACAAGGACACCCCAAACAAACAACTAGAGGTGTGATTTGGACCTGGAAAAGGAATCTGGTTTGTCTGTGTTTCCCTTCAAATCAACCTGAAACAGGTATCCTCAAAAACCACGCGCACACGGCTATGAATGTTAATAGGAAACCACCTCAAGAGTGCTTCCCCCAAAAGCCACTCGGTCCGGTCACACCAAAGCCATGCAAGGTCCCTAATTCCATGATGTTGTGGTTAATCTATATCCTGGGATAGGTCATGATTGTTTGTTTTTGCCAGGCAGGCCCCGAACTAACATGTGGGGAGCCCGCTCCAGTGTTTCTCGCGGTCGAAACTCGGCTGCCCTCAGATCCCCTGCCAAAATTAAATAAATATTATATATATATATATACTAAGGAACCGGATGGACGGGAGTCACACAGGAAATTGGCGAGCGCCGCTCGCGCGGCCTCGAAGATGGGGCTGCGGCCCTTGACCTTCTTGGCCCCGTCCGCCGTGAGGTGGGCCACATCTTCCCTGCGCTCGCCGTCGCGTCTCTCGCGCGTTTTGCTCGTCGTGCCGTCGGTGCGTTTCACGGATCCGTGGCCGGGGATCCGAATCATTCGGGGAGAATGGGCGCCTGGCTAGTTCGGTCTTTTGGGTTAAAGTGAAAGAAAACACCTCTTACAAGAACCCCTGAAACCTTGTTTGCCAGCATCCTTTCTCCTGGACAGCGCTGAATCAAAGCCGCGTTGTTGGTTCTGCCACGTGGTTCAAGCACTAATCAAGGGTTCCATGTTTCTGCGGGTGTTTTGTACCAGGGGCACGTGTTTTTGGATGGCACAACAAACATCTAAAAGAACCTAACCAGCTCAAGGGGACCAATTTCAGTTGACTTGGCGCGGCCCCCCCTCAAAACCTGTTTTAAGATGGCGCCAGGGCGCCAACACCCATACCCACACAGACACAAACACAAACACAAACACAAACACAAACACAAACACAAACACAAACACACAAACACAAACACACAAACACACAAACACAAACACACACAAAGACGCACAAACACACAAACACAAAAACGCACAAACACGCAAAAACACACACAACAAAACACGCCAACCAAGGCAAACAAAAACACGCAAAAACACACAACAACACGCCAAACAACACGCAAACACACGCAACAAAACACGCAAACACACGCAAAACAACACGCAAACACACGCAACAAAACACGCAAACACACGCAAACACACGCACACACACACACACAGATACACACACACACACACACACACACACACACACACACACACACACACACACACACACACACACACACACACACACACACACACACACACGCACACGCACACGCACACGCACACGCACACGCACACACGCACACACGCACACACGCACACACTCACACACTCACACACTCACACAGACACAGACACAGACACAGACACAGACACAGACACAGACACAGACACAGACACAGACACAGACACAGACACAGACACACACACACACACAACACTGACCCACACACACACACAACACAGACCCACCCACCCACCCACCCACCCACCCACCCACCCACCCACCCACCCACCCACCCACCCACCCACCCACCCACCCACCCACCCACCCACCCACGCACGCACGCACGCACGCACGCACGCACGCACGCACGCACCCACACACACCCACACACCATGCCCGCAAAGTGAGGGGGGGTGTCCAACAGACCTCATTTGAGCTATCGTCAAAATCAAAACTTCTTATGCGTGTCACCGTCTTGGATCTCCCAGTGCGAGACCTTACAATTGATCGTCGAAGCTTCCAATTGAGCGAACCATGACCAACCCAAATCCTTTGGCAAGGGCCGTTTACGTTCCAAAACGAAAGAAATTGGGCAGCTGGGCCAGATTCCTTTGTTCATCAACACCAAAAGGCCGGTGGAACCACACCAAATTACACCTTGGCTCGGGTGGCTTCACTTTCGCTTCCGCACATGTCAACCCTGGATTGAGGCAGAACCTTGAAATGGATAATTAGGGGGGCACCCGATGTTCGAGGCGATTCTTACACACACACATGAATCCCACCGGCAGACCCCCACACCAAACAACCCCCGCCCAAAAAAAGAAAGCAACCCAACGAAACTAAAGCGCTCCACTACCCCAGCTGTTGTCCCGTCAACCCAAAATATGTTGGATTCCCGTCCATATTCAGTGGACCTTGTGAAATCATTTCCCCCAAACCGTCCAATAGGGTTCCCAGCTTCCACCTTCAACCATGATCCTGGGGGACCCTTGCCACCAGGTGATGTTTGAAACCACGAGGCTGGGACATCTCGGGCTGTCATACCAAAGTCACCCCCTGGGGTTTCAGGAAAACGACTCCAGCTTTTCTGACTTGAAAAAAACCGTGTCAAACTCATCTGGGTCCCTTGGCAGACCTCGCTGGTTTCCCCCAAACTTCAACAAGCACGAGCCAAGAAAAAGTGATCCGAAACCAAGGAAACTTTTGGTTAGAAGCCCTCCATATGGGATCAATGACCGATGGCCAGCAGGCCCGGAAGGCGTTGCTGCGCAAAAATACACAAAAGAACTCTATATGCAAAAACGAATTCGCCCTGAGAACGAACCAGATGGGTGTTTCTTGAGAAAACGGGTAATTACCCCCCCCCCCCCGGATTTTTCGGGAGCCGAAGCCAAGGAGTCTGCACGAGAAACAAAACCGCTCGAGGGGCCTAATGAGCAGCTCCGCGTGTCCGAACTCCCGCTTGGTGCCGGCCTCCACCTGAAAGGAGCTGGTTCGATCCAGGGTCCCTTCTCGAGACTTGGAAGGACCAAAATCCCGAGGAAAGACCCATCCAACTGGTGGTTTCCTGCAACAAAAACACTGTTCCTTCTTACTTTAGGGTTTTTGGATTTTGTTTTGCTTTGTTTTTGGATTTTGTTCCGAGAAAAACCATCCACAAAAAACAAAAAACGTGCGGGGAGCTAAGGTTGGGCAATCAAATTTGGGACAAGAACTGACTGAGAGATGTGCCAGTTGGGAAACAACAGCCATCCACCTAGTAGTTTCCTTTATCCGGGAATCTCCAACAACGATCCCCGATTTGGGTTTTAAAGGAATACGGGAAAAAACGGTTCATTCCCAACGTCCCCGATTTGGCTTTCCTTTCAGGGAAGCCTTGTTTCGGTTCATTCCACCCGGAACGGTCATTCATTCCCTACTGAGCAGCGGCAAGACAAAGCCATGGCGTTGAGGGGAGGGGTTCAGCTGGTGAGCTGAATCGGTGGTTTGGGGCTTGAGTGATTTCCAACTTTAGTCAAATCCCAAGCCGTAGGTCCAAACCAAGCAACTTGTGGTGTCCAAAAGCCACCTCTTGAGACCAAAAAAACACATGTTGCAAGACACTTGAGTCACAATCAAAACCCGGCATTAAAATGGTCTACCAAGAATCATGTAAAGGATTTAGAAGGCGGCCGCAACTATTTCTGGTTGGGATTGTCCCTTACTAACCTTCATCTACCCGGGTTTTGATTGTGGCTCACTTAAAGATCTGATAGCATCTCTCATTCTCACATGAACGGCACGCCGACGGCAAAGCGTGGCGACTGCGAGGTTAAATCCGAGTGCCGAAATCTTTAGACTCAAAATCCAGGAGTAGTGAACGCATACCTTCCCACCAAGCAACAATAAAAGGAAATTTGCCTTCCAGGACCCCTCCCAACGTCAGGTTCCAAGTCAATTGGTGCGAGGGGAACAAATAAACTCTTTTCGAGGTCACCGTTTCAACCTCCCTATCCAAACCCGGGTCCAATGAGGGAGATCTAGACCCCAAAACTTGCTGGTGCGACAGGTAGGGAATGACCGCTTCAGGTCTCGGGAATGAACCGTTTGGGGATTCCCGAATAGAGGAAACCACTAGTTGGATGGTTTATGGGGGTCATTCCAATTCTCATTCCCTGCTGAGCACCAGCAAGTAAAGCCTGCAAGAGGACCTCCAGTAGAAAGGTTAGAACAAGGGTACCTTTTGTTTTCTGTAGTCAATTTTAGTAGGGGAACCCTGCCCCAAAAAGGGGAGAGAAAGGGCACCTAGCTGTGGGAACTAGCATGTACCCAAAACCAGCCCTGCCTTTCCGCCGAGGGTTTGGCACATCTCCTGACGGCTCGCCGCTCGAGTCTTGAGCGGAGCGCCAAAGCCCGGAGAGGTGTTTTGCCACCAAACACATGGCAAATCTCCTCACCATTGACACGTCAAATGCTTAGGAATACCGGCGAGTGCTGGGGGCAAAAGCTGATTCAAAGGTTCAGGGTTTCACCGGGCCTGAGGGGGACGGAAGGGGGGGAAGGGCCAAATAAGCCTGAAACAAGGCCTTAGCAAGGGCTTCAATTTGGGCCCCCTCCTTTTTTCCCCCCACCCCCATGAAAGCTTTACAATGCAAACAAATGACGGACCTGCTCCAAATGACGTTTTTGGCAGTCCTGCAGGCCGTAGCAAATGCCGAAGACCTGAGTCACGAACACAGTGCTGGCAGTGATCACTGGCCATCATTAGAATAGGGTTTTGGGCTGCTGTGAAACCAAGCTTCGCCATGATTCTAGGAGTAAACCAAAAGTAGTCATTGGTCCTTGGTAGGTAACCTAGAATTTTACCTCAAGGTATGATGGTTTCCCCTGGTTACCTATTACAGCGGCAACTGGAAGCGCTGGTGGATGTTGACCCGGAATCATTAAAGCAGATCCGTATTTCCAGGATATCTGAATGCATTTCAAAATGGCCATTCTAGGCTAAGAACCTGTTCGACAGCTTTGTCTAAAGAACATCCTTTTGTTTTCCCATACGGGACCCGGGTGGGTTGTGGAAGGTATCGGAATCTGGATCCTGAGCAGCTCACAGGCAGCTTCTTCTCGTTGATGTAGTCCCAGATCTGGCGGGCCCAAGCTCTCATGCCATGACAAGCCACTCAAAGTCAAGCAACCGGCTGCGTGGTCAATCCACAGGCAAGTGGCTGTCTCAACGTTGAAAGCGCAAAGGAATGCTCTCCTCAAACAACCCGAGTCTAACCCAAAAAGCGAGGCAGGTACTCAGGCCAGATACACCAACCCCCAACCTGACCCGACAACCCAAACCCAGCCATCCATCCAACAGTGGGCAGGTGAACAATCACCACCCCCCGGGCCCCAACCCACGCTCACCCATTCCCCCAGCCAGCCGTAAACCACCCCCAACCCGACCCAACCCAACGCCAAACCCCAGTCGGAGTTGCCTCCTTGCTAAGGTGAGGCGCATCCTTGTCATAGACCGAGTGAGGGCCGCCACCTTGCGACCAGCCGATGGAAGGCTCGAAGGGGCGAAAAGCCCCACGTCCCATCGCTTCTTTGTAGACACCACCCATTTTACCCCAGATTTGCTACCGAGCCTCTCTCCCGCTATGGCACCTCACAGAGGGTCCCTTCAAGAGGAATTTGATTTGCCAAACACGTGCTGTGTTAGTCGGAGGGAGGGTAGCTTTGTTAAAGATAAGGATCCCTGAAGAGAATGAGGAAGGTACTAGAGATATACCCTGGGCAACAACATCTTGGAGCAACCGTGGGCAAAGGGGTGATGATTGATATGATTTGATATGTCTTGGAAGCATTTTTGGGCTTAGCACACGGAACATTGGGAATTCTGAAATTGGGACCTATCTTGAGCTGACTCCCCAAACGGGGTGCCCATAGGTGAGCTGTTGACCCTAGGAACCCTGATGCACCAAATGGTGTTTGGTGGGTCAGGCAGCGACATGCTAAGAGTCAAACATAATAGGTCACCAAGAGCGTGCCTAGCTAGCTAGCTAGTTAACCAGTTATTAGTTAGATAGTTAGTTGGTTAGTTAGTTAGTTAGTTAGTCAGTTGGTGGGTTTGTTGGTTGGTTGGTTGGTTGGTTGGTTGGTTGGTTGGTTGGTTGGTTGGTTGGTTGGTTGGTTGGTTGGTTGGTTGGTTGGTTGGTTGGTTGGTTGGTTGGTTGGTTGGTTGGTTGGTTGGTTGGTTGGCTAGTTGGCTAGTTGGCTAGTTGGTTGGTGCGTTCGTTAGTTATTCACTTAGTGAGTTAGTCAGTCAAATTAGTTAGTTAGTTTGTTTGTGAGTGTTTGTTTGTTTAGACACAGCTGCTTAGATCAGTCCTGGCCATCATTTCCTCAATCATGGTGTGGCCATACCCCTTGCATCCCGTCGCATTGTCAAATTATTCTGTAGAGCCGAGCACAGCAACAATTGGCAAACCCGCGCTTGGATGGATACATCTGAATTCTGATCACGCTGCTCATCAACACGACACCCATGGCGGCATCCCCAGCAAACGCATGTTTCTTCGCCCCCCTCCCCCCACCAACCAAAAAAAAAACATGGCACCCCAACAAAAGCTTCCTCCCCCGCCGCCCCCACCCCCCCAAAAAAAAAGAAAAAAGAAAAAAAGAGGAAGGTGCTTTGTTGGGGTTCATGTTACGTTTCAAGAAGCAAGGCGCCTTTTTATTGCTCTCAACTGTAGGGTTCTCCTACCCTGCCAGACCCTTTTGGAGTTGCCGAATACAGGGAACCAGTGAAACTACCACGAGTTTAGGAGGTCCCCCATCTTGAAACACGGGCATTTACCCCTTCTGAGTTACCTTTCTGTGGGTTGCAACCACACAACAGGCAATCGCGGATCAACATGAAACTCAACTCGGCAAAAACCAAAAAAAACACTTTTCGAGCAAATCTCCTTGTTAGTTGCCCCCTTTGACGTCAGCACGTCCCCCTCCCCTGAGACCTTCCTGAGGCCCCCCGCTAAGGATAATCCCCTGAGGGTGGAAGGAAGTCACGTCCGAGAGTTGGAGCAGGCAGGACCTCAAGCTAAAGCGGTCGGGGCATCTGAGTCACAATAAAAACCGATCGGTATTAAAATGTTCTACCCAGAACCATGCTTCAAGAATTAAAGAAGGCGGATATCCGCAGCTATTCATGGTTGGGAGCATCCCTTACTAACCTTCATTTACCCCGGTTCTCATCTGATGATATTCATACACCTTGAAAGCGGGCCTTAAACAACTTCCTTGTCGGAGGGGATCAAGATTCCTGGCCCCATGTGGGAGTGGATCAAAAGGTCCGATGAACATGGGACCACCATTTGGGAACCCACCAAAAATATGATACTTCCTATGGAACAAGATATTCATGGTCGTTTTGAGGCCAGGAATATTGATCAACCGCGCTCCATAAGAGTTGAGGTGCAAACGGATTCAGTCAGGCTCCGGAAGCCAAACCGGTCTGGGCAAAACAGAGACGCCTCGAACAAAAAAGCCGACACCGAGCCAACTGTGAGTTTGGTTGCGACTTGGTCGCGGTTGACCCCTCTGTAAAAAAGTATGACTTTTTTGTGGGTCCAACGAACAATCCACTGTTTCAACCACAAGTAAAGGGGCCTACAACAATTCCTTTCGGCTTCCGTTTTAATGGCAGAGGCCAGTTGCTAAGACGTTGCGTCCAAAGGTAGGGGTGAAAGCAGCTGACACAACTTCTTGTAGCGCAAGCAAAGCAGATTGCCCAGCAAAACCGGGGTGTGCATGTAGGCCAATGCTCACCCAACTGCTATTCCAGGCCCAGAAAGGATCCATCGGATCCAAACAACGAAATCACTGCGCCTGCAGCCAGCGAGCAATTTGGGCTTGCCGCACTTTTGGGGCCATGGCTTTCGGTTGAAATGTGTCCATCCGCTGGCTGCCGGCGCCAGCTGCAGCCAGCGCGCTTTGGCGCGTGGGTTGATTAAACGCGCCAATCCGAAGCCATGAGCTAGTTTTGCCGTAGTTGAACGCAAGTTGCGAGAAGCAAGGTGAGCAGGGCGAGTTCTGTGCAATCGCACAGGTTGTGTTGTTTGCTGCTGTGTCGAGTGGGAAGTTGTCAAACTTGAAGGCAGCAACCGGTGAACCAACAAAAACAAGCAACCTGGCACCACGCCACAGTGAGTACTGGTTGCCCAACTCTTAAATTAGGGGTGGATGACACAAATCCAGAAGATTAGTATGACGCAGCAACGTATGGGAATTCACTGCTGAAAACAGCTGGGCAGCAACACAATGGAACATTGAAAAGCACGGCTAGCTACTGAGGCTGGCAAGGAAGGGCTGACATGGTTGACTTCCAAAAACCAAATCCATGTTGGGAAACTCCCATCTGGTCTCTCGGTTGCCTGCTGAGACCTCAACCCGCGTTTCCGTGCGCCGTCAAAAATGTGATGCGCAACCCAAGGGTTTCAGTCCTCGAGTCCTCTGGTTCCGGAAGCCAAGCCAAAATCAAGTGCAGATGGATCTGGGCAAGCAAAAGGCGGCAAACAAGTGGCAAAACAAGTCCAACCGTGAAATATTGTTCCAACGTGGCCTGGTTGCCGCAACGATACCCTCTGCCAAAAGTTGATGTTTTTTTCACTTTTTGCGGGTCCAAGTCGGAAAACCGACGTAAGAACACAGCTCCATCGCCCGAAAGCCACGCGGTGCCTTGGCTGGGCGCCCGCGCCTCAACTCGCAGTAGACCCCGGCTTCACGCACGCGGCGGCAGATCAGGTGGCTCACCTCGTCGGCGCGGTGAAGATGAACCAATCAACTCACTGCAGGCATTGGCCACCAGAAAAGGGGGGCATGGCATTTGTTCCCCTTTTTTTCTGCTTTTTCTGACCTGTCCAAGGTCTTTTTGTTGACCTGGTTGCAGCTGGAAGTCGTTTTTTGACCTGGTCCAAGGTTTGTCCAAACCCATTTGCCACTAAAATAGTCTCCTCCAAAAGTTTCAAGTCGAGCAAGCCGGGAAGTGGGTACAAGAGAGGTACTAGTTCCCTGCAGACGCACAATACCATGCAAAGTTCACAGGACGGATATTTCCCTGCACGTGCGCGTTTGTTGGGTTCCACGAGAATCTGCCAACAAGGACGCATGCACACAATTTTGTACGATGCTGCTTATATATCCGCTGTTTCTCGGATGAAACCAAGCCTGGCGAGAGCGAGCTCCTCCATGGTGAAAGCGCCAAGCAGCACAATGGTATCTAAGCTTCGTGTTTCTGGTGTGTGCCAGCTATCATGGACCCCCAGGGGGGGCTATGGGGAGGGGGGGCTATGCCTTATTTACCCCTGAATGAAGCCATATTGAGGGCATAGCCATTGCTCATCCTGTATCCAGGGATAGCCCCCCCAGAGCTCCCCCTAGGAGTCCATGAAACTAGAAGTCCACAAGCGCCGAGTACTGAGCCCTCCAACCGATAGTCGTGCAATAACGCCAAACCCCAAAAAGCTGCAACGCACGGCACAAAGTCTCGGCCTTCTGTTTGCCATGGACACAACAGACGGCTTTGGACTGCCTTGAAAGGTCACCCAAAAAAGGAGAAATCGGCACCAGACAGCTCGATGCCCGAGGCACTTCCCCCAAAGTACAAAGTCACCTCATGTTTTTTGATCGGATTCGTCAGAAGAAGTCCGTTGCTTGTTTGCTACTTAAATTGTACAAGTTTCTCAAGTCCAACCAGTCCAGCTGGGGAAGTGAGCCGGGCCGCAACTCCAACCGCGCCTGCGAGCCGAAGTCGATGACCAGAACCCTGTCCTGCAAGACCAGCTCGCAGCTCGTGCGGCATGTCATGTTTTCAGGATATGTTTTGGAGGATTGCGGAAAATGAACTCTAAGCCGGGTCCCACATTGGGGGGTTCACATCCAGAGAGACAAGCCAATGTGTTTTGTTCACCATGACTCACCGCAACATCAACTTCACATGTGCTGTCCGCATGCGCTGAACTCAAGAGGGTGACTTCCACAATGGTGGGCCTACTACTCTCTTGCACATTGTGGAACCCAAAACAGGGAGTCCCCAGCAAGATGCCTCCGGACCTCGATTTGTTGAGGAGGACTCCACGTAAAATCGGGGGAGCAGCCCTGGACTTCCAGCCCTCACCTGGGACTGCATCGCTGGGCAACACCGCAGGGCTTCCCATTCTAAGTATGACACCTCCAATGGTGAAAATTCGGCCAAACAGGTAGTGTGATAAGCCGCCCAAAGGCAGAACATGTCAAACATATAGGGAACCAACTGGTATTCTCCTAAACCGCTCCGGATAATCACAACAGACTTGTTTGAAGCAATGAGACGTGAGCAAAAAACCATGCTCCGCTCGGCCTGCTTCTCCATGCCAGCCATCATGTCAACACCTGCTTTGACCTGAGCACACGGCTACCAAATCGCTCCCCGGTCCCTTTGCCACAATCACCACCAGACCAGGCAATTCTCCTGCCTTAGAATTCCCGCACATGTCCATCCATTTGTTTAAGTTCCCTCAAAAAAAACTGTAGAAAGCCTTTGGTTTCCTTCCAGAGAATCCCTTGAGTCATTCCCTATCGCACCAACCATCTCCTGGACCAAGTTCACATTGAGAGGCTCAGTCAACGTGTCTAGCCCACTGTGCATCGTAGTGAAGTTCTCGGCTTGATCCTTTCGATCCTTTTGGGGTTGTTGTACAGGCCAACCAAAGGAAACCTTCTTGAGCTTAGCCACTACCATATTGCATGTGAAGCCATAAAGAGGCATATAGGAGCGTCATAGTTCCTATAGTGCTTGATGGCCAATAAAAATCAAGCAACGTCATTCAAGATCATTCGTCTGCGTCATTCGTCACTTAAAGGAAAACGACTGTACCACTCCCCCATTCGTGCCATCACGCTTGGCCCTTGGGCAAAACAGGCTGTCTTGGCTCCAGTCTTGGCTCTGGCTGTAGCTCCAAGTTCTCACATTGCCATGGAACACCGGAGTCTGGTAGACTATGTCCCTCTCACAAGGACCTTCTGGCGGGTTCCAAGATAGTGGAAGGGAGGGTACAGCATTTGAGTTGGATGTCTTTTCTTGGTGGTTGGTCTTCAAATAGAAACAGCTACAAAACCAACTGATTTGCGGGAACCAATCCCTATTCTAGAAACACCCATATTTCTAGAGGGGTACCTTCCATTTCCATTCTTTCCAGGGATCCTTCTTTCCAGAAAACCACCTCCAGAAACCCAGGGAAAACGGCAGGTTATTGAAAAGAACGATGAACATAATGGAAAAGGAATACACTCCTGGACAATTTTGAACCCATTTCTTTCGAGGTTCCCCGGACGCACGGGGAACGTGTATCTCAAGCCCAGCCCAGCTGCGTGTTTTTTTTTTTTTTTTCTGAGCGGGCCGACGCCGTTGGAGGCCATGCTGCAAGCCTCAGGCTGCCGGGGGGGAGGAATGTGGGGGATGTGGGGGGGGAGGTGGTGTGGGGGGAGGGCGGGGACCGTCCCAACCAAAAAAGGGGAGAGAAGGGCACCTAGCTGGGGACCTAGTCTAGGAGGTAACTAATCTGACTCACACCTTTTGGCTTCCTATTGGGGTAACTGTAATGAATTACATGGTGAACCAGCACAAAGCAAGCAGCGAAACAACACCAACACAACCATTTTTGTCCCGCCGCTTACCTGCCCCAAAACGGACCCGGCAAGGGCTCACCAAAATTGGCTATTTAGCACCCACGCTTTTTGAGGTACCCTGTTATTGTGGAACCTAGAGGAGAGTTCTCAGGTGGCCCTTTATAGGAGGGCAAATGCACCGGGCTCCAAAAAGGGGCCACATATTTGACAAGGGGAAGAAATGTTGTTTTAAGCGGCGACTAGCAAGTTATTATGTCAACTGGTTGTGAAGGGTATACGAACTGATCGCATCTGAGATCTAAATGGATGTACAGCCAAGAGAAATGCTCTTCGCGATAACCCACCAATGCTGGTGATGTCGTTCTTTCCAGACCCTCGCCGCACACATGGGGAATGCAAAAACTCTCAACCCTGAAATGATCTCACCTCGAATGTGATGCCAATGAAGGAAACCATCACATCACGATTTCAGGAAACCAGCAAATCATTGCTTCAGTTGACGCAGCGTAACCTGAGTTCAGCACGTCGATGCGACGGTGGCTACAGGTCAATGCTACTTTGCTGATAGGCGGGCGGCGTGCGGGCAGATTAGGCGGAGATAGTATGTGCCAGAACTAGTTGAACTAATTGTTGTTTCATGTTGATAGAACACCAACATGACGCCAGCCGTTCGGAGACTCGTTTTGACACCGTCTCAAGTGAAGCTGCGAAGAATGCAGCTCTTGCTACTCAGTAGGGCCATCATAGAGCCTGGTGTTTTGAATCCAGCAACAAGTCTGATAGGCCAGGAGACTGTGTAAATCTGAAAACAATGTGGCTCACTCCATTCCTCCAAGGACTTGTTTACAGGACTGTCTTCGTAAAGATGACTCCAAACACATGGATCGTATACACTGTGCGCATCCCCGTGATTCACACAGCTTCAAGTAGTCATAAGCTTGAGTATAAGCCCCCTGCACAAAGCAATCAACGATCATCCGTGCCAGGAAATCGCATGTCGACAGGACCTCATAGGAATATCAAGAGTCTCTCGATCAAAATTCCCAAGATGCGCTTTCGAACAACCTGAACACTTTCCAGTTAGAACGGTCGAGCACTCGTCTACAGGCTCCACAGGACGGGTGTCGATGGCTCCCACGTGTCTTCAGGTGTCACTGACTTTCTTGTCGACAATTGGTACTATACCATATTTGTACTACGTAATGAATTCCAATAAAACTGCCAATTTTGGAGGCCGAACAAAGGGAAATTGAGGGAATCCAGGTCACTTTTCGGGACTTGGAATCATAATACGCAAGCACGAGTGCATTGCATCCGACTTCCACCACGTCAATCCAACAGGGATCCCTATGAAACCTTCATGTGTGCCAAGGTCACACTTTCCGAATAGCAGTTGCCGCATGCCAAGATTGAAGCAACCAATCGGATGGGTTTCGACTTCTGCGGCGGTTCGCCGTGCTGGTCTCACTTTCCCAACGGTCACATTGCCAAAAAGTTTGTAAACCAAGATTGAAGCACCCATCGGAATCCAATGAAATCCGAAACTGAACTTGCTGGTTCTCAGTAGGAAATCAACAGGTTTGGGAATGAACCTAGGGATTCCCTTAAGCCTGAAAGGAAAAAACACAAGTGATTGCTTCTCGGAGTCATTCCCTTCCCTGCATTTCACACCAGTTGTGGTTTTGAGGGTACCTGTGTTTGGGGGGGTCGAAAGGGAAACTTGTTTACTGCCAGAGGTTGTTTGCAAAATGAGTAGCACCCAGAGCCCTGGCCACTTTAAAGGGAGACCAAGAATAATTAGCTTGTTTAAACCTCGGTGGTTTAAGCAGCACACACGCAGAGGCTCCGAGGCTCAGAGGGGTCAGGGGCAACCGAAGCCATGGGCAGTGCCTCCAAATAGTCCGTGATGTTCTCCGTGTCGTAGGCCAAGCGAAAGGCTCCCGGGTCCACCTGCCGATCCGATGGCCGGCCGATCGCAGCCGCGATCGGAGCGGGCCCCTCATGGAACGCCGGTTTTTTTGGTCCACTTCCGTGGAAAAAGAAACGTGGCATGGGGCAGCTGCTTGGGGTATTTTTGTGCATAAAACAACGGGACCCCTGAGGGGGTGAGGGCGCAGAAATTGAAGCAGCCACTTCCCAAGCTGTTGCTTGAAGGCATCGCCTTGAGACGGTCAAATGCATCAGGCAGTCTCACAGGGTGAGGGCCAGCTGTCGAGCCCAGGACTCTTGTGACCCAGCATATACCTAGAGTCTCCATGACCCTTAAAAACAATGAGGCCATTACCCTAAATAATGGGGTCATGAACCAATTTAAAAAGGTCATGGAGACTCCAGGTAGTGCCAACAACAAGAAGAAACCATACAAAGAGTCGTGCGGGCCGATACATCAACCCTAAATCAAGCATTGAAGCGAGCGTGTCTCTAAATTGGCCCAGCACAGCAACAAAAAGGAATCCCCATGTTCACGACCTCTGGGCCAGTCCCTCCACGCTCTATGTCAATTGCAAGCCCCAACGTTCGATGCTTGGCATCGAGCTCTGACCTTCGAATGCCCTGTCTCCAACACAGAATGCAAAGCACACTGCCCTGAGTTCAAGCCAACAGGCGCAAAGAAGCATGAAAACCCGTAGATTCTCGCCTGAGACATCCAGTGAGACAGGCCACCTCTTGTTCGGAAAACATGAAATCACTGGACATGTGGCAACAAACCAAACTTGGGACAAGCATCTAAAGCAGGTGAAACGTAGGAGATTTAACAAGCTAGGGAGTGCTCTCACCTTCAACCGCGCCGGAGCGCTGACGTTCGTTTCTTCTTTTCCTGTCGCAGTCCAGCACCGAGTGCCTGCGCGAAAGCGCATGCGCGGCGGATGCTCCATACCATTCCGCATAACTTGGTTGACGTTGGAAGGGGAGCAGAAGTTGTCATTTTAAGCAGTTAAGTGGGGATTTCAACCACCAAACCACAATAAGCACAAATCTAACATGTTTCCCAACAACAACCATGATAACTTGCCGCTGTCCGAGGGATTTTGTTTGCGAAAAAATGGAGGGGGAGGAACTTGACCCAAAAGTCATCTAGCTTTTTTTTGGCAGGGGCAATGGAGCTCAGATACCCCCGTGTAGTTTAGACTTATTCGTGCAAGCCACAAACTAAAATGAGTGGAGCCAAACAACTAAAGGACTGACACAATAAGCCAGAAACAAGGAATCGAGGGACAATGTCAGCGTACAGTGGATGAACACAAATCCTGCACAAGCTTGCATGGATGAAACCCCACGCAAACTGGGATCAACCGCCCACCAACTGTTGCAGGATTTCGTCCAGCCCCAGGATGCATTATATATATATATATATCCCCTGATACCATCTATTCTTCAAGCATTCTCCGTTGCGTCCCTCGAAACAAATTGGCCAGGGTGTGGTTGACTCAACACAGGGTTGTCCTCAGATCCCCCCGCTAAAAACAACTTTTAGTGGGTGAAATGGAAATCCAACCACCAAACCAACTAAAAAGCTGAAAGGCTAAGCAACCGAATGGCTGGGAGCCACCAAGAACACATGGTTGTGGGAAATGCCCGCTTCTGCGATACAACCAAGAAAGCTTCCCAAAGACTAAGCCCCAATTCCAGAGATCGATTCCTCAAAGTGGTTGGATAAACCCCGAGTGATCAACCACAACCCTGGGCCGTGTGGGTTGACTCAACACACTCCTCCGAGTGACTCGCCTGCTGCTCCGCAAAGGTGAGATGCCGCAGCCGCTTTGTGCTGCTCAGCGCCTGCCGCTTCTGGCGCTCCCGTTTCTGCGCCAAGGCCGTGCTGCGGTGCGCCAAACTCTGCACGCGCCGACTCCGCAGGTCCTCGCCGAGACTTGATGCTTCAAAAAACCTGGGACTTGGCATATAGGTCTGAAGTCTTGGGTCATAGGTTGGTGGGTCATAGGTTGGTGGGTCATAGGTGGGTCATAGGTCATGGTCTTAGGTCATCAGGCTGGTGGGTTATAGGTCTTAGGTCCGGAACGGTGTCTGGTGACAAGCTTCTCTTTCACGAAAGTGTGCTTGCTTTTTTTGCGGGGTTCGGTAGAAGTGTGCCATCTACTTTTTCCCTGGTGTAGCTGGCAGCCAAGGCGAGCAGTGGCCTCTACTGGACTACACTATATATAATTATATGTGTATGTATGTGTGCTTGACATATTCTGGGCTTTGCTACAGCCAGGCCACGTGGCTGCCGATTTCTGGAATGGCCTCTGGGCTTTGGTCCAGTCCGGAAATTTGATCTGTCCCCCGATTTGGTGGCGTCAAACGAAGCCAAAAGAGTGATCGACCATACTACCAGAAACCGACAGGGGCCAAGCCCTGTAGGTTACGCTTTGGGTTTCCTTGGAACCACCCAAAAGGAAATTACTGCTGAAACAGAAAGGGGGCGGAGGGTGCGATATGTTTTCACCCCACTTGAAATATACCTTGCGCTGATGGCAATCCCCAGGACCTTATCACTGGACTTAGTTGGTCACAGAAACCCAACACCCGAAAACAGGGATCCGGATGCATTATACACCGATCGAACATTGCAACTTGTAAATGGTGGGAAACCCCTTTATTTTGGTGGGAAAAGCCACATGCTTCAAAGGGTGGCAACAATGGAGATCTTTTAAGGAGCCCTGCGAAAACAACAACAAACAAAACCCAAAACCTGCAAGCAGAGGCCTCGGAAATCGGGGTTTCCGACACCTCAAAAGCCAAAGAGTTCCGAATGAAATTCCCATTGATATCACCCCAAAAGGAAACTCGCCGTTTGAAGTGGACTGAAAGGCGATGTGTCTAGCCAAAGGGTGGACATATGGGTGTGTTGTTTGCTGTTTGAGGGCCTCAAACTGGTTTCCATTCGGTTCCCTTCAGTTCCCTTAGATTGGGCACCGAACGTTAAGGATCCCGGCGAAAACTCTGAAAATTGCCAACCACACCAAGCTTCAAACATTTCAACATGAATTCCCCTTGGGGGTTTGAGCCATGACACTTAGACAATATATTTTTTTGCAACCTCCTTCTTCAGCTTTTTTTTTGGGAGGGGTTGCTGCATAGACCCGAAGTGTCCATGGCAAGGACCCGGGCATAGGCCCTCCCCCAGCAAACAAGGGGAGCAACAATTTAGACATTTGAGAAGTGGATTTGGATTTCAACCATTAAACCACAATAAGCAAAAATACAAACTATGGTAAAATGGTTCCCAACAACAACCATGTTGTAAGAGGAGGGATATAAGAACCTTAGGCTGGAACAACCAAGTCCTTGTAGAAATCGATTCTACCAAGGTTCTGCGAAACCTTTCTTTGCTTCACCCTCCGAACCTTTAAAACAAGTATTCCAAAAAAAGAGAGCCCAATCATTTTGGGGTGAACATCACGTTGTGACCCACCAACCAACAAACCCCCTTCTTTTAGGATACTTTTTGTGTGTGTTTGTTTGGGGGGGATTCCTGGCTGCATAAGACCCCAAGTGCCCCATGGCACTGACGCTCCCACAGCAACCGTGAAGATGACGTTTTGACCTTTTGTAGGGTTGAGAACCTAGTAGCCTTCCCCTCAACCCCCCCCCCCGCACTCCCCCACCAGCCCCGCACCCCCCCACCTCCGCGCGCATGGCTTTCAGCTCCCGCTCGACTTGCCAGCGCCGCCTGCGGAGCCAGCGGCTCAGCCGCCGCTCCGCCACCTGCGCGGCCACCTGAAACGAGCGCCGGGGGGTTGGCGGTGGTTTCTTGAGGGTACCTCGCCTTTGTGGTTGGTGGGAAAAAAAGGAACATCAAAATAAAACCACCAATGTTGGGGGTGTACCCTCAAAACGGTGGTTGTAGGGAAAACCCGCCAATTTGGGGGGTGTACCTTCAAAACAGACACTCGTGTTCAAAGGAACACCCAAGGAAAACCCTCCAAGTCAAGTTTGAGGTGTACCCTCAAAGCAGACACATCCGAATGTTCTCAAAACAGTTGGTGGGAAAAAAGGAACAGCAAGGAACACCCACCAAGTTGTTTGAGGCATACCCTCAAAAAAGGCACATCCAAATGAGTGGTTCTAAAAATAGGAAGGTGACCTGAAATGGTGGGCTTCCTGTTGGATTCCCTTTAAATACCAACCAGAAGGGGTCCGAAATCCACTTTTAGAAAAAAACCCAGTGAGCGTATCTCTTGGTCCCGTCCAACATGGCAACGGGCTCTTCCCTGAGCAGGGCTGTTGCACGAGTAGGTCTGACTCGTGCAGGTTTAGTATCCTAAGGCACTCAAGGGCCAGGTAATGGGGGGGTGTCTGTGAGTGTGCGTGGGCGTGGGTGTGCGCGTGCCTGTGCGCGGGCGTGTGTATCTGTGTGTGTGTGTGTCTCTGTGTCTCGGTGTCCCTGTGTCTCTGTCTCTCTGTGTCTGTCTGTCTGTGTCTGTGTCTGTGTCTCTGTCTGTCTGTTTTCAGGGTCCGTTGTTTTTTGGTTGTCAAGCAAAACCATCACCAAAAGACACGATTTTTGAAAGACCCCTGGTCCCCTTCCTAAGACACACCCGGGTACCCTCACAAAGCTGGTGCTGAGAGCAAGGTGAGCACATACGAACATGCGAACGATACGGGGCCGAATTGGGCTTCTCAAAACAGCAGAAATTTGTCAATCGCTAGTTTCTGCAGGGGACAGGGCGCAAATTTGTATGGGGGCATGTAAGGACTCCTGCAAAAAGCACAACTCTAGGGGTAGCTTCCCCATTCTTTTCAGGGATCCTTCTTTCTAGAAAACCACCAAAAAACCTGGGGAAATTGCTGGTTTTTGAAAAGAACGATGGCTGAAACGAATGGGGCATCAAGCACTAGAAAGGTGATCACCTTTAAGCCATGACTAAAAATCGTCCATGGGGAAACCAAAAGGTTCAAGGGTCGATTCGCGTTGTTTTTAAGTAAAAAGAATGGAAAAGGAATCAACCCCCAGAACAACGCCTGCCAGAGATTCGTCAGCGAGCTCTGGCGCCGCTGCTGGCGCCGCTGGCGCCGCTGCCGCGTCTGCTCGGCCAGGCGCAGCCGTCGCTCCTGGGAGCAGCGGCACGGCGGGAATGGACGTGTACCCAGTCCTTGTCTTGGTTGACGTTGGAAGGGTTTAGGTCTAAGCCCCACTTGGGCCCGGGTGCTGGTAGAGGCCCTCCATTTGTAGTGTCCCCGGGACAAAATGAGAAAATATGTCCAGTAGTGATAGATTCATTTCTTGGTTGACGTTGGAAGCGGAGCAACAATTTAGACATTTGAGAAGTGGATTTGGATTTCAACCACTAAAACACAATAAACAACAATGTAAAATATGGTAAAATGTTTCCCAAAGACAACCGTGGTGTAGGAGGGATACAAGAACCTTAAGTTGGACCAACCAAGTCCTTGCAGAAATCGGTTGCTTTTCCCGAACCTTTCAAACAAGTATTCCAAAAAAAGAGAGCCCAATCATTTTGGGGTGAACATCACGTGACCTTTTGGGTTGAGAACCTGACAACTTCTCGTGAAACCAATGGACGGCTTGACTCACCGTCTTTCGGAGGGGCAAGGAACTCGGAGATTCGGAAGGGCTAGCGCCTTTGGCCTGTGCCAAGAGCTCAGGCGATTGTGGCTCAAAATTCAACGGGAGGGGCAAACCGCAGGTTTTGGTCCATGCTTCCACTTAACAGCTGTTAGGGTTCCATTTTGATACCGGTTTTTTGAGCCACAGCCAGGTGGATAAAGCCTCTGTGCGTGGAAAGGGGCGCTGCGTGGGCACTTGTAAGCCCTAAGTCACAGGAAAGTGCTCCTGCACCTGTTGCCCCCCTTTTGCCCACCCCCCGTTTGGGCCCCCCCACCGCACCCCCAAGAAAACAGAGCGGCTGACGTCCACCATCCTTGATCCTGGCACCCTACAGGACACTAAAGGAATATTCATCGTGGACCGACTCGAAACCAGGGACCCCGGCATGCAAGGAGTCTACCCCAAACCCAAGGTGAAGTAAGGCAAGTGTGTCTCTGATCCCTTGCCAAAAGCTCAACTCCAGAAGCTCTGGGTCTGTCCTTTCGTGAGGGCACCTCTTTCTTTTGAGTGGTCTTAAAGGGAAACACCAAAAAGAAAACCGGTGGGTCTCCAAAAAAATATAGGTCTTTTGAGGGTACCCTTTTTGGATTGGTGTTAAAAAGGAAATCCCATCTGCCACTTCAGTGAGTCTCCTAAAAAACCTAAACCTGGGCTGTCCTCAGATCCTCTGCTAAAAGTTTAGCTAGTGGGTTAAATGGAAACCCCCACTAAACCCACAAAGTCTGAAAAGGTAGGGAACCGGATGGCTGGGCTTGCCACCAAGTAAACAAAGACCCATCCATCTCATGAGCAATCCCCCTGCCCCAAGGGGAAGGGGGATGGGTGGTCCCCAATTTCATTTATCTAGTCTTCATAAAAGGGAACATGGAACCACACATGGAATTCCAGGGGTCACCCCCCTCCCCCTTCCATTTTTGAGGGCTTGATCCCAGAAGCGCCCGCTCCTTGATCCCCACCTTGCGCTGCTCTTGCGCCTTGCGTCTGGCCCGCACCTCCTCCAGCAGCCGCCGCGTGAACCGCTCCGCCTAAGCCGAAGTTTCCCGTGGATCGGAGATCTCAGGACCGGGGGGGGGGGGGGCTTGATTGGAAAAGGCCGGGGGGCTCCACGCACTGCTTGGGGCTTGGGAGGTTTCAGGCCTAGATGCCTAGATGCCTAGATGCCTAGATGCCCAAGGCATTGATGGCTTGCATTGGTATTTCCAGGGTGGTTTCCAATTTATTTCTCCGACCTGGTGAATCCAAGCCATTCAAGCGCCTGAAACGTGACTGGAAATCCGAAATTGGGCGCGTTCCTCTCCATTTCCCTTTAGACCAAGCCCCCGAACATCGGGTCCCATTCCCCCCAAGAAAAAAAAGCCACCCACCAGAACCCGGCCTTCTCCAGGCATTGCTGGCGCTGCTTGTAGACATTCTCCCTCTGAGCTGTGAGCACTCGCAGAAGCTCATCCTCTGACTCACCAACACTCACTGACCCCTTGTTAGTGGTTGGAGCTGGGGTTCGAGCCACAAAAAACATCAGGCGAACAGCTCGCCCGTCTCACGGGTTTCAGCGCATGCTTCGTTTTTGGTGGTTTGAGCTGGATGGTTCAAGACCTAACAAAAGCACACTAATCCAAACCATCTTCTTCAGGGGTACCTGAATCCATGTACCATTTTAAAATATCTGACCCATTTCGAGGGTTTGTTGGTGATAAATGCTGCAACATGTACAAACGTCCCCGGAAACCGCGGCAAACAAAGCCAGCTTACAAACTTTTGCACACGGCGTTTGGCTTTGCTCTTTCTAGCCAAAAAATTGGTGGATTCCCTTCAGGGACCCCCAACCCCAAAAAAGGCAGCACAAAAAAACAACAAACCCACCAAAGAAGAAAGAACCGCGGAAACTTCGAACTTCCGTAAGAGCCAAAAACAACCAGCAAAAGCAGGAAAAAAAACAGCACCGCGGAACTCCAAAACCAACATAAAGAAGACAGAGCCGCGAAAACCGGACCTTCCGCCGGGGTTTTCTTTTGCCTAGGTCCTCCAGTAGAGAGGTTAGAATAAGGGTACCAACTTTTTCTGTAGAACATATTTCAGTAGGGGGGTTCCCTCCCAACCAAAAAAGAAACGGTAGAGAAGGGCACCAATTGCTGGGGGACCGAGTTGTGCGCCGAAAATCGGTGAAGTGCTGGTCCCCCGCTTGCCGCGCGCTCAGCAGGCGCTTCCGGTCTTCTAAGGCCTCCAGCAGGCAGCAGGTGCTGGGGGAGCTGATCTTGGCACCCAAGGCCCTGCCGATTGGCGTTTCAGTCGACGCGAGAGGCTAGGGGTAGTGGACTCACTTCCTGAGTGGATGGGCGAAAAATCAGCCATGTGTTTGGGTATACCTCAATGTGTTCCTTTGTCTTTAATTGAAGGTACAAGAGTAAAAATATACAATATATATATATATATGTCAATTTGGAAATTTGCGAATTGAGCTAGGGGGACTTACTTCTTGAGTTGGTGTTGCAAAAAAAAGCTACATTTTTCTTGGTATGCCAAACAAAAAGGTCTTGCCAAAGAGTTTAAAGTGCAGGAACTCTGGAAGTGAGGGTTCCCCATTCTGAGTAGGGGGAGCTTCTCTATCTTGCTCGTGCAGGTAGGGAATAAACCACCAATTGGATGTTTCCTTTGAGTCAGTCCAATTCTCATTCCCTGCTGAGCACGAGAGCACCAGCAAGAAATTCTTTCCAGGGATCCTTCTCAGGAAACCCTCGGAAGCCCACAACAAACCACCGGCTTGTGCCAAGCACGTGGCAAGGAACGGGACATCAAGAAGGAGACGCGTGTTTGCTTGGGGTCCCAAGGGAAAGAGCAAAGACAAATGTGAAATTTGCAAGTTGCTTCGCTTGAGGACGCAGTTTCGTCAAATCAGGATGCCCTAAATGGTTGGCTTTTTGGCTTTCCTGGAAATACCCAAAGAACGTCTACCATTTTGAGTCACACCCATGTGTCGGAATGCAGGTTTGAGGATACCCTTTTGGAGTAAGGGGAAACCAAACGGAAACGTCTCTTTAGTGGAGAGGCAAACGTCCATGTTTCTTATGGTTCTCAAACCGCGGCTCCTCGGTTACCTACTATGCGTGGAGATTGAATCACGGGGGTCTACGTAGAGGTTGTGGGGTGGATGCCCCAAATATTCCAATGGGAACAAGGAAAGCCGGTAATTCACTAGTTTACTTTGGGCATCCACCCTGCCCAGGTGAAAACATGCAACATACACATACATTGACATAGGTCCCCTTGTGATACCAAAGACGGGAGTTTGTACTTCGTATCACTTGAAAGGGGTTTTGCCTTGTATCAACCAGATGCTAGAGGATTCGACCCTTGCTCCCTCATAAAACTGCTACCACCCCACCCCCAAACACACCACCTCCCAGTTTTGGTCTATTTGGATTATCAACAGTGTGTGTTGGGGGGTTTCAAGCCCCCCTCACCTCACACTGCTCACGTCTAGTGTCAACCCCGCATTTGTGTGCAACCCTTGGTGGATTGATGGAGGGTGTATCCCCAGCATCCCCCAATTAACATGTTTGGACTCTGGCTGATATTTAGCTAACCTCGAAATATGTTCTCAAGAGATCCCAAGAGCCTCTGTGTCAGGTTGCACAAAGTGTGGCAGCCCCGTTTCTTGCAAGAGCAAACTTCCCGCCTCATGTCCACATAGAAAGAGACGTTCATGTCCCTGAGCTCCGGTGAGCGCGCTTCGCAAGCAGCACGACAGGCCTCGTGGAAGTTGGAAAAATCGGAGCTCGGCTGCTCCTCCATCATGCTCTCAACCTGGACAAACAGGGCTCAACCACTTGCGCTGCGCCCCCCACCCCCCATATACTGGGTGCTAAGTAGGGATGTTCTGAACAAAACACAATATCCATGTTTGATGTCCTTTCAGGGACTTAGCATATATGTATATGTATATATTACACAAAGCCTATTCTATGCACATGCATAAATACAGCAAGTGACAGCAAGCACTTGAACTCTTGGAGAGTCAAGGGATAATCTCACGCACTAACAGTGTAATGTTGCACCCCTTTCCACTAAGCGCCCAAATATTGAGCTACCCACAAGTTTATGTTCATGCTGAAACGACCATTGCTTGACCAACCTTCTGTTGCTTCCCCTCTAAACGGTGGGGAGGGGGTGGGAGGGAGGGGGAGGGGGGGATGGGGGGAGGGGGGAGGGGGAGGGTGGGAGGGGGGGAGGGGGGAAAATTTGTCGGGGTGGGGGAGGAGGAGAGGAGGGGGGGGCCTGGCCGGGGGGGGCGGGTGGGGGGGGGGCCAACTCCGACCCACCCAACTTCAACTCACTCACTCCTTTGCCTCGTTGCGGATCTGCATCAGAGTAATGTGATAGTCCACGGCGGTCTGGACATCGGGGCAATACTTCGATCCTCGGAATGGCAAAAACGGAGCGGGTCAAAATTAACGCACCAGGGGACCGCAGAATTTAGTCCTTGGTTCCATTTACCAGGGCCACCCATTTTGGGTACCCATTTTTGACCCACAGCCATGCGAGCAGTGCCGAAAATAGGGTTCATAAAACCCTCTAACAAACCACTTTCGCGGAGAGGCCCTCAGTTAACTCCTTTCATAAGGGGTATTGGCGCTGCTCATGAAACATGGTGGAACCAGCAATTCATGATCAGAAGTGACCCCTTTCCCAGGTTCCGCAGAAAACCACCTAGGTCCAAACGATGAACACATCTCTGGCAAAGCCAACAAGAACACCGTGGGAAACCCTGAAACTGGAATAGTCCTCCTTCTGTTTCCAAGAAGCTTTTAAAACAGCGATGCTGTCAAAAACAACGACATCGCTGTTTTTGAAAAGAAGCGTGGTGCAAAATCATGAGATCCAACCAAGCATCTTGGGACAAAACCTCAAAACCATCGATCCAACCACCTGCTGAGGATCTGAAGGTCAGGTTGTCAAAGCACACCGAAGCCTGGTATGACACATTCCGCGTCTTGGTGTCGATCCGCCGACTCACGCCCTTGAGGCCAGTGCAACCGTAGGATCGCTTCCTGCGCTTGTTTGCAATTGCCTTCGCATCTGTTGCCACATCCTCCGGCTCATCTTCAACATCTTCCGCATCTGTGAGGTGTGTGGCTTCCACGTCTACGACTTCTGCTTCCTCCTCCGCATCTTCCGCTTTCCAAATCACAACATGTGGTAAATCAAACAAGGCAGAACGTTCCCTCCCCCCTTTTCCTTCAAGAAACGCCTGGCAAATGCCGTGTGCACCGTACACAGCTCTCTCAATGATAATCCGTCTGCCCTGGGTATAACAATTAGGGTTGCTGCCAAGACCCTGGGGAGAGAGGCGAGCAGAAAGTGGGTCCCTGGTAAAGGAAACAGCGAGGAACCCAAACCCACCTTGACCATCCTTGGGCGGTACAGCGTTGCCAGTCCCCCCCCCTCCCAATGGTCATGGGTCAGACAGGTACCGCCCCTGTGGTTGTGCTCCTGTGGTTGGGTTGTGGTGGTTTAGGGTTGGTTTAGAATTGGTTTAGTGTGTATTTAGGGTGTATTTGGGGTTCGTTTAGGGTTCGTTTAGGGTTGGTTTAGGTTTGGGGTTTATTGTTTAGGGATTGGTTTAGGGTGTATTTGGGGTTAGTTTAGGGTTGGTTTAGGGTTGGTTTATGTTGATTTAGGGTTCGTTTAGGGTTGGTCTAGGTTTACAGGTTACGGTTTAGGGTTTGGTTTAGGGTGTATTTAGGGTTGGTTTAGGGTTAGTGTAGGGTTGGTTTAGGGTTAGTGTAGGGTTGGTTTAGGGTTGGTTTAGGTTTGGGGTTTATTGTTTAGGGATTGGTTTAGGGTGTATTTGGGGTTAGTTTAGGGTTGGTTTAGGGTAATTTAGGGTTCGTTTAGGGTTGGTTTAGGTTTACAGGTTACGGTTTAGGGTTTGGTTTAGGGTGTATTTAGGGTTGGTTTAGGGTTAGTGTAGGGTTGGTTTAGGGTTAGTGTAGGGTTGGTTTAGGGTTGGTTTAGGTTTGGGGTTTATTGTTTAGGGATTGGTTTAGGGTGTATTTGGGGTTAGTTTAGGGTTGGTTTAGGGTAATTTAGGGTTCGTTTAGGGTTGGTTTAGGTTTACAGGTTACGGTTTAGGGTTTGGTTTAGGGTGTATTTAGGGTTGGTTTAGGGTTAGTGTAGGGTTGGTTTAGGGTTAGTGTAGGGTTGGTTTAGGGTTGGTTTAGGTTTGGGGTTTATTGTTTAGGGATTGGTTTAGGGTGTATTTGGGGTTAGTTTAGGGTTGGTTTAGGGTGGGTTTAGGGTTGGTTTAGGGTTGGTTTATGTTGATTTAGGGTTGGTTTAGGGTTGGTTTAGGTTACAGGTTACGGTTTAGGGTTTGTTTTGGGATTTATTTAGGGTTGGTTTGGGGTTAGTTTAGGGTTGGTTTATGCTTGGTTGCGGGTTGGCTTGTCCTGGGGGTGGGGGTGCCGGGGTGTCGGGGTGCGAGTTCAGGGGGTCGGGGTGGGGGTGGGACCGTAGGTGCCAGGATCCGGGGGCTCGGGGTCTCGGGCCGGGGGGGGGGGGGGTCCTGGGGGACCCATACCATCTGGGGGGGGGGGGTAGCAACACGGAACATCGGACCATATTTATCCACCTTTGAATTTTGATTATGAGGCTATCCTCATATGGATGTGACTCAAAAAAAGGGACACCAAACAAAGAGTGAATCTCCTTTTGGTTCCCTTTGAAGCCACTCCTTTTGGAGGGGTACCCTCAATAAAAAGTAAAAAGACACACCCAATATGCGTGAGAGAAACTCCTTGCCTCCAAAGCAAGAACTTCAGAATCGCTGGACTCTTCCGTGAAGTTTTCCGCCGCATGTGACTCCTGGTGACATAGATGGACACCTCTGGGCCGTCCGTTTTCAGATCCCCTGCTAAAAGTTTTGCATAAAGCTTGCCCATGGCTCGAACGCTTCCTACGCCTAAGTAAGCACATCCCGTTTTGAAGAGATCCTTCATCACTAGCTCGTTGTACCCCCCGGTAGATTGCTATAAATTAGCCAAACAGGAAGCATCGTGATTGCTTCCCACAATTTGATGGCGCTCAGTAGGGAATGACCAAGGGTGTTGGGAATGAACGTAGGGATTCCCTCAAAGGAAGCCAAAGCAGATAGAATATAGGGGTCATTCCCTCATTCCCAGCAAGACGATTTGCACCAGTTGAAGGATGCCATGAATCACGAACGTGAAATGTTGCATCCCTCCAAAGTGGAGAAGACTGACCCATATGGACTCAACGCGGCGGATTATTTGGGGTCGAACCCCCCCCAAGCGATTTTGGGATCCCCCTAAACCGGAAACACCCTCCTTCCCTTGGCCAAACTTGGCATTTTTCTGGTTGAACAGAAACATGAATGAGCACCAATCCGCAAAGTCACAAAAAGGTAAGCCGTACGTCTGGCTGATCGTTTCAACATCCAGGTCCCCAATTCATTCCCTGGTGTGGTTCTGCCTTACACACCCTGATTGGTCCCTGACGTAAGGGGTGGCCCCCTCCTGAGCCTCCTGAGCCTCCTGCGCCTCCTGAGCCTCCTGGCTCTGACTCGGCGGGACCTTTCGATTGGCAACGAAGCAAGGATCGCCACAAAGACAGAAAAAACGACATCTACAAATTTTAAGCCACCAACAAGAGAAGAAAAATAAATCTACAACTCCTGCAAAGACTGGGAATTTGTTTAAGTTGTCATCACTCAACTCGCCGAATTCAAGCGACTCTCTTGAGTTTCCAGCCCAAGGAAAGCGAAAGGGATGGAGACGGGGACCCGTCTCCCAGCCCAACCCGACCTGGTGACTCAAACAACTCGAACCTCTTAAGTGGGGAATGTGGGAATGAACCCAGGGGTTTCTTACAAGAAACCACAAGGGATGGTTTATAAGGGTCATTGCCTCATTCCCTGGGCACCAGCAAGGAGTTGTCCTTTTGATCTGCCTGAAATCATCTCAACTTCCGCAAAAAAACAGTCCAAGCCACTCCCAACAAGGAGCCTTGGGTCCCTGGACAAGGCCCAAGGTGCATTATCTTATGCGGGGTGCAAATGGCGCGTAGCGGGAAAGCCAAGATCACTTTCCCATTGACGAATGTTTGCCGGAAAAGCCAAGATTTGCCATTCACTTGCCCAGAGAAACCTGGAAATCAAAGGTGAGCACCTTTGAGACCTTGACGACAAGTTGGAGAACCATGGCTTCCATGGCTTAAGTCCCCATGGAAAAAAACTAAAGATGTTGCTATGCCCAGTGGTGAAATCGATTCCCTTTACAAGCAAGAGGGGAGACTGGCGAAAACCATATCAGCCCAGATCCGGTCGATTATTTTCAGCCCAGATGGTCCAGCATTGCTGTGTCGAGTCCCTTTAAAGCCAACAGGGTGACTTAAAGGAAAAACACAAACATCGTAAGCAAATAGAAGAGAAATACCCTGTGCTCAATGCCATCATTCCACTAGTCACAAACTCTGATCGTTTCGATCAGATCCGGCTGATTCGGTCAACTCTGGAACATCTTGGTCAGATGATTTGACCATATCAACCCGGATCCAGACCGGATGATTTTCAGATCCGGTCGAATCGTTTCCTCAAAACTTGCTCGTGCCCAGATCCGGTGAATGAAGGGTCTGACCCCTAAAACAAACCATCCCACATGGTTTGTCCTTTCTTCGGGAACTCCCAAGTTCAATCCATTTCTCATTCCCTACTTATCGCAGCAGCGACAAAAACTAGGTCCTCCAGTAGAAAGGTTAGAATATGGGCACAGTTTTGTTTTTTTCTGTAGTCTATTTTAGTTGGGGAACCCTCCGAACCAAACAAGTTGGTAAAAGGGCACCTAGCTGGGGCACCTAGACAACTGCCATTTGCTTAAGCCCCCTGAAAATCAAAAAAATATCTCCAGCTGGTGAAATTGACCCCCTTTAAAACCAACATGGGAAAACAAAAAATAGTCTTTTCAGCAAATGGAAGAAAGAATAAGGGCGCCCATTTTCCTGTCGTCTACTTTAGTAGGGGAACCCTCCCAAGCAAAAAAGTTGGGAGAGAAGGGCACCTAGCTGGGGAACCTAGCAAAATAGGGGCATCCCCAAAGACTGGTGGTTTCCCTTGTTGGTTTCCCTTCAAACCCCAGTACGGCTCCTCCCCCCTTTCCACCCACACTCCCGTTTCACAAACGTATCGCAGCAGCAACCAAAAAGGCGGGCTCCGGCTCCGGCCAGGGCGCTCCCTGCTTGCCGTAGGTGGTCATGAACTCCAGGAGCCGCGCCCTGAGCTGAGCCGACAAGGCCTCCAGAGCCTTCCACCGCTGCTCCGGCGGCATGCGCGCCGCCAGCTTCCTGGCAACATAGGTGGCCTTTTGGAAATATCCATGGGTTTCCCTGGTAAATGGAACAAAACCCGTCGAAACCCAAACTCACCTAAAAAGGACGCTAGCTTCCTGGGAAGCTGTGAGTCTCTAAACGGTTGGAGGCGGTGTTTGTGGATCCACCCCTGTAAAATATTTGAAAAGAGCGCTAAAAAAGCACCTACCGGGGGGAAGAAGAGGTGAATCCACAAAAAGCGTATCCAAACTCGTTTTCTCGAGTGTCTCTAAAAGAAAAAGCTGCGTTTGGTCCGTTTGCAAGGGAAACCAACAGGAAAACCAGCAGGGTCGCTGGTTTTGAGGCACAGCCAACTGGGGCAGGAATTTACCGTGAGTGGGAGAAGTTGGTTGAGGATATGCTTTTGGGGAAAGGGCTAGCGCAGAATAGGACTTGAGGCAAAAGGCCAGGAAGCCTCAGAATACCCCAAAAAATAAATGGAACCCCTGGAAAAAACTAAAACCGAGCTTTTGCAGGAATCCCCTTTGAAGGACTCTGCTCCCCTTTTGAGGACCATGATGATTGGGGTGAGGTTTGAGGGTTAGATGTGTTCGACCAATGAAGATCACACCAAAAAGGAAGCTCATTGCAACATCAACCGACAATTAAGATTTCAATCCCAAGCAGGAAACAATGACTCCTGTTTTTGACCACTCTTCTTGTGGAAGCTGGACAATAACACGACGAGACAAGATGGCACTCTAAGATTCGCCGGAGAAGGTCGCCGGAGAAGGTCGATTTTTCTTTCAGAATCACGCGAAGTGCACATGTTGAAACTGTCAGTTTTCTGTCCAAATCAAAAGGAAAGCCACGTCAACTCGTGTTGAAGTCATCCAACAAGGGATTACAAGGGCTCCTGCCGTCCTCAACATGGATGAGGAAAATCAAATCTACAGTGATTCAAAAGTGGGCCGTCCCTGTCACTCACTTTGAAGATTTCTTGGGAAACACAGACAGAGGCACTGCAACCTAATTTTGCACAACGGTGGCAAACCAACACTACAAATGGGTAGCCTATGGTACCTTCAAGACACAAACCAAAACACCAGTATGGACCACCAACACCTACGATGGGTAGGCTAGGGTATTGGTAAAACACAAACACAACAAGGACTGGTATGGACCGATCGGTCCCCGTCCTCAGTCGCATCATCGACTTTGTCATCTTCGAGAACTTGGCCACCTTCTCCTCAGTTGCCCCTTAGGGACCCAGAAATAAAAGCAGATCACCTGGGACCTCCAAACATGGGCCAAAACGGGAAACCAAAACTTGGTTGACGTTGGGTTTGGGGAGCAACCATGTTGAAATTTTAGCGGTTAAGTGGATTTGGATTTCAACCATGAAACCACAATAAGCAAACATGTAAAATGTTTCCCAACAACAACCATGAAAAGGTCAAAAGGTCGATTCGCTTTGGGCAAGTGAGTCTCCTTCCGCGGTGCTCGCCTCTTCCGTGGCCGCTTGGGGAAAGCTGCCCTCGGCTTGGCGTTAGCTTCGCCGCGCTCGCCTCGCTGCTTGTCCTCAGACGGACATGGCTGTGGCTCAAAAAAACGGTACCAAAAGGGGACCCTGGCAAGTGGACACATGGACCAAAACCTGCGGTTTGCCCCTCCTGTTGAATTTTGAGCCACACCCACATCCTCTTGACTACAGCCCCGGCTCCAAATACCCCACGTTGGTATGATGTCAGCCGCTGACGAAAACAGGAGGCATTCATCATGGAAACCGAAGCCAGTCTTTGTTCAACTTTCGGATAATACAAGAACAGCCACAGTCTGAAAAAGGAACAGCCATTTTCGTGCCACGCATCTTCAAAGGAAAATACATTGGATACAAACAGCAGACACTGCGATCTCATGCTGTCCTTTCCAAGCTTCACTCTGTTGGCTACATTGGCACAAGTAGCCTGATTTATTGGCCCAACAGTAGTCAACGATCGGCACTCTTCTCTATGTGTTTGTTCTTCTGCTTTCAAGCAAGCAGCGTACTTGGCGCGAGCGCGAGTGCTTGAAAGCACTTCAAAGGCATGCAGAACTTGTCGAAAAGCTTCGGCAGAGCCGCCCTTGTCGGGATGCGTTCGTAAGGCTTGGCGGCGATATGCCTGCAGCGCGCAGTCGTTCCCCCTCTCTTTCTAGCCTTCACATAACCACAACTCATTGATGTATTTGTATCGAGCTTACTATCCTTGAACCAGGTAGACTCAAATGGCCCGCAAAAAGTTGATTCTTTTCCTGGGCGCTTCGGCGGCTTGTGGCACCGAAACGGCGGCAACACTACGCGTTTACGAGCTGGGAAACTATACAGTGTTGGGGGCAAAATGATATTCTCTCACTTCCCATCGTACGGGGCCACAGTCCCATTAACAGCATGTTTGGTCTTCCCAAAAAATGAGAGAAAAGTCCTGGAACTCAGCTTGTAAGCTCTCCGGAGGTCCAAGTTGCGCTGCGCAATTCTGCGGCCGAGGCAAACTTCTGCACACCCAGGATTGCGTAGAAATCCTGGGAGGTTTTTAAGTGGGAAACTCCTCACGATATAACATTTAGAGATCACCTCATCACATCCTGGTCATTATGATCACTCTTCCCAAAAAACATATGATCCCACATGTGCAAGGCCTGCCCAAGGGGTAGAAGGTCAATGGATCCACTTGCATATTCCAAAACATCTCTTGGCAAACGAGCAAAGCCTGCAGGCCCCCCCCCCCAAATGGGCTGATGCTGTACGTGGCCCAATGTGTCCCTGCACTTTTTCCTTCCAGCTCAAACCTCAAGCCACTTTGAGCCCTTTTTTACACTCTCCCACAAGCACTGACCTAGGTGCAATATGCCAAGCTCTGTGAGTTGCTTCCAAAGCGCTGTGTGTTGGCTGACGCAACCAAATCGGGGCTCTTTGTGAGTCACATGTTGTCATTCTGGGACCAACTTCGATAGGCAAACAGCTCAGCATTCCACAGGACAAGCAGCAAACAAGTTGCCAAGCTCATGACTGACCAGCACGGTACAAGGTTCAAACGCATCTGCCTGACTGCATCAGCTCAGTCCTAAAACATGGCTGCGTGCGAAAAAGGCCCTCTTGTAGCCCTCTCTCTCCTTTCGCCCCAGCTTCACGTTGGTGGGAAGAAACACCAGTAATTATGCATGTTGATCGCGGTGAACCTCCACTCAACCAATAGATGGCAGATGTCAATGGCACTGCATGCTAGAAAGCCCCAAGACTACGGTCCAGTCTCTCCGAGAGACGCCATCGATCCGGAAACCTGAGCAGATGTCAAACTCCAATTTAGCCTAAAGCAACAATCGGAGTGCCAATCATGTTGGTAGCCTAACAGGTTCCACCGAATCCACAGAGGTACTCAAATGCCTTGTAAATGAAACAACAGGCCTACTTGGAGCAGGACCATGCTGGGTCCTTGCCCCTGCTTCACTGCCTCATCAAGAACTGTGAATTCAATTGGATACCCGATAAGACTAGCGCCAACTTTTTACCCATCAACCTCCAAACCCACTGCTGCCCGAACTTGAAAGAGTTGGAAGCCAAGCTGCGAGGGACGACTTCAGGATGCGCTCCCTCATCCGCCGCCCCTTTGCTCCGCTTTCGGAAGACGCCCCATGGCCGTTTCCGCCGCGAGAAAGTCGCGTCGCCCAGTCGCGTCAAAGACCCCAGCGAGAAAGCTGAGCCGAGACTTGCGGAGGGGTTTTTTCGCGCTGCGACGATGTCCACCCGCCTCTTTGGGGACAATGAGGGCTCTTTGTGATGGGCTCAGGCCAAAAACAAAAACGGCATCGACAAGACAGATGATGATGGTCAAGGGACGAAGCGATCATGGCCAGCAAAGAAACATAGGGACAATCGTGGGAGACCGGTGCGTGGCCATGAAGCAAGTTCCAAAGCTTCTCCTTGCACCAGTCGTTCTACTTCTGCATTGCTCTATTTGGCACATTGGACTGGTGCCACCTGCGGAACATTTCTGCGACCCACCTGTTTTCATGGGATCTCAAGGGCAAGGATGTTGCATGAACCAAAGTGAGACATCAATAGATTCAGATAGATAGATAATACATATATATATATATATGTATCAATATATCACCGTGACATTCTTATAGTAAGCATGGCATCTGGCACGTGCAAACGCCGGTGACAACCTAGCAACCCCCCCCCAGGTGGCTCAAGGTTCTATGTCGGCTGTCTGCCGTGTCCGGGCTGGGAGTCATCTTGCCCTTTGTTCATTATCAATGGTGTATGTTTTGTGCCGATTGATTGTCGACAGAGAAACTAGATCCTCCAGTGAGGATAGACTGAGGTTACCCTTTGTTCTGCCCCTCCCCCAAAAAAGGGTGAGAAAGGGCACTACTGGGAAACCTAGGAAAAGGAACCCGAGCTTGCAACCGCATTTCATGAGCCACGCCTCGCAAGGGGCTGAGATTGCACCCTGAAACCGGAACCCACCAGCTGCTGCCACAGCGCTGCACCCTCCGTGATTTCTTGCGCGCCTTCAGCACGCCAGCTGGCACGCCTAGCTGACCCGCCTGGCGCTCGTTTGGCTCACTTGGCCACTTGGCCTGGTTGTCACAGTACTACTAAAACGGATGCAAGTCATCACTCCCAAAGAAAAACACGTCCCATCCCAAAGAGCCCCTGGTGCTTTCGTTGGGGTCACTTCGAATCTTGGTCTATCTCAATGCTTCTTAAGGGCTCTGGTGTTTTTCGAGGGGGGGGCACTTTGAAAGATGCCAGCAACCAGTTGCCCAGGCACTAGGGGAAAATGGAGATTCCTTGTTCGGTGGTTCACTCTTCTGCTGTACAGGGGCCTAGTGAACGGCGTTTGGCTATAGGACAACCAGGCAGCACACCAGTCCTCCAAAAAGCCTGAAATAAGGACAAGAAGGTTGGTATTCCTTTTTACCTTCCCAATTCACATGGAACCTGACCTTTGGCTTCGACCCGGTAGGAAGATGATCCAAACCACAACTCCCCGAACGCGCGGTTCAGTGCCATTGGAGGGTATTCCATTGAAAAGTCTTCCAGGAGGTCGCATGTCAAGCCCCAAGTCCTCACAACGCTACGCATGCGGCGCATGCGGCGCTATGCGGCGCTCACATCGGAATGAGGCCACGGCCGCAGCCGCAGCGGCTCTTTCCTCTGCTGCATTTGCCTGTGGCGTGGAATCCAACAGCTCTGCGGCTTCCCCATTTTGTTCAACCAACGTTTTGAAGACCGGTCCTTTTCTATTGATGCTGGGTAGTTTGCGGGCTCAGGCAGGCTTTTCGAGCAAGATCCATATCTTGAAGGTCAAATTTCACCCCCCTCTGAGCCTGGATTGGGCGCTTTGCTCCCAAACTATATTCTATTTCAGGACAACCCCCTGAGTGCATTTGAACCATCTGTCTAAGAAGTGTGAGGTTCGAGGCACATAATTTGGCTCGACAAGTCCCCTTGGGACCAATTGGGATTGGTAGTTTCCTCAAAAGTATTCATAGGATCATCCCAACTGGCCCAGTATGTTCTCCACATATGTGAGCTAATTGGGAGCCTCTTAAAATAATAGGTGATGACCTCCACACATCGCCCTTAAACCCATCAACCCTGATCTGGCTAGCAGAAACCAGGGTGAACCTTTTAGGCCACCTTGGGGGGAGCAAGAAGAAGAATGCGAGACTTCTTGGGTTTCGTGGCTTTCCACGTTAAACGAGGGTCCAAAGCAAGAAGCGCTGGCAGCAAGTACCGGCGTCAAAGTCATGGCTTCCTGTTTGGACTAAAGGAAGCAACAACATCCCGAGGCTTGCCTGCACATCCAGCTCGCGATTCAACCAAGAGAATGTCAAACTGATGATTTTGGGACACCGCCGGGTAGTCAGTCTTTGAAGTTTGTTGCCTGCCGGCAAGCACCAGGTTGCAGATATCGCTGGTACTGAGGACCCCTGAGCACGTGAAGGGACCATTCCACGGCGTACTGGGCTCAAAACATCGCAAGACTCGCCTGCATGTATCTGACGATGTCCCTCAGCAAGTCATCACCTGGGAATCGGATTCACTCGAATCGAGTGAGTCACACCTCCAGTGGTGAACTGTTGCTGCTTACCTAGGTCCCCAGTAGAGAGGTTAGAATAAGGGTACCCTTTTATTATGTTGTCTATTTTAGTAGAGGAACCCTCCCCCCAAAAGGGTAAAGGGGCACTTAATTACCATTTACCATCTGTTGTGGAACTAGTGTTCGTCGTGCTCGTCACCGATCTTTACCTGACCTGCCTAAAGCAATCTGGAAACCCCAAAAGTGAAGGGGCCTACAGATCTTGCCAATCCTACGAGGTATTCCATTTTGGACATGGCTTTATGGCGGATGCCTGCCCCAAGCAAGCCTGTATCAACTCTCCTGCAACAAATACATTCCCTCAAAGCAGGGGGTCCCCCAAAAGAGTTTCCTGGTCAGGATGGCTCTTTGAGTCCACGGGCTCCGCAGACTTGTGACAAAAAGAGTCCCGGCCTCCCGGAAAACGATCCAACTCCAGAAGAGGCTCATCTGTACCTGCATCGGCAAAGGGTCTCGATGCGGGACACTCCGCATGATCTGTTCGTCTTGCGCACCATGGCTCCCTCCCCAGCCGTGAAATCATGCCCGGAGTCGTCGTTTAGGGCTTGCTTCGTTCGTCCAAAAAGTGATCCACCACTGATGGACAAGATCTGCTTGGCACCTGGCAGGTGAATTTCCCCTCAGGTTTCGTCAAAATGGCGGAGTGTCCATCAAATCAACCACCCCACATATGAACCACCACAGGTTTGCCAAGCATGCCATTGCCCCAATCATCTTCCGAACCGAGTCTGTGCTTGTGGTTTACCAAATGGGAGTTGCGGTTTTCCGGTTGGCTTCCCCACAAACCACAAGCAACCCCTAAAACTTGGTTTGTCCTAGACCCCCTGCAAAAGGTTTAGTGAGACAGTGTCATTCGCCAAAAGACGTGTTAAATGGCAACATGAACGATTTCACCTGCGGTCCATATCCTGGTGGTTTGATTTTGACCCATACCCAGATGAAAAGTCTGCTGGTCGTGACGCAGAAAGGGCCACGAGAAAATGAGGGTTGATCAAAGGCTCTCTTACATGGGATGACCATTGCTAAGAAAACCGCTAAAACGATGATATTTCCCACTAAACCGGACAAGTTACGCATGGTCATTTGGGGGCCACAAAAATTGATCAGAGGCGCGAGAGCGCGCCTACATCTTTGCGCCGGCCTCTCAGAACAGCAAACGCCGCCGCCTGGCAGAAGTTGTGCTGGGAATGGAACCGGCCATGGCCTGGCCTTTATTTACTGGGCTGCTCGTTGTCAGATCCCCTGCGAAAAGTTTTCAACTTTTAGTGGGTTAAATGGAAACCCAACCACTAAACACCAAAAGGCGAAAAAGCTAAGGAACCGGATGGCTGGGAGCCTCTAAGTTTACACTCGGTTCATCTAGCTGTCGCTTGGAAGCTGGGGGTATCCACATTTGCAAACTTGCTTCTAGACATGGAGCTAACCTTGCAGTGGGCACTCCAAGCCGAGAAAAGCTGTTCGGCTAACTTCAAACCAGAGCGATCTGAAACAGGGATTGACTTTTCGCCGTGGGAACATGAAGGGAGCCGCTCTAAAAACAGCGGCTCTACACTTTCAGGGCAGCAAACCAGCGACGTTCTGTTGGAATCTCGAGTCCAGCGGAAGCCTTCGCCCTCTTTCAAAAAAATAGGTGAGCTCCGAGATGGAAGCTGAACCTCAACCCTCCAACTCATTACCAAAAGCAACGTGCATGGCTCAGGGAATGCACACCAACCGAAGCCTCGCGAAGCAGGCATCTGCTCGACTTGAAGCTCGTGGCAGCAGGTCTCTCGGAATATTCGGAATGTTGGGGAAGAGTCTCATAGGAGTTGGAGAAAAACTGCGAAAAATGGCCAGACCTGTGATACAACAAGGGCTTCCCAAAGACCCGCCCCCTTGTAATTATCACAAAAGTCTTTGGGAGATAACCCCTTGATACCGCCATTTTGAGTTGGTAACACCCGCCAACTTCGGGTGCCACCTTTTTGGGTGCCACGCTGCGTCCGGAGAAAAAGAAGAAAAAACGCCGGAGCCCGCCTGCGAGGCGCAGGCCTTGATGTCCAGCTTCACATCCTAGCTTGAGCAGCCCTTCCGTTGGTGTATATATCAAAGGCTCCTTATGGGATGACCAGACAAGTCGGAAACCCTGGGAACGATGATATTTCAACCACTCAATCGGACAAGTTTCTTGTGGTCATTTTTTAGGTTTTTGAGTAGAGAAGCCTACCAGCACGCAACAACTGCCAAGATGGACGGCACTTATTGCTTTGTGCTAGGTCCTCCAGATTTGAGAGGATAGAATGAGTTAGTACCCGATCGTTTTTTTTTTTTTTTTGTTTTTAACTTTTTCTGTAGTCTATTTTAGTAGGGGAACCCTCCCAACCAAAAAAGACACGGGAGAGAAGGGCGCTGGAGGACCTAGATATGAACCGCGGTTGAGTCTAGGGTTCCCAAAGCCCCCATGAAAAGAATGGCCTTGGGACCCAATTATGATGACAATGGGTAAACAACGGTTGTATGAAGCCCCAGTGATTGAGTGGTGCTTTGAACCCCAGAAAAATTGCATAGTGCTCCCACCTCGTCCTCCAAGCCACCCACATTGAAAAAAGCAATCGAGAAGGGAGAACTGCTCTTGGAAAATGGGTGTGGCTCGAAATGAAAGAGCTAGGGTTACGCAGCTTTTAGGCTTTGGTTCCATTTACCAAGGCGCCATGTTGGTACATGTTTTTGAGCCACAGCCAAATGGGTCCGCACGCAGTTTGAGTCAAGGTGGAGGCAGCATATGTTCCAACTATATCTTGGCATTCATTCGCCGGGTCCAACTTTTGGCTCGTTCTCCAAAAGTCGTCCCTGAGACAGGGCGAAGCTGTGTTGCCTCGGAGCTTTGGGGCCACAGAAAAACCAGCAGCGGCCTTTAGCCTAAGCCAAATGACCGTCAATGACCCTTCAAGCTTGGCGAACTTTCACTTGCGAGCCGTGCTTTTCTCGAAAAAATGCCGAGCAGAAGAAACAAATCATGAACATGGGGATCCACCACTTGCAAATCGCAAAAACCCGTGCAAAGGCCCCCCATCAAAGGAGGGCTGCCCAGTTGCTTGCAAGCGAGACCCGGGATGAGAAGCGAGTTCTGCTGGCAGGTGGCAGGGTAAGCTAAGCACAGTGGCTTTCATCGGCCCATCCCAAGCAGAATGTGTGTGACAAAACCTGGTCTCCTGAAGTCATATTGCCCTGCAACTTGACTCTGCCAATGATGGGAATACATGTCCCTTCGCCTAACAAGGCTGGCTTATTTTGAGACATGGGTCGGTCAACATGGCGCACCTGTTTGGGCCGCATCCAGTCAAGTTGAGAAACGATCCCAATTATGGAACCTCCCGTGTCCGTCTCCGGGATTATCAATCAGGGTCCTGTCAAGTAATTATATGAGCGGGAGATTACATTGGACGAAGGCAACCCTTTGGCGTCCCATATGCTTGCCCAGTCGCTGCAGGCAATGGCTGCCGCTCTTTTCGGTTGGGAACTGGAGAACCAACTGAACCCCAAAACCGGTCGACTCTGAAAGAGTTGCCTTTCTGCCACACGTGCAGGTCGCCCTTAGGGTCAGGTATCTTGCAGATAGGCACGTAGAGCCCAAAGCTTCTGGCTGGTTTCGGGCTGCCCCCGTGCTTTTTCACTGCTCACAGGGATTGTTTGTTTTGCATGAGAATGCATTGTTTCGCGCAGCTCGCGGGGACAGCCCCAGAGAGAGAGAGAGAGAGAGAGAGAGAGAGAGAGAGAGAGGGGCAACTTGATGGAGTTTTCAGAGTTCTTGCTGCAGTGAAGCTTGAAATTTTGATTCACAGGGAGGGGCAAGATTCACATCCGGACCCAGGGGATTGGGACCTTCTCGATGCGGATGATGGACCACTCGGGCTGGTAGACCTGGAAACAAGGCAAAAACCACTTGCGGTCGCTGCGAGAGATGCAGGGAATGAGAATTGGAATGACCCCGAAGAAAAACCAAGGGTGTCTCTAAGGGAATAGGTTCATTGCTGGTTCGATGGGCAGGGAATGACATTAGTTGGAATGAGCCCGACAAAAAATGATGGTTTCCTTAAGGGAATCCCTACCGGTAGGTTCATTCCCAAAACACTGAAGGTCATTCCCCAAGCACCGGCAAGTTAATACCCATCACAATCTTAGGGAATTTCCTTTGCCCACATCAGAGGTGCAAACATAAGACGTTCTGAGTCGGTATCAGGTTAGTCTACCCTAAAATATAGAATCGGTTTGGAGGAGACCTCAGTTTCTTGCGGTTGCAGCTGTTGTAGTTTGAGCCACAACTTGGGTTCCACAAACGAAGCATAGACTTTCCCAGGCCAAAGTGGCCCATGAGCAATTAATTGCACACATCAAGCACCATAAGTTTCAGTGTTTCTTTCGGGACCCCCCGGTAGGAAAACCCACCATATTGGGGGGGTCCAGGAACTCCACAATTGTTTCGAGGGTTGATGAGCCATGTGGCACATTTGCAGAATTTAGAAGGCCTTCTGAAAATAAGGGTGAACTATTTGTTCAGGGTACCCTTTCTGGAAACCTAAGGGAAACCACTGGTTTGGGAATTCCCCTATACAGCCACGTGAAAACAGCTTTGACACAAAGTCACACGTACCCGTTCGACCTCTCAGGGAAGTAGACAGCTCAGATCTGCTTGACTGAGTGCTGCGCAAACACACCCTGCTGATGCCGAAGAAAGAGAACACACAACACACACACACACACATAGTATGACAGTACAGTCCACGTTCGTTTAAACAACGGTGGAAAGTACCCTTTTTCCCCAGGTTCGGCGGGTGCTTTTTTAATGAGGTTCAGCACGCGAGAACGTGCTCTATTTCACAGCATTGTCTAACAAAATGCACCAGTTTTACACCAGCACAGCCATCCCCAGCATTGTATAGAGAAGATTGAGGGTTGGTTTAGTGCTGGTTTAGGGTGGATTAAGGGTTGGGTTCAGAGTTGGGTTTAGGGGAGATTAGGGTGGATCTCGGGTTTGATTTAGGGTTGGTTTAGGGTGGGTGCAAGGCTGATTTGGGGTGGGTTTATGCTGGATTTAGGGTTGATTTAGGGTTGTTTTGGGGCTGGTATAGGGTTGGTTTAGGGGGCTTGGGGCTGGAATAGAGTTGGTTGAAGGTTGGTTTACGGGGATTTAGGGCTGGCTTGGGTGGGTTTAGGTTGGTTAGGGCGGGTTTTGACGATTTCTGTCGGGTTTTCTTTAAGGTGGGTTTAGGGTTTTCTTTAAGGTGGGTTTAGGGTGGGTTTGAGGTTTCTTTGTAGTTTTTTGGGGTTGGGTTCAGGTTTTGTTTAGGGTTGGCTTAGTTGTGGCTTAGGGTGGGCTTCAGGTTGGTTTAGGGGTGAAATAAAATGCCACCAAGAAACCCGAAAACTCGCAACAAGCCGCCGAAGGGCGGGTTCGGGTTTCCAAAGCCACAGAAGCCGCCAAAAGGCACAGCAGCTGACCCAAATGGGCAAAAGGCAAAACCCAGCCCCGAGAAAAGCCACGAAAAAGACCATGACCGACCCCGACTGGCTGCGCTCCGGCCTGCCATACCTAGGAAAAAAAACCTCGGCGCCCCGAAAAAAACCTCTGCTCTGGGCACGCCCCTAAAACACCTCGGCTTTGGGCACGCCCCTCAAAAACCTCTGCTCTGGGCATGCCTGTTCTGCTCCATGGCTCCTCCCCAAAGGCCCCCGTCCGGCAAGAAGCTGCCGCGCCTCGAACACGGGGCTCGGGCCTCGGAACCCAGAGCGCCACTTCCCCTCGTCACAAGATGACCACGTGGGCATGGCCACCGCAGGGGGGATTGGAACTTTGTCTGCAGACTGCCTCAAGACAATGCTTGGCTGGAATTAGGACCCCAGCATTTTATATATATATATATATATATATATATTTGCCTGGCTAGTAGAAAACAAAGGGAACCCCAAAAGAGCAAAAAACAAAAAAAAACGGGGGAACTCATTCTGGGGAAGAATGGAGCAGTTGCCAGGCCGGGCCCCCTGCTGTCCAGATTTACCTGGCCAAAGGCTGGAAATGGCAACCGTGTCGCAATGAGTGCGGGCCAGCCAAGCTTGAAATTGTTGCGGCATGTATGGTACTCAGATGAACATGGCCGACATGTATGGTAATGTATGGTACTCAGATGAACATGGCCGACATGTATGATCCATAAGCCGACCCTTTCGCTCCAAACTGAAAAGTCAACACCAACCATGTGACTACCCTATGACACCCTGTCTGTTCGGGTCTTATGGACCACCCTGCCATGCGACAGGCCCATGCCTTTCCTGCTTAAACTTTCCTTTGGTCCCACAATCCATCTGAAGCTCCGGGGTAAACTAAATATGGACCAAACCCAAAACAGGCGCGCAAACTCCCAAGCGCCAAAAGAGCCAAAACCAGGTGGCTTCCTCTCCCCGCTTTCCCAGGTAGAAGAGAAAGCATCTGAAGGGAACCAAACCAATTTCCGCCCGTGTAATTGGCCACCGTTTCTCGGCCAAAAAAAGCCTCTGCCAAGGGAAAACAACAAACCGGTTCTCCAGTTGGCTTGGTCATCTTAAGGCTCGGAGTCTGCCCTGTTTCAGCTGAAGTCTTGTTGGTGAGCGGAGCTCCAAGCAAAAGGCGTGTGTTCGTCCCAAGCTCTGCCCGCCTGCGCAGGGCTCTCACTGGGCCCTTCGGACATTGGTCGCCGCTCAGCGGCTCTGGATTTTCCGGGTACCTGACCTCTGCCCTCGGTGCGACAGACCAAACTTGGGGGAGCACCTGGCCTGTGGAGCCAACAGTTTCGGGGTTGGCCAACCCTGTTTCAAAGCCATTGATTAAACAATCTGTAGGGTCCCCTTTTAACAGGGCTGTGGTAAAACCAATCGTTTCCAAACCCTGGCGCATATTCGATGTCTGCTCATCAAGAGCTTCCTACACGCACTGACTGGATGCTTTGTGTCATACTGAGCTGGCTCTTGTTCTTCTTCCCCAGAAAAGCAACAACCAAGGAACATCTGCAGAAAGCATCTGGCTGACTCCCGGTATATTCTCCTGTTTCACAATGGGGTGTCCGGCAGCTGTGACGCGATCTCCCTGGCGGTTGCTTGGTTTGGAAGCTGCGGCGGCCAGAGGGGCAACCATCTGACTCAAGGCCCTCGGTAAGCCGAAACTCCGATTTTGGGATACTTGTGTTTGGAGGGAAACCAAAAGGAAAACCACATTTCTATGTGTTGCTTTTTCTTGTCGGCCGGGGGGGGTGCTCCCCTAAACATTGGCACCCCAAAGATGTGTGAATCAACTCTGAAATAATGGCTAACGTGACCGGTATCCAGGCTTTCCAATTGCCCTGAGGGTGATTATCATGAGACCTTCTTGATATCGCCATACCCCGCTGAGATAGCTGCGAGTCACCCGAGCCCTCGTGTGTTCATCTGTCACCTGTGTGTGCGTGTGTTTGTTGGTTTGTTTCTTTGTTTCTTTGTCTTTGTTTGTTCGTTCACCTTTTTCAGGTTGGTTGTTTGGGGGTCCCCCTAGCTTAAACATGTCGATCAAGCCTGCGGCCTAGAGAGCGAACGGGTCCCGCTCCGGCGCTGGATTCTTCGGTTGCTGAACTCTTCGCTCTCCGACAAAAGCCCCGGTCAAACTGCCCGAGCCTCCAACGGGAACCTGGAACCCACGATAGGGTCGCTGGTAGAGAAAACCGTCTTTGGACCCCAAATAGGTTCCATGTTAGGGTGGGAGGGTACTCAAACATTCTTGGATCAATCTTCAGCGAATTGTATGGAATTCTGCCTCTCATGTGAACCACTGTGAAAATATGCTGTACTGCACAGGGAAGTTTGTGACAAAGCGTGGTGTCCTGGGAAGGGTAGTGTTGCTTCCCCTATGTCAATCCCACATTGACCACTGGTTACAGTTTCGAATTGAGGGTCCATTGGTGGACATCACTTACATGGGATTTCTGTCCACCAACCATTTCTCAGCACGCAGCAAGGCTTGTTAACTCCACGCTCAAGTCTGCTCATGGCTGACCAACGGCGGCAAGTCCTGCCGAGACTGTCTTGCCGTGGCGAAGTCGAGGGCCTGCTGTGTCTCTTGGGATCCTTTTGGGTAAATCATGGTAAATCTTAACCTTGAACCGACATAACGCCCAGATTTGTTGGAGGTTCCTTTTGGTACTTGCTTTCGCAAATTGAGGGCCCAGCCTTTGAATGCTGCTTAGGGAAGACTCAAGCAAATACTCTGGTGATGCGTCAACAGGGGCCTCTCCACATCAAGTGCGACAGCACCCTCAGCCATGACAATTGACATCTCCAAACCCCAGAATATGGTATGTCTCTTTAGGGGACCCCAAAGATGGGTGGTTTTCCTTTGGTTTCCCCAAAGGGTACCCTAAACAACGACACACCCATATGTCCACAACCTGAATTAAGGGGTCCCCAAGCAAGCGACCATCATCATGGTGAGACTTAGCCCCAAGAAAGATCGTCATAGGCAGACGCATGTCCTCGTCGTCGTCGTCGTCGTCGTCAGGAGCAACTGTCTCCATACCCTGCCTTCAGTGTGTCAGATTCGTGCAGCTTGCGAAGGCACCACGCGAGTTTCGCAACTTGCACAGGGGTGTGCCGTTGCCACCTGTTTGGGAAACAGTGGCCTAAATCTACAAAACGGTTTCCACTCGTGGGGGGAGGGATGTGTCTGGATTGAACAATCGGTGGTTCAGAAAGGAACACACAGTCCTTGTGTCACAACAAGCCCTAACTTGAATCATCCTGGCTTTGTTCAACTCAGGAACGCCACAAACTCGTTCTTAGCATGGCATTGCCTCTTTGCTCATGTACTGTACCTGAGACGCTAGGTGTGCGTCTGGCTCACGGCAACTAAGGCTGGCCAGCACTTGGCCCGACGCAAGTCATCCGGTTTCGTGGGCCTTTCCCAACACCTAGCGGCGATTTTTTGTGGAGAAATTGTGCGATTCCTGCTGCTTTGTTCATGTAGGGCTCAAGATCTTAAAGAGCTAGGGCCATTCAAGGTTTGAGTCTTGGTTTCCATTTACCAAAGTGCATCTTGGGTTTTCCATTCTTTGATTCGCCATTGGCTAATGGGGGCCCTTGCCAGTCTCAGAACCCTCCCCCACATCATCCCGCAATCCCGCAGCCGCCCAGCGCAAGCCGCCTGGTCAACGCTGCCTTGGCATGGGACTCTGCAGAGATGGGCGCGGGCCTCGCGAAGACAGCGAGGCCGAGGCAAGCGAAAGCGGGTGGCAGGGAGGAAGGGCTAAGCAACATCTCTTGGCCTGGGCTACACTGCCCCAACTCATTGATTGGTAAGGATGTCTTTGTGGCTTCCTTTCAAAGCCATCAAAAAAAGGGTCCCAACTCAAGAAACATCTCTTGGCCCACCTGCCGGGTACACTGAAAATCACTCGCTACCCAGCATTCATGCTAAAATAGCCTTGGAGGACAAAGTTCTAGCCATCCCTTCCCATTTTTTTCAGGGATCGTCGGGGGACACGGGCGGTTTCCAAAGAGAACGATGGGTGAACACCCACGCCCCCCTAACTAACCTTTTAAGCTTGCAAGAGAGTTCTTATCACAGGGGTCCACCCCCAATGGTAGGCCTACTGGTTTCCCCTCAACGATCAACCCACCGCCGCCCCAACGCCAGTCAAATGCCCCAAAACAAGCAAGCCCAATTGAGGGCTGGACAAACTGTTTGATAGCCGTGGCTAAAAAAAACTTGCGCCCAAAACAATCAGTTGCTTTTTCTCGGATGCCTAGTGGAGTTCCATGGGAAAGCAAGGGCATCCTTTTCTGAAGGGGACCCTCTCCCAAAAAAGGAAAGGGCGCCACTGGGCAACTGGGTTGTAGAAGAGGAGGACATTGGAACGGTAATTGGGATCATGCACAAAGAATCAGGGGCATTGCTCATCAGCTCCCCTTGTCGGCATCCATAGCCTCTCCCACCGGAACCACTCGCAGTGTGCACCCTGTAGGCGTGCGTCCTGACACGCGACATGGGATGGATCAGAATAGTACTCCCAGTCAGTTTCCATCTTAGTGGATGGGACAGTGACAGATGTTTACCACCAATTGTGTCATTTCACCCTTTCACTCCTTACATCACAAATTCGCGAAATCATGGGCTGCCCATTGCTCCAAATGCTAGTTGTCTGGGTGTCCGGCAAAGAGACAAACATATCCAATGAGCATTCGCGCTTTGGAGTCGGGCAATCTCACCCAAACCGGAAAAAACAAAAATTCGGCGCTCTCGCTTCTGGTGGCAAAAAAACACTGCCGGCACACTATAATTTCTGGATGCTACATGGCCATGGCTCAAAATCCCGGTTATCCCCCAGTGAACATCCCAATCCCCACTAAAATAGGTTGTAAAATGGGCGGTAAATTCACCTACCCCAAAATGGGATCCCCTTGGTTTGGACAACCACAGCCATATGATTGAGGTTCAAACCTGCAGCTTTGGCCCCCTCCCCCCCAAAAAAAATAAATAAAATAAACGAACAAAGTTGGATTCTGGATTCCATATGGGTCTGTCTCTGTGACGAAACCCTCCTTTTTGGAGTAATTTTAGAGGAGAACCAAAAAGGAAAACCACGATTTTGGGCGGGGGGTCCCAAAAAGAAACCCACCCATCTGTGTTCCTCAAAATAAATAAGACTAGGTCCTCCAGAGATGTTAGAATAAGGGCACCAACTTTTTTTCTTCTGTAGTCTATTTTAGTAGGGGAGCCGAATCTCCCCAAAAAAAGAAACGGTGAGAAAGGGCACCTGGCTGGACCTAGAAGATCATTCCAAAGACCCTTCAACTTGTCTACGGCCACCGGATCCAATGGCTCGGGCCGATGGACCCATCAGATCAGATGCATCTTCTCGTTTTGCGCGTGGGATCCAAAGGCACCGGTGAAGCTGTGCCCCAAGCCAAGCATCAAATGGCCAGCCAAACGCAGGGACACATGCCAACATCTTGGGCCCAAAACTAAAGTAGCATCGGCCAAACTGGGAAACCAACATGTTGAAGAACATCTTTTAAGCAACGCATTTTAAGCCATGCTTGCTCCCAAATGACAATGGACAGATTTAAGCAACTGAGTATCAATTCTGGATACGAGCTAGGTGAGTCCACCGCCCGAGTTCGGCGAATGGCCACACCGAGATTTGCAGCAACCAAAGCGGGAGCCCGATTGCTTAACCAGGCCAAAGGGATGTCTGGCGCGGGATGGTTTGGCTTAAGTCTTGGGAATGCAACCCTGACTGGTTTTGGCTCACGTGACAACAGGGAATCTTGGTGGTGACAAATAGCTGGGGAGGGATGATGTTTCGCCCTCTCTTTCTCTGTTTCTCTCTCCCTCTCTAGCTCTCTCTGTCAGTCAGTGACACACACACAGAGAAAAAGACACGATCAATCCCTCTAACCATTTGTCACTCCCCCATCTGTTTCCCCAAAATACGACAACGAGGCCTTATCTAAGTGTTTCGGGGAACCGGGGGGGTGTTAGAGGGGTTGAGTGATCCAGAGTTCTCGTTGTGCCCGACACATATCCAGACCCTTTTCTCAGAAACATGATGTTCCTGTCCTTGAAGTGCTTGCTGTAGAATCCCTTATGCCAGTGTTGGCGAGGCTTGGGATGTGCCTTAGCTCGGATCTGTTCATTTCAGCGCAAGGTAGTCCGCAGGTTCAAACCTCCGCTCTTAATCAACCGCAGTCTTTTCTACCTCTGTGTTTGGTACCCTCTTGCCAATCATGATGCATGAAAGTAGTCTTCCAAACCCCTCCTGTCACCTTCCGGAGGGTACCGAGAAGCCGCATGCTTGATTCTGGTCAGCCCCTTTTGCTTGGCTTTGAAGGGACACCAAAAGGAAAGCAACCATTTGAGACCCACCCAGCCGCTGAGGGCACCACTAGGAGAAGCCGACTCAACGCAACCTCCGCTTCTTGCCCTTCCTCCTCCAGCCATACCTCGGCTTTAAGGTGACTCTCACCCTGAAGAGAAACCACAACAGGGGGGGTCTTTTTGCCACCATTTGTGAGAAAATTGGTGACCCCCTCAGAAAGGAATCCTTCACTACAAGGGGGTCGATCATTTGTCCACTAAGGGTGGCAAAAAGACCCCCCTGAACCATTAAAGACAACGGGCCGTACGGGTGTGTCCTTAATTTTTTCGGAATCGGACCCCAAATTGCTGTTCCCTTCAGTTGTCCTTTAAAGCCACCAAAAAGGGGTACACTAAAAAAATCAACTTGTTGCCTCCGAGCTTTCACCTTTTGGAAGGTTCTGCAAATTCGGAGCCATCTCTCTGCGCTGCTGAATAGGTGCCACCTGCGCAGTTTTTAAATAATAAAAACAAGACCCTCTCAGTTTCCTGGAATATGTTTGGAATACAAAGAAACATTTTATGGATTGCCAGTGGCTGCTTTTTTCCATCCACTATACCCCAAAAACCAGCAACAGTGACTGAAGAAAGGTTGGCTGTTCAGCACCCAGGTTCCACCACTGTAGGGCCGCAGACTCAGCAGATAGGGCCGCCGCAGTGGGGTTCATCTCGGTCAGCAGCTGAGCCTCCAAAAACCCGAGCCTCTCACAATCAAAATCAGCACGCAAGGATTGCCGTTGCGAATGCGTTGGAGAGTTCGGATTTGCATCTTTCAGAGTTAGCAAAATTGGTCGCCGAAAGCGGACGTTCTCAAAGTCACAGAGAGTAGGCTTCCGCTCAAAACACAGGTTACCAATACATCCGACATGGCTTGCAAAACGAAGAGCAACTATCAATGACGTTGATAGTCTCGATTTGCGAAACTGAGGGATAATGTCTGAGTCAACAACTTTCTTGTTCAAGTTAGGTGAGACTCAATGCCCATGCCTCCAGCAACACGTCCTCACCGCGCTGCTGGCAATCCTTGCTGGGAAGTCTTCGGTTTAGGTTGCAAAGGCCCCCCCCCCCCCCCAAATCCAGGGTCACTGTACTTCCCCTTCAAAAGTTGGACGAAAACCGGAAGTTGCACAAAAACCGGTGGTTTCTATTCAAACTGCCACTCTTGGAGGTTCCCTTTCAGGGGGCATGGCTCGCAAATCCGCTTCAATGCAAAGGAAACGTCCGCAGAGTGGGCCTTCCCGGAGCTTGGGAAGCTCCCACCGAGACTTCGTTCCATGGTTGGAGCTATGGGATCGCAGGGAAACCGGGTTGCCACTGGTTGTTTCAGCCAGGCTCGCTGAAAAAACCGAATGGAATCGTTTCGATTCCAGGCCCATCTTTCTCAACTGTCCCGATGCGTCCTCAACCCCGTGCGCCCATCTGTCCCGCAGACCGCCTTCCCTAGAATGTGCTGAATCTGAGGCTTCACTTTCTGGGGAGGGGGGGGGAGGAGCTTCTCAACCCGACGTCCACGTTCGGTGTCGCGCTTCAACCGGTTCGGAAAGCTGACAGCTCCGCGTCCTCCAGGTACACCGCCCGCGGCTCCCAGGAATACGGCAGCACAGCCACCTGGAAGTCGGCAAAGTCCTGACGAGTCAATCCAGACCTTCCTTACCCAGAGGCTCCCGATTCTTTTGGGGCCCTCAAACAGCCAAATTTTGAGACCCCCAAACAAATTCGGGGAGTCCAATGGAGTAATTAGTCGGGACTTCCATTGAACGCCCCAGGAGCCTCTGGGTAAACAAATCAAAAGGATCCCCGTTTGCTCGGTTTTTTTTTAAACCGGGACCACTACCTGAGAACGCCCCGAAAGAATCAGATAGGGACCCTCGGACAAATCCACAGCGAGTTTGCCTTGGACCGCTAAAATTGTGTTTTTCCCCTCTATTTCTCTGTTTTTCCGTTCTCCGGAATATTTCCAGGAGACTGTCTGAAACTAGGAGTTTCAGGTGTTTCAATTGCAGGACTCAAAAAGCAGGAGTGGCTTGCAAAAGGCAGGAGTGAACATCAAAAACTAGGAGTGGTTTTTGGGGGAAACAATTGGATTCAAGTTTGGTTTTTTCGTTGTTTGGGCGCGCAATTGTGCAACTCTGTACACTATCCCAGCAATTATGCAACTCTGCACTGGAGTGGGTATTCCACTGATTTTACTACGCACACTCCGGAAACTCTGTCTTCTTTTTGATTTGCGGGAGTTTGCGGGTTTTTGCGGGCTTTTTGCGGGTGTTTTGCGTGCTTTCCGGTTTTGCCAATTTGTTGCCCAAAGGCAATAATTCCGAATTCAGAACAATTCTGAATTCTGAATAAATAATTCTGATTCAGGTGAACGATTCTGATTCAGGTGAATGATTCTGATTCAGAATATGTCTGAATTGGAGAGTTCCTTCCGTCAAGTACCGAATAATTGCGATTTCTAGGAGTTTCAGGTGCGCAAACCATTTCCAGAAGCGATAATCAATTTCTAGGAGTACACCTCAAAAACCAGGAGATTGAAAACTCCGTGTTTTTTCGCTGAGACCCTCAAAAAACTGGTAGTCTCCGGATTTTACGTGAAATGTCCATGATTTGGAAGATCCAGGCTGGCATTTCTATCATACAGCAGTCGCATCGCACTTATGCTAAGAAGGTGTTTTTCCTTTTTTAGGTTCGGAAGTCGAAAACGGCCTCGTGGTCTGCCAATGCTCCGGAGGAGGGAATACTCGGAAGCATCAACAAGCATTCATTCGTGACTCGTGACTTGCTGGTGCTCAGCAGGGAATGAGGGAATGACCCCTGTAAATCATCCCTTGTGGTTTCCTGTAAGCAAACCCTGGATTCATTCCCTCATTCCCTACTCATCGCACCAGCCAGCATCAGGAAGCGCTGATTCTTGAAGAGCCTCAATACGCAAAGCCCTGCAGTAAATTGCTGCACATGCCGCACCCGAGTCCTCTCGTTGCAGGCACCTCGTTTGAGCTGACCATCGACTTGTCCCACACTTTAGCTGAGCAACTTGATCCCCGCATCGTGAGGCTTACAGGAGCAAGCTCGTGAACCAATGAACACCCCCTATGAATAAACCCCTGTTCATGAATATGGGGGTGTCCCCGGTTTTTAGTGAGGATTGCGAATAGGGGGGTCAACATTAACCTTCCTCTGGGGGTTGAGTCCTTTTCCATTCTTTTCAATCATCGTTCTTTTTAAAAATCGGCTGTTTCCCCAGGGTTTTGGGTGGTTTTTTAGAAAGACTCGGATGCCTGGAAAGCATGGAAATGGAAGGTGCCCCTAGAACCATTGTTGCCTTAATGCTTTGGTTTGGAGAATTCCCATGTTTTGTAATCCTGTCCCCTAGAACCTTACTTAAAATAATGGGGAATCAACCCCTAGAATACCCTTCGCTGGGCAATCTGCACCCTTGAGAACGGGTTCGCTGTGCTGAGTTTTAGCGGCTTGCACATGTTGCAAAACCAACCAACAAGGTTGTGAACCCCTCAACCCGTGCGCAAAAAACGCAGGCCCCATGGCGGCCCTTCCACGCAAAAAAAGGACGGGCCCATTTCCACGCCAATCGCACGGATTTCCTGGGCACCGGACCAGGCCAACACGGACACCGGTCGCCGGCTCTGAAAGGCACGACTCACCACCTCGTGCGGGTCCCAGCGGGTCCCACTGGGCGGATGGTGGTGCTGAGTCGTGCAACTATGGGGTTCGTTCCCTTGGCTGAAAGACTCACCCTCCCAAAAAACAATCTGCGGAGAGGTCTGCACAGAACCTTCCCTCAAAGGCAAAATGATCTTCCAGAACCCCTGTCCAGGTTCTATGTGCTAGCTGCTCCAAGACTGCGAGAAGGACCCACTTGTACTAGGACTCAAAGCAATGATGTTGAACCATATGGGCGGGTTCTCTTGAAGGGAACCCCCAAAAATGTTGTTCCTTTCGGTGTCCCTTTAAACCCCACCAAAAACGGGGTACCAACTCCAAAAAAGCCGAGCCACGCATATTGGTTCCCCCTTTGGTTTTACTACGAACTCCAAACTGCCAAGCCACGCATATGTACATCTGTCACCCCTTTGGATGGTTTTACTGGGTGACCCTTGCGATCCTTTCGCGATCCAAGCCGGGTTCGTTTTCGTCAACAACAGCTTTCCAACCTTTGGTTAATATGCGGCCAAACAAATGACTGGTTGTTTTGCCTCCTTTTTGCAAACTCCTGCTAAAACCTTGGCATGGGCTTGCAAGAAGGAACAACCTCTGTCTTCTTTTCTTGCAAACCCCTGCTAAGAGTGAACATAGTGAACAGAAAATGTAGGTGTCCCCCATGTTAGACAAAACCCTTCAGAACTTCACCAAGAACTCTGGGTTTCCCTATTTTGAAACTCGTTCAACGGGGTTTGCCTGCACATGGACCCCCAAATTGGAATCTTTGCCTGTCAACTTTAAACGCCACAAATTGTAACCTCAACGGGCAAAACTGGCAATATCGATTCGGCAGGTTGTTGGGTGTTGTGGAATACACGTTGTGGAATACGTTCCAATAGATGCTTATATATATATATATATTATGTACATATATATATATATATGTTCATATATTGATTTGAAAGAGACAAAGAGGAGAGAGACAAAGAGGAGAGAGAGAGATAGAGAGAGAGAGATAGAGTAATAGTCTACTCCCCCTATGGAACCCCCGACAAGCCGCCCCTGTTTCGACTCTTTCGAGACCGAGCTCTCGAGCCGCCGGCCAGCAGCGCCATGTTGCAGCAGCCGGCGGCCCGGAGTCCGCTCATCAGCGCCTCACTCGGCGCATGGACCGGCCCGAGCCGGGCCTTGGGGAGGGAATCAGGGTGGATCCTATCCTGTGCCCATGTTTTGTCCAGGTCCTCCAGTAGGGAATAGAATAAGGGGGCCAACTTTCTTCTGTAGTCTATTTTAGTAGGAAAACCCTCCCCCAAAAACGGGTTCAAGGGCACTACTGGGGGACCTAGCCTATGGTTTGTGCTTTTCTCTCTCCTTATGTTTCATGAATCCCCGGCTGAGCTATCAGTGGCATGGGTTCCTTCACACCACCTGCTAACCTTACGCCAAGACCTGCCAAAGAATTAACCTGAATTCCTTCAAAGTGACCAACAGCGGTCTCCGTGTGGGGGAACCATAATTCACACAGGCCAGCCAACTCGAACCATCCGAGCCCTTTGAATAGCTTCTAAAAGATCAAAGAAGCGAAATATATCTTTGCAGGAGGGCTCAAAGCAGGGCACCCAAAGCCACAGACGTGGCGTCCACCCTTCCATGCATGATAAATGGTCGGTCATTTTTTGGGGTTTTTGTTTAGGGAGGCATAATGAACCCTGTAACCAACATGTATGGGGAAGGGCTTGGGGGCGGTATTCGGGGTGGGGATGCTCCAAGCACGGTTGTCCAAAGCAGACGTGAAACGGACCGCCCACAAAGGAGTCAGCCAGGGAAAAGCGACAGCACCGGTGCATTGTGTTCATAAACTAAGCGGGAGAGAGGAAGGGGAGGGCGGCATACCAATGGCCACGATTTGGTTGATGCATTTACACGAGAAGCGCACTTCTGCTTTTCTCCTTGGACCATTGGGAGTGGGGGGTTTGGACCTTTGGGTGGCCAGCTACCTCGTCCCCCTCAACTAACCGTCCACCACTAGTGTCAGTGACTCTGCTGATTCACAACGGGTGCTGGCAACGTCCTGAGCTTGGCGGCGCATGCCAACTCGTAGTCCCATGTTCAATTGCCCGGCAGCGAAAATAGTGGGCCGTTGTATTGGCTGCTTCACTTTGAGGAACGATCTCCAGCTCTGTATCCCACAACACAAGCATGCATGATTTGTTTGTGTCGCCCCTGAGACAGGGGCACAGGCAGTGGGGTGGGATTCGGTATGTTGCGGTCGTGTTGCATCTACCTGGACACTTGCAAAAGGAGCAGCTAACCCGGGAAAAGGAGCAGTGCCAAAACATACTGTGGATGGATAAAATCCTTCACCTGTTCGTAGGTGGTTTCTCCCTGGATTCAAATCAGGGTTCATCCTACTTCCGGATTGTGTCTGTCTACTTCCGAAATCGGAGAACCCCACTGGGTTGTCCACCTTTGTTTCTCGCTCTGGCGAAACCACTCGCCCCCCGCTTTTTGCGCTCGCCGAAAATCTGCCGGGCAAAGGCTGCCGAAACCTGCCTGGTAGAACCGTCCGTCTGCCCCTTGGAAGGTCTCAACAAATGCCCATGTGGGGGGTGAAATAAAAAGATGCGCCCCCAAAAGTAGTGACTTTCCTTTTGGAAGTTGCCTTTTACGACTTTCAGAGGGGTGTATTGGCACCAGACATCTGCAACTTGAGGTTTGGGCAAGACGCCCGCTAGCTCTTGGTCGCCATGGATGGCCAGTGGGTAAAACAGGCTGGCCCGATGAAAGTCCAACAAGAAATCGCATGCATCACAAGAAATCCGCGATGTTGTTGACTCTTGCATCTTCATTCTCGGAATATGTGAATCTTTTGTACCCTGCACCAGCCGGTTCTCTCCTTCGCAAATGTCGTTTCCTACGTGAGCTTAGACTTCGCGGCTCAGTACGCGGTGGTGGGATTTCCCAGCACGCCCGAGTTCACTTCCGCCTGGCAGGCGCGGCGTGACTGCCGGCCATGGTACTTCCGATCGAGTGGATGAGCGAACGGAAGGACACAAATGTTTGTTGACCACCAACACCGTCTTCAAAATAAACTCGGAGAAACCACGAACAACATGAAGCAGGGAAGGCTCATGTGCAACGGACACACCGACACCGCCTTTTCACATCTGAGCAACCGACAGACTCATCAGATGGGTTCTCTCGCCGTCCGCTGACAGTTGTGCAAGCTGCGGTCTTCCAGCTGTCCAACCCATCTTTCTCCCTAAACCAAGGCTTCGATGAGTCCCACGGGTGGGACAAAACAACAAACTGGGAACAAAAACAGGTCCATATTGATTGACCTTGAGATGGTTTAGTCATTTCACAAGATCCAGCAACCCAAGATCCCCCCAAAAAACTCCCCTTGAACATTACCAATCACCCCACGTACAGTAAGTGAAGCTCACTTCAAACTGGCAACCAAAAGGTGCTTCAACACGCACACACAAAGGAGAAACCATGTTCCCGCTTCTGCACGAAGGCAGAATCCTGGCTGGCCTTTCAGCATCACCCCACCAAAAGGAGACGAATCCAAACAATGCAGATCGTGACCGCAAAACATGGACAATATGATCACGGGTAACTTCCCATAATTGTGTGGTGAAAGTCATGTGCTTTTGGTGGCTATTGTTCGTCACCCCATGCAATTAAAGAACCTCTTGACCCACCCCCACAAATAGCCGCCATAAACTGCTCACGCCAAAAATGGTCAAAACCCGAAAGCTATGCAGTTCCAGCCCTCCCATGGAGGGCCCAGGTGGAAAACAAATCCAGTAGTGCTAGATTCCCTTTAAACCCAGAGCAAAATAGGGGTGGTTACCGGTTTTCCTATTGGTTCCCTTTATCACCGACCAAGAAGCGGAACCAACACCGTTGGGTATGGGTCAGAATGCGACCACGACGAGACCGCAGGTTTTAGTCCTTTTTGCTCATTTATCAGGGCAACCCATTTTGTGAAGTCCTGTTTTTGACCACCCCCAACGAATCTTCAGCCAACAGATTCGCCAGCCATCGACGGCTCCACCCATCCTGGAGGCAGCCGAAGACGATGATGCCCACCACCACGAAGAAGGCGATGGACGCCGTGGCTCCGTCCAAGACCTCCACCTCCATCTCCAGCTCCTGTCGATCGATCGGAGCCATGGTTCAGCTTCACTCGCTGCCTTGGAGCCCGGGTGTGGTGGTTGAGGAGAACTGTCCCATCCGTCTAGAAGAGCCAATCATTGGCCTGCTGGGTATGTCCCGATATGTAGCTGCCACAATTAGCTCCTGCGAATGGCAATGGTTCTGCTTCGCTGGAGCCGAATCGGAGCCTGGGTGGTGAGGAATGTCCCATCCGTCTGATCCCCAGTTCCCACCAATCCAAACTCAAACCAATTAGAAGGAAAGCTCCTGTCGATCGATGGGATGGTTCAGCTTCACTCGCAGCCTTGGAGCCCGGTGTGGTGGTTCAGCCAATCATTGGCCTGCTGGCCTCCATTTGCTGATACGGCCCCTGGAAAAAACATATTTCTACAGATAGTAGTGAATTCATTTCCCTTCAAAACCAACGGGGGAAATAACAAATGGCACAATATTTAGCCGCCACAATTATTGTTCACATCCCCAGTTCCCACCAATCCAAACCACCGGCTAGGAGGAAGCCGAATGGTATGCGCGGCAAGGGAGCCACGGGAGCAAAAGACACGGTGGTAGACATTGCGCTTTCCGCATGCGTGTGTGTGTGTGTGCGCGCATGCAAATAAACAAAAGGTGCTGATACAGTACAACATAACAACATGCACGAATCAAACTTGTTTGCTGCAAAGCTTTGCTAACTTTTGTCACGTCACAAGTACTTCTAGACTTCAGCAGACCTCCCTTGAAAAACACAATGGGTTGGGTTGGTCTCTCAGCGGAGCAACCCGGAGCGTTCCATTTTTTTGGGCCGGGATTTCTGAGATCAATGTCCAAATGGTACGAAAGAAACCTCCACCAGATTCCACCAGCACCCGGGTCCCAACTTGCCTGCTTCCTATGTTTCAAAGTGCCCTGTACACAACTTGTTTTGTGCTGGTCGCCCTTCAAGAATAAGCCGAGGGAATGGCAGCTTCCAGGCAAGGCTTTTCTATTTATCAAAATACACTGTGGGAAAAACCACCAAGGAGCCAACAAATATTGAGGAGCAGAATAGAACCCAAGGCAAAGCTTTTCTTGTAGACTATCAACCTGGCTGTCTTTTCAGGATAGCCCTTTTGTGGTGTTAAATGACCATACCCACACAAGGCCAAAAGGGGATTCTCCAAAAACCACCCTCAAAAAACACATATGGGTGCATCTCCAAATACGGGAACCCAACAGCGGCTTCGGTGTTCCTTCGTTTTTTCCTTTGAAACCACTCCCGAAAAGAGGCTAGGTCCTCCAGTAGAGAGGTTAGAAAAAGGGTACCCTTGTTTCCTGTAGTCTATTTTAGGGGAACCCTCCCCCAAAAAAGGGTGAGCAAGGGCACGACTGGGGGAGATAGAAAAAAAGAACGAGGCGCGGTGCTCGGTTTCTCTCCTCCTGCGGTGGCCCAGGGCCATCCGGCCGCTCCGCGAAGAGCTGGAGGGAGCTCTGGCTGGCGCCTGCCATGCGCTGGCTGGCGCCTGCCATGCGCTGGCTGGTGCTCAGCCCCGGGGTTCAGAGCCATCATGAAAACAATGGATGTTCATACAACGGGGGCACTTCGTTTTTTTGGCCCACTCCATTTGCTTGACCCCCCCATCTTGTTGTTTGACCCGCCATGGTGTTCAAGCATTGGTGATGGGACTTGAACGGCGCAGGAATTAGATGGCCAGGGACACTTCCCTATGAGATTCCCTTTGGAGCACTGGTGAATATTCCCTGGGGTTTGGTTACCATTGATAAAGCAACGGGTGTTCATACAACCATCCGTTGTTCACCCAAGGATTGTCATTCCAAATTGGGTATACGGTACAATCCATTCTTTTAGTGGGGGTTGAACGCTAGGGTCAGGGAATGAGTTGGAATCGGCTAAGAAATTTGCTGGTGCGAAAGGCAGGGAATGAGAATTGGATTGACCCCGAGACAAACCATCAAATTGATGGTTTCGTTGAAGCGGACTGGGTTCATTCCAAATCTCATTCCCTTGTCGCACCAAGCTAAACCATGAGGCACTCACGGGACACCGCGGTCTGTTGGCTAGGCTCTGAAGCCACAAATGTAGAGTCGATGACACATGGGTCTTTTCCTGTTGGTCCCATGACCCTACCAAATGGGATTCCCAAGCAAGTTCAAGGACTACTTAAGGGAATTTGTATATATACCTGAAAATAGCACTAAAGCTCTATTCTCCACAAGCATGCACCGTTCAGTGGTTGTGATGTTCGTCCAATTGGGTGTCCTTCCATAAGGACTTTGGTTTTATACGCCCCTTACACCTGTTGACTCTTCTTGTCCCACCGATCCTTGATCCATCTGACTTTGTGTTGTTTCGAGGGCATCCTTTTCAGGTTGGTTGAGAGGGAAACCAAAAGGATAATAAACCATTTTTGGTGCTCCCCTAGATTGACACACGTGCCAAAAGAGACCGAACAAACTACCTTTCGGCTTCGCTTTGGGAAAACTAACATGGTATTGGAACCTGAGTTGTGATCCCCCTTGAAGAATTGTTTACCAGTTCAGCAATCAGTAGCAATATGGTTGACCTTGATCACAACAGACCCATTTGGCTGTGGGTCAAAATCAAGAATACCCAACATGTTTTGCCCTGGTTTTTCTGGACACCTGGACGAAGACATGCGTTCCATATCCCGGTGCTTGACTTCTGACGCCATAATGTTGACTCCGGATTAATAAACCCTTGTTAAATATGGGGCTGTCCCTGGTTTTAGTGGGGATTTATCACTTTTGGAGGGAACACCCCCATATTAATAAACAGGGATTTATTCATCCGGGGTGAACATCATTTCTGGAGACGTCTCCGGTCCTTTCACGCCCAAAGCGCCGCCGGCGGAAGGCGCTGTGGACGCCACGAAGGCGCGCATGCAGCCGAGCGCCGCCAGCGCCAGCACGAGAAGTGCTCCCAACACACGGCCGCGGCGCTCCATTTTTCGGTCCTCGGTGCGGCGCGCCAAACGAAACCGGGCGGAAAAACGGAGAAGTTCACCCGGAAAGTCGGGGCTCCTCACTTCCCGAGTGGATGGGCCAACAAAGTGCCCAAACTGTTGGTTTGCCACTAAAATTGTCTTCCCAAAAAGCTTAAACTCCAGGAACTCAGGAAGGGAGGTTTGGATTGTTTGACTACTAGACTTGGGTACGTGATAGTGGTTTCCGATTGGGTTTCCCTGTCAAACAACCCAAGAAGGTGCAGAAATGAACAAACAGCATATGGGAGTATCTGTTTGTCGCCATGCCTCTGTATTGTGGTCTTCGAGGGAAACTAAAAGCAACACCCACCGTTTTGCGGGTCCTTAAACAACCACAGACACCCTATGTGTGCCGAGCTGCCAGCTCGGCCAAGACGACGCGTCTAACCAAAGAGAGCTGCGGACGGAGCTTCGAGACGCGGCATCGGCTCGGCAAAGTCACATGGGTGTGTCAAAAACATGGTCTTGGATTTCTTTCAACTGGCTTGGCTAGGTCCTCCAGTAGACAGGTTAGAATAAGGGTACCAGTAGGCGAACCCTCCCCCAAAAAAAAGGTAAAAGGGCACTACTGGGGACCTAGTTGGCCACGATGACACACCCTGAAACTGGTGGGTTTTCCTCTTACCCCTTTAAACCAACTTTCAACCTCAGGAAGGCTACCCTCCAAACACACATACACAAATCTCTCAATCAGGACTCAACTTGCACCCAGAAAAAAAGTGGGGTGGCACGAAGCCTCCTCTTTCCAATCCTGGGCGCGGGAAACTGCCCTAGCACGAGCAGTCTTTCCAACTTCCCGTCAGCTGACATGATTGGAGCGTGGGCAACATACTTTGCGGGCCCCAACAGCAAAAAAAGTGTCTTGACCCACGCGCACATGTGCGACGGTCCCAACTCCCAAAATGTCGCTCGTCATGGGTCCTTCAATAGGATGCAATAGGAAGCTCCTTATGGGTGGTCTAAAACACGCATTAAGACAGTAAGACCATCAAAAGGTCGATGACCATCTGGTATTTCGACCAATGTGTACATTGGAACCGGGCTCCCTATATGTCCACTTAAAAACACTCCACCAAGACGAAACTCATGCAAAAGTGGCAATCAAAAGGTGGTCAGGGACACTAGCAGTTGTGTCAAAATGTAAGAACTTCCCCAAATTGGTGGGTTGTCTTCGTGTTCCTTTAAAAACAAAAAAGGGAACCCTCAACAATACAACCATACCATACGTTCCCAAGTTAAACTCCTGATATGTGTGTCATGGTCGAGCTCCGCATTTGACCACGTTTATTTAGTCCATTGCCTACGCCTTGGGAGTTTCAAACAAAGCCCGTGGAACAGTTGTCCACCTCGCGTGTCAAAGCTGCTCATTCAGTTTTCCACGGTACGTGCTACTTGTCCTTGTATGGTGCAAAGGAAGTTAGCCAGACTCTTCGATCTTGCAGGCCTCCTTTGGTTCTGCTTCTCGATCTCAGGACTGTGCCGAAACCGACCATCGAGAGGCGTCGCAACCGAGATGAAGAACTTGCTAGCATTGGTGTCCTTGCCGGCGTTGGCCATGGACGGCAAGCCAACCCCCGCTTGTGCTTCAGCTTGAGTTCTCGTCTGTGAACCTCTCCCCGAAGATAGACTTGACACCGACGCCCTTGGTGAAGTCACTGCCTTGAATCACTCCGAACGTGATATCGATGTAGACCTTGTGTTGGTGATCACCGGACTTTTCACATCGTCACCGCGAAAGCGAGCGCCGCCAGCTCTCAAAATGTGAGAGATAGAGTGCCGCCATCTCGCGCCGAAAGCCAACAGCCGACAAAAAGCTTGAGCCCAAGTGGCTGCGGGGGTCATTGCCATGGCTCCCTTACTACGAATCCTTCGTGTGTTGTCCAGATCCCTATGATCCAACAACAAAAGCTGGCAGCACCGCTGAGCCCCGCGCAGGGCCCAACTGCTCGGGACGGCCGTGTCGATCGATCCTGGCTCCCGTGAAAATGCGATGTATCGACGCCTGAACGCTGATCTGGGGGCCCGGAAAAACACGACACTCCCCGGCCTTTGACGCGAGTTGCGCTTGGACGACAGGTGTTTACCCCAGACCTTCCCGCGCTCCTCGGTTCTTTGCGCTTCGACCCTTGGAATGCGGCATGGCCACGTAGCCGCTTGCCTTTGGCCCCGGGCTGCGCAGCTCCAGCCCCGTTCCTGCTCTTTGGGCTTCACCTAGGTTCAGCCCCTTGCCCTCGGCCGGCCACATCCACGGAGTTCCGGCGCTTGTAGTGCTGAACGAGAAGCCCCCAAGTCCAGTTTCCCAGCCCAATCCACAAGTCCCATACTTTCGCGCATGGCCGTGGGATGCAAACTCAGCGGAGCCTGATTCTCTTGCTGTCTTTTGTACCGCCGCGAACCGGCGCCCCTCCGGACAGCGCGAATGCAACCCCAGCACCGGCCGGAATGAACCAAAGCTGAGAAGCCAAGCGGCCTGAAGATCCAAACCGCCTCTCCACGGACCCGAAGCAAAGCTTTTTCACGTGGAATATCCAGACGAGAAACCGTACCTTGGTTCCATGCGCTAGCAACGCGCCGCTTCCCACAACCCGTCCCTCTGCCTGATGATATCCGTTCTCCACATCAGTCAAGTTCAATCCACAACATTGACATGGGCTTTATGCGATCCAATCTGATGTCATTCAGGGTGTTCCTGCACACCAATGCATACGCCGAGAGCATACCAGTGGCCTCCGCTATGCCAATCAATGCATCCCCCCGACTGTCACTCCATCCGACCAACCCGCTCGTACTGTGTTGCTTGCTTTTAAGGGAAAACAAGCACCGCTTGTTGTTTCAAGGAAAATACAACACATAGTTTCCTTAAGGGAGATCGAACCACCTGGCATAAAACCAGCGCCCCGGCCACCCGGGAACGCACACATTTCCCCGCGCCTGAGCACGGAGGTCTTGGTCTTGGCGGTTCGGGAACCTGAGAAATAAGGGAAGAACCAACCGGGGCCTTTTGCAGACAGCTCGGCAAACAGGGTTGATCCAAAAAGATCGGCTCGTTGAAGGGTGGAAACTTCTGTGGTTCTCCGAGAAAAACATAATATATTGTGGTGATCTTTGAAAGGCTCGGAGCAGATTCGGGAGCCCCGTAAAAGGCACGTCATGACACGGAAGTGGGAGTGCTTGAGATCCTAAACATAGGCCGACCCTTTTTTGGGGGGGATTTTTTTCCAGCGCTTTTGGGACTTTTTATCCGTTCCATTTTCCGGTCACCTTCGGAGTAGTTTAAGGTGGGTCTAGGGCCCTCTTAGGGTTTAGGGTGGTTGGGGGTCCGGGTTTGGTTGGGGCGGTCTGGGGCCTAGATGGAGCTTGGGTCGGCGCAATGGTTTGGTTGAGGATTAAGGTGGGTTTAAGGTGGGTTTAGCGTGGTTCTGATAATTTAGGGTGGGGTTCAGTGTTAGCTGGGTTTAGGGTTCAAGGTCCTAGGCTTAGGGTAGGCTGCGGGTAGGTCTAGGTTGGGTTTAGTTGGGTAGGTTTAGGATGGGTTTGGGGTGGGCAGGTTATTGGTTTCGGGTAGGATGGGTTTAGGGGTGCGTTCGGGGTTACCGTCATCCAGGACGTCCTTGGCGCATGAACCGCCACCTTTACGAGGATACTTGGCGGGTGCCTTTGTGAAACAGGAAGAGAATGAAAGCAAGCTGAGTGACAGGCATCTAGGCTCCTGTAGGGTGGTTTAGGGTGTTCAGGGTTGGTTTAGGGCGGGTTTTGGTTTTGGTTTTTGGGGTGGGTTCAGGTTCAGGGTGTGTTGGGGGGTTGGTTTGGGGTGGGCTTCGGGGTCCGTTCAGGGTTGGCTTAAGTTAGGTTCGGGTGAGTGTAGGGTGGTTTAGGGTGGGCTTAGGGGTTCAGAGTTGTGGATTTAGGGTGGCGTGCGGGTGTGTAGGCGGGTTTCTGCGTAGGTTTAGAGTTGGCTTAAAGCTGGTCTGGGGTGTGTTTGCGGTTGCTTTAGGTGGGTCGGTTTGGTGGGTTCAGATGGAGCTTGGGTTGGTTGGGTTGGTTGAGTTGAGGATAAAGGCGGGCTTAGTGGGGGTGTCGGATCGGATGTTTAGGGTGCGCTTTTTTAAGGTTCTGGTGAAGGGTAGGTGAAGAGTAGGTTTTGGGTGTGTTTAGGGTCTGAGGTGGTCGGGGCGTGTAGGGTAGGTGGTGTTGTGTTTAAAAGTATACCGGGGAGGGGGGGTTAAGGGTGCTTCATTGCTTGCGTGCTTGCTTGCTTGCTTGCTGTCTCTCTTGCTGTCTCTCTTGCTTGCTTGCTTGCTTGCCTGCCTGCCTGCCTGCCTGCCTGCTTGCTTGCTTGCTTGCTTGCTGTCTCTCTTGCTGTCTCTCTTGCTGTCTCTCTTGCTTACTTGCTTGCTTGCTTGCTTGCCTGCCTGCCTGCCTGCTTGCTTGCTTGCCAGGGGCACTACAAAAAAAATCCAGCGGGATAAAAAGAAACTAAATACTATAACACCCCTAAACATACTGCTCAGCGCGGTTGCTGGCAACAAAGAACACATGAAGCTCCAACGAAAACCGCTCCCGGCAAAAACAACAACTAAACAAAAAACACTGTTAGCAGCAAGGATAATATTCACCAGTGCTCCAAAGGGAATCTGATAGGGAAGTGTCCCTGGCCATCATATTCCTGCGCCGTTCAAGTCCCATTACCAATGCCTGAATGGAGTTTCCATCAAATGCTCCTTGACAGTGAGAAGGCTTCGGCAAAACACAAGCGAACAAGTTCCCAAGCCCGAAGATCAACAGCTCCAAGCCCAAAAATACTTGAACATGCTTGCTATATGGCCATGGGTCAAAATCCCATACCCCCTGTGAACATCCGATTCAATCCCCACTAAAATAGGTTCTAAAATGGGTGGTGAATTCACCTACCCCAAAATGCTACCATTGGTTTTGACAAACACAGCCATATCCCGGTTCGCCGATTCCTTTGCCCAGGGCGGGACCTTTACCCCGCCTCGTAAGGGGCTCTCGCGAGCTGCCTCTTCCATGGCCGCCTGAGGCCAACAGTGTGGTGAGGCAAAATACCCGGCTTCCAGTGGGCGGCTTGCCACTAGAGGCAACCGAGGGAAACCAACCATCTGTAAAACCTAGAGGTAAGAACCCTGTTGCCTTAGTGACTTTAGCGGTGGTTTAGGAAGCACGCTGTCTGTGATCCGCGAACCAAACGCCATTCTCAGTTCTCATATTCCGTGCCTCCTCCATTGGTGTAGGCCACCAATCCTCCGGCGGCTCCCGATTTCCAGTGACCTTGGAGACAGCTTGATTTGTGGTGCGCGTGTCTCAGAGCTAAGCAACCTGAACCCACTGCCACGAGATTGATGCAAAGAGCCTGCTGTACCAACCTCGAGGGTAGCCTTTTCAGGCTGGTTTAAAAAGGACACAGAAAGGAAAACACTTGCGCCCTGTTGGTGGTCCTTCCTTTTACACATATGTCCTTGCAAACACGCACTGGATACTGAAAGAACCGCGAACTTTTGTTGGATGGCTCAAAAGGGTGACTTGTTTGGAACGTCGACGCCACTCGATCCATCGAGTCCAACTCATTTTAAGACGCTTCCAAACAAACGCACCAGAGAGATTGGACCGCCAAATACCAGCCAGACATGGCTGGTGAAAGAACTTTGGCCCTGGATTTTTCACCGGCTCCTCGCACAATGCCCTGTGACATGGTGTAAACGCGGAGCATGAAGTTCGAGAAAGAAGGGTGCACGTTTCAGAACGGCTATAAAACAGTTTGCCAAGTGACCTTCGCTAGGCGCTATTTTGGTGCTATTTGAGAGCCATTTGGCTGGCAGCAATTTCAGGGAACCCTTAGTTGGTGATTTGGTAGTTTGCTATTTACCCTCTACAGGAAGCAGGGGTTCAAATCCCCAAACCACCAATCGAGTGCTGAAGTTTGTCAAGCGAAAGGAAAGTTCGCGCAGGAGGAGGGACTCAAGCGAAGGGACTTATTTGGTCGTATTTCCTGTAGTACTGGCTTTATGTTGGCTTGGACCTCTGCAAAGCCAACCCAACTGGTGTTTGCACTCCATTTCCACACGTTCTTAGTGATTTGTTGGTTGAGGCTGCAAATCTGTTGCATTGGGTGTCCCCTCGTGCCACTCTGGACCGATTTGCTACTGTGGATGGGCGAAATCCGTTCACACCGTTTCAGAAGAAGCCCTGGAATGACTCTCGATTCCCCTGTAAATACCAATCGACGTTATGGCTTCAACCACGGTAGCTCATTTCGTGCGGTCTCGGATTTTGTCCATCTGAGCCATTCCCTGGCGAAGCCCAGAGCGCCGGGGCTGCGGCAATGAGGTGGTCGCCGCCTAGCGGACGGAAGAGGCTCGGCCAAAAAAAACACAAGGAGAACCAAACACATCTGGGTGCAGTGTTTTCTTTAAAAACACCCTCTTCACCTGGGTGTCAAGGGGAGCCAAAAGGGAAAGCAAACTTGTTGTGGTCCCCAATCACATACCCATATTGTAATGTATATATATATATCATTTGAGCCAGGGGCAAAGATGTAG